CGGCGTTGGTGACATACTTGGTGGTGTGCTCGCCGGTCTGGTACTGGGCCTCAATGTGCTTGACAATCGCCTGGCGGGAGGAGCCGTCGCGGTCCTTCAGCTTGGTGATGGCCTCCTTGACCATGATGTCGTACTTGGGGTGGGCAGCACCGGCAGCGGCAGCGGCGGCAGTGGAGCCAGCAGCCTTGGCGGGCTTATCAGCGGCGGCCTTCTTGGTGGCCTTGGGCTTGGTGGCAGCAGCAGTGGTAGACATATTGACTACTTGGATGGTCGGCTGCAGGAAATATGGAGAGGAAATCGATTTGCAGTTGAGTTTTCCCGCGCATATCAGAAAACCGTCAAAAACAGAATCCACAGTAATGAAAGCAAGCAAGCGAGAATGTTGTGCAGGATTGAGCGGATGTGAGCGTGGGGGAGGGGAGGAGGAGGAAACCATCAAGCCAAAGTGCTTGCTTCTCAGTTGTAGAGTTTTGAAGGTTCAATCAAAAAAGAAAATAGAAAAAGGACGACTTTTGTTCTTTGCGGGCGCTCTCGCTCGTTTGTGCATTGCTTGTCGATATCGAAACACGGCACAACATGCGGAGGACAATCGTATTTGGCGGTAAATACATGACTAAATGCGGAAACTGTCAAATAAATACCAAAAATAAACAACCAACAACAAGACGCCAAGTTTAAATATAGACAAAAAAACAAAAAGTCTTTGATTTTGGCGCCTTTTTTTCTCCTTTTTCTCCTTTTTCTCCTTTTTTTTTTTTTTCCTTCTTCTTCTTCTTCTTCTTCTTCTTCTTCTTCTTATTCTTTGTTCCAAAGTGCACAGACTGCGGACTGCGTGCGGGAGACGATCGCCCGCGTTCGAGCAGCAACATTCATCTGCTTGCCAGGATGCACCCCGGCGCAACAGGGCGCTCGTTCGCAGGCAGCCACACGGGTTTGGCGGGAGATCAAGGAGAAAGGGGAAAAAAACGCGGGCTCGTTTTCCAGCTTTTTTGAAATTTTCGCGGATTGAAAAAAGCACTGCCCGACCCTTTTTTGCTCCGTGCCGACTTCCGGGTGGTCGAGCTGCGCTGAGCTGCACCCAGAAGCAACACTGGATCAACACGTAATACATCCGCGCACTGAGTTCGGCCGGCAGATGCTCCGACATGCTTGAGCGGGAGGGCAGTTGGTTGGCGCGCTGCACAACTTTTTTTTGTTCAGTTTTTTGGCGCGCTTTTTCCTTCTTTTTTTTCTTCTTTTTTTTTTTCACGTCCCAAGTCCTGCTGCTGCTTGCAGATCGCCGAGCCATCGAACGCGCACTCGCTCGTGAGCAAGGTGTGTCGGCATGTTGTTTCTCTATTGCTTGGGAAGTCGTCGTCGTCCGCACGCCGCGCAGATTCGCACAAGCGACTTGATTGTTCAACGCCGAGCGACAAAGTTGAAAGCCACAAAAAAAAAAAAAAAAACGAGAAAAACCAAAAACGAGAAAAAAAAAAACGGTTGAAAGAAAAACGCGAAATTACATTGAAAATGCGAAATGACGGGTGCTCGATTAGGAAGTGGCGGTAAATATGTTATGGATTGATGTGTATCTGTATTTGGAGTGTGTTCACTCGTCGCTTTGTATAAGTGAAGTCTCTTGTTTCCCTATCATCACTCTCATCATCAACCCATTACTCGTATCTCTCTTTCTTTCCCTCTGCCTCGCTGTCTCTCTGTCTCTCTCTCTCTCTCTCTCTCTCTCTCTCTGTTTCATGGCCACCACATCCAGATCGCGTGAGCTTCAACATACATTTCAGGAGCATTGTACTGGTGGTCGTAGATGGCTAGTCGGTTTGAGATAGCCTGGAAACCGGAATTCTGAGAACGACCGTCGTTTCGCTTGCTTTCCACCTCACTCCTCCACCTCCTCCCTCATTGTACTTCTACATAACCCTATACTCTTACTCTTACTATTCTATTGCTTGCTGCTGTCAATCGGTGCTTCCGAGTCTTCTTTTGTTGGTTGAAAAATTGCATTGCAATTTGGGACGACTCCTGGTAATACCTTCCAGCCCTCTTCACCAACATTTCTCCCCCCCCCCTCCTCTCCGCGTCATTTCGATGACGAGTCATTTGCTGTTGTCTGTTTCAGCTTGGTTCATGCTGCGCGTCCCACAAGCACCTTCTGGACACGCAGTTGCGTTTGTCCGCTTCATGGAACCCTCGCGAATCACTGGAACCGCAACTCGAATTGACTTTCGGACGAAGCTTTATGCTTCACACTGATCACCTCCCCGCCGCGACACACTCGCTATGTCATGTTGTTGGTTTGGCTATTTCAGGTTGCTAGTTGCGACCCACAGGCATTTCTAGACGCGCCTCGGCGCGTCAGCCGTTCGCGGAACCAACTTTGAAACCGCTGGAGAACCGAACTAACCACAAACCGACATCGTCGCTTCCCTGTCTCCTCCCGCCCTTCTCCAATGGATATAAATTTCCCAAGGCCTGTAGTGCACGAGCATACAGGCTCGCTAATGCTATGTCATATGACCAGACATGGCTCTCTGCCAATTTTGTGTCTCCAAGCTCCTTACACCCATGTCCATGCTCCCGCTCCTTTCTCCGTGGTTTTTGAGCATTTTAACCCTATACTCTTACTCTTACTATTCTATTGCTTGCTGCTGTCAATCGGTGCTTCCCCAAAACTGAACGTGGCTCATTCCCACTTTCACCAAATGCGAGTTAGCACTGCGCTGCTGAGCATTGCCGCGCTGCTTCTGCTTGCCGTCGCGCTCGGCGACGAGTTGCAGGGCGTTCGCGGCGCTCTTGCTGCCCCGCCCGGACCCGACTATTACGCCGTGCTCGGGATCAAGCGCGACGCAGACGACCGCGAAATCCGCCGCGCGTACCGCGACCTCGCCAAGAAGCTGCATCCGGATCGCAACCCGGGCGACGCCGAGGCCGAGCGCAAGTTCAAGGAGGTTGCTGAAGGTACTCGCTTTCTTTGCATTTTGCTCGGCACTGGCAGGGCAGTCGCAGAAGAGAGTGAAGCCGCCCCCTCGGTCATTGAACGAACGGCGATCTCTGCGTTTTTGCCTTGGGCGTACTCTGTCACACACCCGTCAAAGCAACACCACGCACAAGTGCATCGCAATGATGATGATGATTGTGGTCGAGTTTTGGGCCAAGCATGGATTCGGTGGAGCGGACACTCAACTTGCTGAGCTCGCGTTTGAGCTCGTTTGAGAGATGCCACCTCATACAACCCTCTCCCCTCCCCCAATATCCAGGCACCACCATTGTCTAACTCACGTCGTGCGTGACAAATGCACTTTGGTTTTTGACCTTTTGTTGGATGATTTTCTTTTGCTTGTTCTGCGCAGCATACGAGGTCTTGTCGGACGCAGAGAAGCGCCGCATCTACGACCAGCACGGCGTTGAAGGCCTCAAGGGCAACCAGGGCCAGCACCACAACCCGTTTGACATTTTCCAAAACTTCTTTGGCGGTGGTCAGCAGCAACAGCAACGCAAGGGTCCTGACGTGAACATGGATCTCGAGGTCACCCTGGAGGATTTGTACATTGGCCGCCGCATTGCGGTAAGTTCCTGGCGCTTTGATTTGCTGTCATCTCGAGATGAAGCAGGGCTTTGAGAACTTGCATGCTCACCTGAAGATACTCTAGCTTGAAATCAGCCGTCAAACACTCTGCCACAAGTGCCGCGGCTCTGGCGCCAAGAACGCAGACGATGTGACCGTGTGTCGCGAGTGCCAAGGTCGCGGTGTCAAGATGACACAGCACCAAGTTGCTCCAGGCTTTGTTCAACAAATGCAGACGACGTATGGACACGGTGCAACTGATTTTGTGCGTGTTTGATGCGGACACACGTTGCTCACTTGCTTCTTTTTCAATTCACTCACAAACAGCTGCCCGAAGTGCAACGGTAAGGGTAAGATTGTCACTTCCACTTGCCCGACTTGCAAGGGACACAAGGTTGTTCGCGGCGATGACTTGCTCTCGGTTGACGTTGAGCGTGGCATGCCCGACGGCCATCGCATCGTACGTTCGTTCGTTCGTTGATATTGCCTTGTGTTTGAGGGATGATGTCGCATTGCCTAAACTGTGTTCATTTCTGTGCCTCAAAACACGTAGACTTTCCCGCGCGAAGGTGATCAACACCCCGACATCACTCCTGGTGATATCATCATCACGTTGCGCACCGTGCCGAACAAGCGCTTCCGCCGCCACGGCAACAACCTGTACATGAAAGAGACAATCACTTTGCTCGAGGTGGGTTCACGTTGGCCATTTCTCTTGGGGGGGGTTAGGGGGTTTGAGGGGTTCGGCAAAGCTTGGCACTGTTGCTAACTTGTTTCGTGTGTACTCCCGCGGTACTCGCACAGGCATTGACGGGCTTTGAACGCAGCATCAAGCACCTGGATGGCCGAACTATCACGATTCAGCGAACTGCAGTGACTCAGCCCGGATTTGTTCATGAAATCCCTCAAGAGGGTATGCCAAAGCACGACGATCCCTCTGATCGGGGTAAACTATTTGTTGAGATTGCCGTGGTGCTTCCCTCGTCCATTACATCCACCCAAGCAGAAGGTAAGTCGACGGGGGGAAACGTGTTGCTGCGAGCTTTGCGCGGTCACTCACTTTGAGCACGGGTTCTTGCGTCGTTCTTCCCAGCCTTCAAGGAGCAGTTGTCTGGTCATGTGCGAGATGAATTGTAGTTTAGCAATTACACAGGTTTTGATATTTTCAATGCTGAATGCTAACGAATGTACAATTAAGGATGAAGTGTCAACGAACGAAAATCGAAAAAAGGGGGGGGGGAAATGGGCCTCAAGACTGAGTTATTTCAAACCGCTCGACCACTCGCGCAAGCGAATCACCCCGATTTAACAAGTCAGCTGCCCGCTTGAACTCGTCCATCGTTCCGACATATCTGCAACGTGAGCAGCACAAGAGGAGGAGGGGAAAAAAGTCAGGGAGAATGGCGTACAACAGCAGCAACCCCCTTGATACAGCACGGCGGTCTTACGAGTTTTTAAACAAACCACGGCAGAGATCATGCGATAGATCGAACGGATCTTGGATGTGGAGCAATACACCAGAATTTTTCTGCAAAGAACAGTGTACCAAAATGCGCACAGTCAGTTGCAGCCCGACTCCTCCACTCACAAAGTCAATCCAAGCGCTCAATCTCCTATACCCCAAAGCTCGTTTGATCAAGAGTGACTGGACGAAGCGTTCGAATGGTAATGACTCTGTCAAGACGATATCATCCGGGGTAAGCCCACTCAAAGGTGTTCAAGCATGGCACTCCACCACCACCACCACCCCGAAAAAATATATCTTACTGCTCGTGATGCGTGAAATCGTATGCATAAAAGTTGAAAAACGCCAGCACGAGCTCCGCCAAGGATTCGGTATTCCGGGACGCGGCGCCATAGCCTGCTCGCTCGATGGAGCTCAGATCGCCAACAAAAGCGGCATTGATGCTGTTGTCATCCGTCACAAAGTACGGCTGAGGCCCATGGGGGAAATCAGGAGGCAACGCTTCCTGAAGACAAGGCACGACGGGCACCGGTCTCCGCTGCAAAAAGTAGAGCACCAGCATCACAAAGGCGTAGCTGGGATACCACACAAATTGAATTCATCAAAAGTGAGAAAAAAGGATAGAAAAGAGTCAACCAACGCCTGGTCAGGATGCATCGAGTTACCTGCTGAGCGTGCCGCTCGGGGGATCGTTGATTTGACGGTTTTTGGCCCACAGTTTAACAATGCGACCAAGTCGATAGACGCGTGGATCGATCGTCGCATACGTCCGAAGCATGCGAGAGTTCAGAATTCCTAACACTTGATTCACGCTGAGATCGCACGAAGTTTGACTGTGGCAAGGAGCAGAGGTGAGTTGTCAGCCGGATGTGAACACAAGCTCAGCTCTCCCCTCTCGAGGTGTCTGGAGGTCAGAACTTGTACCTTTCAGGATCGAAAAACTTGACTATGGGTACTTTGGCTCCAGCAATACAAGCGACTTTTGTCATATGTTCTGTTTGCAAAGACAAGCGGGTTAGAGCGCCAACAGCAAATTTTAAAAAAATCATACCAGGACGATCTGATGCATGCGACTTACGTCGAAGATACTTGGCAATTCGCCGAATCACCAAAGTCTTTGACTGAGCATCGTTCACATAGACACACATGTCAGCGTCAGCATCTCTGAGATTGAACGAGTTGACTGACGAGCCAAACATTTCGATCGAAGCATCCCACTCTAGAACCAAGAACAAAAAAAGAGAGGAGAATTTCACGAGAGATTAGATGCAAAAGCTACGCAGGGTCGGAACATTGGCTTCGTGAGGCAAAGTGAATCAGGCCGGACATACCAGGAAAACGGTGTTGAAGCAATTGCTCGACGCGCTGTTGTAAAAGCACAATGCGATGGAAATCCCGCGTGGTGGGTGTGATTCGCTCAAGGATTTCTGCCAAGTCATGCTCGAGTGCCGAGTGTGGGCGGCGTTCGCGGTCTTGAGGGGGCAAGGAAGTCGAAGCAGAGGCAGAAGCAGAGGCAGAAGCAGAGGAAGACGCTGATGAGGATGATGATGATGATGACGACGACGACGACGACGACGACGACGATTCCCCGGCAACCGAGGCATGATCCACAACGTCAACGTGTGAAGCGGTCGGCTCTGGCAATGGAGGTGGTGTGGCGGGTAACGCAGAGAGCAAGTCGGTCAACGTCGGCAGGTCGGACGGCGCAGATTGCAATGCCATGGCAGGTAGAGGATTGGCCTCAGCAGAAGTAGATGCATAGTGAGACAATCGCTCAGAGATGGGAATCGACGTTGTAGGAAACCAAGTCAACAGGTTCTTTGCAAACTGCTCCTTCTCTCCAGACAGCTGCTCGGTTGATGTAGCTTGCTGATTTGGGCTGCTCGATTGAACGGCACCGGTTGGAGCGTCCGCAGCATCCGTTGGAGTTGAAGCGGCGTTGGGGAGAGCATCACTGGGCTTTGGCTTGGCGGGACGCTTTTCCCTTTCGAAGCGTCGGATCTGCCCAGAAGCAGCCCCCTTTTGCTTTTCGTACGTTTGGTCCTGGTTGGCGCGACGGGCAGCCTTCCCAAAAGGGCGAGGTTCTGAGTGCGAAACCGCGCCAGTCGAAGCTGCTGCGGTGCCGGCGGGCGGGCTGTCACTGCTCGATGATGCAGCAGCCACCTCAGATCCATTCTCCGCCAGCATGGCAGCGGCCGTAGCAGTTCGCGGCCGTGGCGCTTGGTTTGCTTGTTGGTTGGCGCGCTGGGCTTTGGGCGGTCGCGGCTGCTTGGGATGGTTCTTCGGTGGCTTCTGGCCCTTCTGACCGGCGTGAGATCCAGACGCAGATGCCTGCAGACCACCGCCAGGCAGTGGGGCAGATGCAGCGGCGGTGGAGCGCGACGGAACAGCGGTTCGGCTGCCCGAGTTCGGTTTGCCAGGTGGAGCGACGACCTGCCGAGCACTGCTACTTGCACTTGTCATGGAGTCTGCGGCAGCATGGCTGCTTCCTGCTGTGCTGCTCATCATTGTCACTGGGGCTGGAGCTCGAACTGGCGCTGGAGTTGCACCCGATGATGTTGGAGTACTTTCAGACATTCAATCGGGCTTGGAGTTTGAGACTTTTGAGAGACAACTTGGAAAAACTCAGAACTGAGCCTGCTTATGCTTAATGCTCGTGCTGCCTTTTTGGAGGAAAAGTGGCAACTCTATGAAATTACAGTTAGAAAGCACCCACAGCTGGCTTGGGGGAAAGGGGTGCGGATGGGGACGTGACAGAAGGGCGGCTGGGTGATGACTACGATTTGGACAGCTCGCGATTCCACTTGAGATACCAAGCTACCTGTGGGAGTTCTCAATGACGTGAATTGAGAGTTACTAGATTTGCATGGAAGGTCCAGTCGTTTCCTTGTGAGTTAACAGTCATTGCAGCGCAAACCATTGAAGCAGAGCCATTGAAGCAAAATCCATTGAAGCCAACCGTCCTTCTCCCGCCGTCTTTCTCCTTCCACCTGTGGGGACGTTGCGTGATCCTCCACAAGAGTCGTCAATGGCACTCGGAAGGGGGCAAAGGGGGGGGGGCGCTGGTGATCGGATTGCTCCACGCTCCCTTGTGCTTGGCTGCGACCTCAGTCTCCTCCATTCCCCTCCCCGCTGTTCCTCTTTTGTCCACGTCGTGCAGTTCCATCTCCATTGTTACTTTCGGCGCTCAGGGCTTCCGTCGGGTGAACGGCCGTCTGCAGACGAACAACGAGACAAAACGAACCCAAAAGCGATCTCTTTTTTTTTTTTTTTTTTCCCTCCTTTCCTTTGCTTTGCATTGACGTGCTCCGCTCTGTTGGCCTCGCCACCCGTGGACTGGCAGCACATCCAACTGCTTGACCTTCGCTTCCCTTCTTGCCTGGACGATGGCATGACACGCGACGCAAACCCAATCCACGAAAACCACAACGCAACATCAATGATTTTTTTGTTTTTTCATCCCCAATGCAACTCTATTGGTTTTCGCTTTTGCCAATGCAAACTCCTTGTGATGGTGATGGGGACGATGGGGACGATTTCGGGGGGTAAAAAGGAAAAAGTTTCAAAAAGCGCTTCCAAACTCACTTCTCATTTTGTCTACTTTCGCTGGTTGGCAGAGTCTTACAGTCATGTCTGCTGCTGCCGCCGCTGCCAAGTTCCGCCTGCGCACTCCCACCCTCGGCGAGATCGCCCAGCCCATCGGCCCCTTCGTTGTTGGCTTTGGTGTTGTCGGTGCCATCATCCTCAACCTCCCCTGGCCCGCTGGTACGTGTCCCGGGTTGTTTGCGATGCTTTTTTTTTTTTTTTTTTTTTTTTTTTTTTTGGTCTTGATCGATCTGTGCTCACTCGTCCTTGTTCTCTGCTCCCAATTACTTTTTCGTTCATCACCTCAGCCTCCCAGTACTACAAGTCGCGTAAGTGTTTGTTGAACAATCCCGTTCTTGATGCTGTTTGCTATTTCAATCTCACTTTTTTTTTTTTCTCTACCTTGTTCTTCTTGACAGCCTACAAGGCCGCTCGTGACAACCTCCGGCCCGAGCATTAATGAATAGCGTGGACTGTACAAAGCGCAGGACTCTTTAGTGCCGTGCTTCAGCTTTGTAGTGTGTAGCCTATTCAATCCAATGTAGCTATTTCTTTTTTTCTTTTTTTCTCTCTCTCTCCCTCTCTGGACGCCATCTCACTAAAGCTTGTGAGAATTGAGCCAGCATGATGGGAACGGGATTGTGTATTCATTCAGCACTGAAGCAACAAGAATTCACGCATCATCACAGCTCAGCTTCCTTTTGAAGCGCAGAGAGGCGCTCAGTCAGAACGCGTCGCACCTCCTTCCACTTGTTCGCCTTGTCTTGCTCCAGCGCCACCTTCTCGCTCTTGCAGCGAGCAATGACTGTGCGGGCAGACGCCAGGCTGTCTTCGCCAATCGTCATCTCCTTGAGATACCGGTCAAGCAGACTGTTGCTCGAGCCAGACAGCTTCTCGAGCGCCTTGACGTTGTCGCGCAGACGCGTCTGGTCTTTGAAAATCTCCTCGACCACCCGCTCGGCATCGGCAATGGACGCGGTGGTGGCTTCCAGCTTGCGATTGACGACAAGCACTTCCGCAAACCGCTTCTGCTCGTCCGAACCGATAAACCGATTCTTGATCGCGTTGTCGAGCCAGGTCTGCGACAGTTGGATGTCGTTCAAAGCCTGGATGCACGCCGTACGAGTGAGCGTGTGCTGCAAATCCTTGCGAGCGTCCGAGGTGATGAGCTTGGCCTACAGTTTGTGCAATGATGAGTTGAGATTCCTTTCCTCCGCCCACACACACACACACAAACAAAGGCAGAATCATGGCACAAACCTTCACGTAGAGATCCAGCGCCTCCTCAGTCATGCGAGAACCGACAACCTCAATGCGCTCCACATCGCTCTCCTCGACAACCGGAAGCTCCAACACCTCACGAGGGCCGAGACTGATGCAAATGCGCTGGGGAAGGCTGTGGAGGACAGTGGCCGTCTGCTTCAACACCTTCTCCACAGGGCTGGTGAGAATGTAGTTGGGATCGAGGGCGTGGTCCAGGTAGAAGGTAGCAAAGGTACGATCGCTGTTGTTGCGAATCTTGTACGTGGTGGTCTTGATGTCCTTGTGAACGAGCATGAGGCGGTTGGCCTTGGCCGAGCTGACATCCACAGAGGTGTCGCTCGAGTGGCGGAAGTGAATGCGGTTGACGTGGGATTCCTTGTGCTCTTCCGAGCTCGACACAGAAATGGCCGTTTCCACGGCAAAGCAAACCAGCTGGCGTTCCTGCGGCTTGAGCTGCATGAGCAGAGCCTCACCGATGTAGTTGCCGTCCTGTCAGTTGTTCAGAGAATGATGGATGGATGGATGGATGAAGGTGAGGAGGCCAGGGTCCACAAACAAACCTCAGACCAACAGGAGAAAGTGTCACCCACCTCAAGCACACTGATTGCGCCGCCTTCCAGGGGAAGGCCGGTCGAGTTGACAAAGTTGACAGCGTTCATGGGCGACGACACACGAACTCGCTTGTTGTACACCACCACACGCATGCACTCGACTTCCCGAGAGAACATTGGTACGATACCTGCGAATCATACGAGACCAAACTCACAAACGCTTGTTGTACACCACCACACGCATGCACTCGACTTCCCGCGAGAACATTGGTACGATACCTGCGAATCATACGAGACCAAACTCACAAAAAGTCAGCGAATCACGCGATTGTGGTAATGATGAAAATGCAAAATTGGAATCTTACCGCTCTGGTAGCGCTTGATGCTGACTGACTCGCTCAGGTTGAACACTTGCAAGTCCGTGTCGCCCAACGCGCGGGCTTCGGCATCTTCCATCTCAACTGGCATCGACGCGGAAGGAACATTTGATGAGGATGACGAGGCTCCAGTTGAGCTGCCCGAGTCCTGTCTCGAACATCCACATCACAGCCCAAAGAGTAAGCAACATGATGGGGCAAAAACAACGAAACGAAAAAACAGAAACATCCGTACACCACGCAAACGGAGAACCAGGTGCAGTGTCGACTCGCTTTGGATGTTGTATTCCGAAAGAGTGCGGCCGTCCTCGAGCTGCTTGCCCGCAAAGATCAGGCGCTGCTGATCCGGAGGAATGCCCTCCTTGTCCTGGATCTTGGCCTTGATTGTTTCGAGGGTATCCCGAGCTGACGCCTCGACAGTGACTGTCTTGCCCGTGAGCGTCTTGATGAACAGCTGATAGGTGGAGCGCGGAACCTGCTTGACGTTCTTGGTGGCACCAGAGGGATCGTCGCTCAGGACGTGAATGATGCCCGAGACGAGCGACAGCTGCACATCCTGCCAATCCTCGTCCGTCTTGTTGTCGACGAGCGCGAGCGCCTGCAGGTGGCAACGCTGGCTCGGGCTTGACTTTTCCTTGCCCTTCTCGGTCGGCTTGATCGAGTTGATGAGCAAGCGGTACGTGGAGCGCCACTCGACAGCGCCGCTGACATGGCTGGCAAGAATCGTGCGCTTGCCCTTGCCCTTGCAAATGACCGAGACCTGTTCCAGAGGCAGCAATCAAGCACAGCGGTACCACATCACATTGGCACAACAATTGGTTCAGGTCTTTAGCGTGGTGAGCGTTTGAGTAACAACACAAAGCCAGCCCATTGCGACAAAAACGGGTATGTCGGCAAAAAAAATCAGCCAACCAAAAATCTGACCGACCTGCTTCATGTCCTTGGGCGACTGGCGCAGCATGGCGTCGAGGTACTGCTGGTAGTCGTTGCGCACTTGGTCGTCGAGGATGCGCACGCGGGTGATCTTGCCCATCGGCACGTTGACAATGCTTCCGACGACCGGATTGAAGAGGTGAACGCTGAGGTGTCGAACGCCCTCAATGCCATCCACTGACGTGTACCGCTCCTCAGTGACGCCACCGACCATGCCGGACTGCGCATCCGCCGCGCCCTCGAGGCCAAGCTCGACATGCACACCGCGCAGCTCGGACAGCAGGCCGCCAAAGCTCATCGAGGTGCGCGAGAGCTTCTGGTAGAGCGGATTGCCGAGCATCTCCGAATCGGTCGTATTGGCGTCAAAGCTGATGCTCGACACGGGCACGGGGTCTGCGAAGGCGGCAGTCGCGCCGTGCTCCTGCTCACCGAGATCGAGCACGGTCAGGCTCTTGACGACGCGGCCGAGGTCGGCGCGCGAGAAGGCGAGCGAGAGTTGCGCGTTGTCCGTCACCGTTCCAACCCGCTCGTAGAACCCGACGTTCGATTTGAACAGGGTGACGCGCTTGATTGGCAGAGAGGTCATTGTTCTGCGAGTAGGAGTTTGTGTTGAGTTTGTGTGTGTATTGATTTGTAGGTTGAATAAGACTGAACAGACGGCTTTTTTAAGGCGAAAACGACAAACAAAGGATGACGAACACAACAATGACAAGATTCAAGGTTGAAAATAGGTTGACATGGATCAGCAAGTTGTTGTCTGTGTTTGGGGCCCACACACAGACACACAGATTAAGCTGACAGTGACACTGACAGAGAGAGTGAGAGAGAGAAAGTACAGCTTGAGGCAGAGGAGGGAAACGTCAGACAAAGTCGGACATGAAGTGGACTCCAAGGCGGATGGTGCATCAACTGCATCAGCACGTTGTGAATGTGATTAAAATGTGCAGATTTCCAATAGCGACGTGGGTACTAGGAGGAGGGGGGTGTTTTGGGAAATGGAGCGAGCTAACAAGCAACCGGGATTGTTCTGCAAAGCTCAGCCCAAGAACTGCACAATAGTCCTTGAACAAACAAAAAAATGCATGATCACCTTGCGATTCTTTTTGTGTTTGTGTTTGTGTTTGTGCAAAGGACTCGTACACTCTCTATTTTCGAATGGCGACCGTGAATCCAGGCAATCGCTTTGGGCCGCGCGCTGTCCGCCCAAAGGCGCCAGAGTACGAGCGCGAGGAAGGTACTGCTGTTTCTCGATGAAAAGCCCCCCCCCACCCCCGTTTTGCTTCGTTGTGGGTTGTTTTGCTTTGTGCCTTGATGCAGTGGCCCTTGCTTGGCCCTCATCCTCGCAGCAGCAATGCAATGGAGAACGAGCGCAAACATTCAAAAACGCGCGCTTTTTTTTTTTTTTTTTTTTTTTCTGGAGTGCGTTTTGCATTGCGTTTTGACTTTTGGCTCACTTCGGCCCTCTCTGCCTCGCCCCGCTCTCATGGCGGATAGAGATCTGCCGCGCGTTCATCTCCGACTTCACCTCCAACGACCAGGGCGTCGACAAGTTCAAGTACATGGCGCAGCTGGTAAGGATTTGCGAGCAGCAATGGAGTGGTTGCTGTTGTGTGCGCCGGTTTGGCAAAGAAGCAGCCGTGCCAATGGTTGTTTTCCCTACTCTGCAAGGTGCGCTTGCGGTTTGGTGGAGGGGGAAGGGGACGGGGGACGGGGGAAGGGCAGGTGGGAGGCGGCTTTGACAGGCCAGCACTCTCCGATCGTTTCTGCTTCTCCTCCGCGAGCCCGATGCCCTGCACAGCGCACCGTCGTGATGCTGCTTGACAATGATCTCGCATTGTTTGAGGGGGTGGGGGAAACTCGCGGCAAGCTGGTCAGGAATCCCGCTTCGCTTCAGCTTCTGTTCAATCTCCTTTAAAAAAAAAAAAAAAAAAAAAAAAAGATCTGTCAAAAAAATCAAAACAGTTTTTTTTTTTCAATTTTCGCATTCAGCTACTGCAAGTTGATCGGAAAACCGTCACTCGACCGTACCCGATTGCACGATCAACCACGCGACATGACTTCCATCGTTCCAAAAAAAAAATATGACTCAATGCTCACTGTATTCGTTGAACTTGCCCCCCTTCCGCAGCAACAAATTGCCGACCGACAGCAAAAGCTCTTGATCATCGACCTCGAGGATGTCAGCACGTTCGACGCTGACTTTGCGACACGCATTGAGAGCAACACGGCTCGGTACCTCAAGATCTTTGCCGAGACCATCGACAAGCTGATGCCGCCACGCTCGGCGGAGGCACACGCCTCAAGCCTGAATGTCGACCCGATTGAAATCTTCATGGAGCAGCGCATTGCTCTGCGCGAGAACAATATGGACGCTGCGAACGGCACGGTCGATCCCAACAAGCGCTGGCCGCCAGAGCTTCTGCGTCGGTTTGAGGTGCACTTTGGCGCGCGCGACAATGCCAAGCAGCTGGCCATTCGCCAGGTGCGTGCGAATGAGATTGGCCATCTTGTGCGCGTGCGTGCGATTGTGACGCGCACGACCGAGGTCAAGCCGTTGCTTCGCGTCGCCACCTACACGTGCGACAAGTGCGATACAGAAATCTACCAGGAGAACACGGGCGCGAGCTACATGCCGCTCATCACATGCATCAGCCCAAGCTGCATCCAGAACGGCACGTCGGGCAACCTGTTCATGCAGACACGCGGCTCCAAGTTTGTTAGTTTCCAGGAAATCAAAATCCAAGAGATTGCCGAGCAGGTGCCCGTCGGTCACATTCCGCGCACAATGACAGCCCATGTCCGGGGCGACCTGACGCGCATGTGCTCGCCCGGCGACATTGTCATTCTCGACGGCATCTTTATGCCCGCGCCGTACACTGGCTTCCGAGCAATGCGCGCTGGTCTTCTTTCCGACACGTATCTGGACGTGCAGACCATCACGCGCACCAAAAAGACATACGAGGAGGACGCCATTCTGACGCCCGAGCAAATGGAGGAGATGGAGGCGCTTCGCATGGAGCCCAGTCTCTACGACAAGCTCGCCAGTTCGATTGCGCCTGAAATCTACGGGCACGACGATGTCAAGAAGGCGCTGCTGCTGCTGCTTGTCGGCGGCGTCAACCGCAACATGTCCGACGGCATGCGCATTCGCGGCGACATTAATGTTTGCTTGATGGGCGATCCCGGTGTGGCCAAGTCGCAACTCTTGCGCTTCATTTCCACCGTGTCGCCACGAGGTGTGTACACGACTGGCAAGGGCAGCTCGGGCGTCGGTTTGACCGCCGCTGTGACCAAGGACCCTTTCACTGGCGAGCTGGTGCTGGAAGGTGGTGCCCTTGTCCTGGCTGATAAGGGTGTTTGCTGCATTGACGAGTTTGACAAGATGGAGGAGGGTGATCGTACCGCCATTCACGAGGTGATGGAACAACAAACCATTTCCATCGCCAAGGCAGGCATCACCACCACGCTCAACGCCCGCACGTCCATTCTCGCTGCTGCAAATCCGGCCTACGGCCGCTACAACCTGGCCAAGTCTGCGGCCGCCAACATCAATCTCCCCGCTGCCTTGCTTTCCCGCTTTGACCTGATGTTCTTGCTGCTCGATCGAGCAGACCAAGACGACGACCACCGTCTGGCCAAGCACATTACATACGTGCACCAGCACTCCAAGCATCCTCCGCTGCAAATGGATCCGTTGAGTCCTCATCTCTTGCGGTAGGTTGTCTTGTTGTTGCGAAACGAAGGGTGTTCTGGTTGTCCATTTGCCGTGTTTTTAATAACTTTTTGTTGTTGTTGTTGTTGTTGTTGTTGTTGTTGTTGTTGTTGTTGTTGTTGTTGTTGTTGTTGTTGTTGTTGTTGTTGTTGTTGTTGTTGTTGTTGTTGTTGTTTTTGGACGGTGTCTGGACAGGCAATATGTGGCTCAATCGCGCATGAGAAATCCAATCATTCCTCGAGAATTGAGCGACTATATTACGGGTGTCTACACGGGCATGCGGCTCGCTGATAGTGTCCACGGAGCTCATCGTAGCACTTTGACGACAGCTCGTACATTGTTGGCCATTCTTCGCTTGTCCACGGCGCTGGTGAGTTTGGCTATTTGGTTGGAGATGTGTGGTTCATGTCAAGAGGGTGTGTTTGGTGTCTAACTGGCCGATGGTTGAATATTCAGGCTCGCTTGCGGAATGTGGATGAAGTTTCGTCCGACGACGTCGACGAGGCCACTCGATTGATGGACTCGTCCAAGGTGTCACTGGAAGAGCGCCACCGAACTAAGAATCCGTACGTTGTTCGGTTGATTGAATTGCTTTTTTGTTTTTTGTTTTCTCGCCTGGTTGATGGGCAGCGGTTCTCATTCTCTTTCATTTCCCTTTTACCAGTGATCAACAAAAGATTGATTTGATTTTCGAACTCGTCCGCGATCTGCCGCGCCTCAAGCCCACCGTTGTTGGCTATGAGGCCGCCCGCGCGGCTGTTCTGCGACGAGGATTCCATGATGCGGATTTCGAGCAGTTCCTTGTCGAGTATGAGGAGATTGGTGTGGTTGCGCTCGGCTCTGGCGGCACCGAAATCCGATTGATGGCGTAAAACAAAAAACGCTCGGCATGGTGCGTTTCGCCTCTCGTCCTTGTACAAAACAAAAAGCTGTTCTTTCGACCTGTGGGCCTTCATTCTGTTGACTCTTCCCTTGTCCTTTGTTTCCCCCCCCCCCCTCTTGATGATGATGATGATGACTGTCTTCGATTAACGTTGTGTTCTTAATACCAATTTTTTTTCCATTCGTTTTTTTTTTCCCACCGTCGTGTGTTTCCCTTCCCTCCACTCGCCTTCTCTGAGGTGATCATTTGCTAATGAGTGTCCATTTAAGTGATTGATGTGATCTTTGACAGCTCACTCTTCCAATTTCCCATACAAGCAGGTTTGGACATGTCAGGTAAGTCCGAATCGCACCTCTCTCAATGCCCCGTCACGAATCCGACCAATCGATCGATGCAGCGGTTTTTTGTGCTTTCCCGATTGCTCTTGAACCACTGCTCTTCTCAGCGGACTGAGATGAGGTTCCTGTTCACAGTGTTGGTGAATGTCCGAAGTGTGATCACGGAACACGGCTTGTTCCCAAAAAAAAAAAAAAAAAAAAAAAAAGCGAGGTAACATTTTGTATTGGACTTTGACACGCTGCGTTTTTCAAGGGACGAAGCGAGCGAGGTCGCTGCGTTGATCGCTGGTTGGTGAATTTAGATTTGACGAGGTGATGGACTGAGGTGGGTCGTGTCGGGACCTCCCAGACCGGAGACCAACTGGAATCAAAAACATCCAAAAATCGAAAAAAATCGAAAAAAAAAAATCCAACCTTTGGGATTCGTTCGCACCTCGTGCGGCGGATTTCTGAAACGGCGCGAGGGTTTACGTCCCAATCCAGCGACATGGAAGAGCCGCTGCCTTTTGCAGGCTTGAACTCGGTGGCAGAGTCGGCGGCCAAGTGGCAAAGTGAAGCAGCGAAGCAAGGCGATGAGGAATTGGGATTGCTCCAAGAACGCACCCACCCGACCACAGCGAGGAGCGATTGATGAAGGGCGATGAATCACGATTCAACATGGCAATGTCAAGAAAAAGCAGCCTGGAAATCGAGAGAGCGACAGAGAGCGACAGAGAGAGAGACAGGAGGTGGGGAGGTCTCACAGTCATTCACAGTGGTAATGCATCCATCTCCCTCCAATCAAATCCGGCACTGTGGAGCACGACCCACCCCTGACCACCAGTGACCCAGTGACCCAGTGATGACCCAAACCAACCAATAATCCAAGAGTGATCTGACTTTTTGTGTGCATTTTTGAATGTGGGATGGAGCAGAAGCGTTCGTCACACTGGTCACCAACGACGGGTACGCGCTGGGCGCACTGGTGCTCGCCAAGTCATTGCGCGATGTCAACACGACACGCAAGATTGCAGTGCTCATCACAAACGAAGTGTCCGAGCCCACCCGGTGAGTTCGGTTATTTGGCGTGCAAGAGTGCACACAAAAGGATCCGAGAACCTGACTGTGACAATCTCGTAGCAACCGCCTGCGCGAGGCATTCGACGTCGTGTCGCTGGTGAACGAACTCAACACACACGATGCTGCCAATCTCGCGCTGCTGGGGCGTCCTGAGCTTGGTGTCACGCTGACCAAGATCTACGCATGGAAGCTCACCCAATTTACCAAGTGCGTCTTCCTGGATGCCGACACGCTCGTTGTGCAGAATGTTGATGAGGTAGGACTCTACTGGCTGGCTGTTGTCTGTTCTTCAACCACAGGCAACTCACCTTTGCCGATCGGTGCGTGTAGCTCTTTGATCGCCCTGAAATCGCAGCAGCACCCGACGTGGGCTGGCCCGATTGCTTCAACTCGGGTGTCTTTGTCTTTGTCCCGTCTGCTGCTACGTTCGAGAAGCTTGCTGAACACGCCGTGAGCACTGGCTCATTCGATGGTACGAAGAGCTGTTCTGTTGACACTTCTTTGGGGGTGGGATGGAAGGTTTGAGTTGGGACGGTGTTTTTTGAACCGAGTTTTTCACTTCTTTGTTTGTTTGTTTGTTTGTTTTTTCCAACTCCTTGCAGGCGGTGACCAAGGTCTGCTCAACACCTTCTTTGATTACTGGCCTACTGCCGGTCCCGAGCATCGCCTTTCCTTCCTCTACAACATGAATGCCAACCAAAGCTACAGCTACAAGCCGGCGTTCCAGAAGTATGGTCACTTGGTGAAGATTATCCACTTTATTGGCCAGTTCAAGGTAGGTCAGAATAGTTTGTTTGATGTTCTATGCAGCGTCTATGAGTCTGACTGTCGTATGTGTAATATTGTGATCTTCGACGTGTACAGCCGTGGCATTGGGCTCGCACCTCCAGCGGACGCGTTTATGCTCAAACGCAAGAGGCCCCCACTCACTCCGAGTTCCACGTGCAGCAATGGTGGAACGTTTTCGACCGTCATTACTCGACTTCGGTATGCTGAGCTTCTTTCAAAGGAGGGGGGTTTTGTGTTTGCGTTCTTCCGACTCACCACCCCCTATCGACTTTGTTTAGGCTCCTCCGGTCAGCCTCGCCGCTCTTCCGATCGGCTTTAGTGGCAACGTGATGCGTATCCAGCATGGAGAGGCTCTCCCGCCCCGCACTGCGCCCTCTGGCCCGCAGTATCTTGCGGATTATGGACGCTCTGGCAGCTCGCCTGCTCCCGCAAAGCAGTATGACTTTTCCAACATCCTCCATCGGCTGGATGTCCTGATTCCAGACAAGTTCCATGCCACCGGTGAGGCTGGAAAGGCGCCGCAGTCGCCCGTCTACTCGAGCCAAGCGACCGAGCAGCTCCAAGAAATCTCTGCCACGGCATCCAAACTTCACAGCCAGATTGCTGAACTCGAGAGCGGCATCCAAGCCGGCCGCTATGCAAACCCTTCCCTGGCCAGCGCCGTCCATCAAGAAGTTAACACTGCTGTCAACGAACTGGCCGAGAAGCTCCGCTCGAGCTCAACAAAGTAAACGAGCAGGGTATCGGATTTGGTTTTCCAGTGTTTGTCGTCTGTTGTCCGTTGAAGGGGTTTTTCTCTCCTGTTGCATTTTGCTTTTCGTTCTTGTTTCTCATTGATGATGGCCTTCGAGCTTGAATCCTCACCAAAGTGTGATCTCATCCATTACAACATTTCAAACAAATTCCCTTTCCCCCATCCATTTATTCCTGCTCATCATCCTAACTCCATAATGCTCCAAAACGCACATCCTGCCATGCCCGAACGCAGTCCAACAAACCCCCAATGCAATGAGCCAGCAAGGACTGCTCCCAAATCCGCCGCGAACGGGACTGCTCGGCCCGGGGCCAGATTCGACCACAGCGTCGCCCGCACACCAGAGTCATATCAGCTCGCCCGCTCTCCACAGTCTCCAGAGCAGCCCTGGGGGCAGCGGCGGGCTGCTCGGTACTCTGCCTTCCCCTTTGCTGCTCGGATCGCGACCGGGACTGCTCCAGCCAGGCCAGCCGGCGTCGCTCATGGGAGCCGCTCCTCCGATGCAGATGCCAATGCCAGTGCCAGTGCAGGCCACCGGGTCTGCGTATGGATCCAGCGGCAGCTTGGCCGAGCAGTTCAATCTGCCGGCGCCCGGATCGCTCGCGTCGCAAGTCCGCCTGCCAACATGGCACGAATACTCTGGGCTCTCACCAGCGCCGCCAGGCCAGAGCCACCATCACGGCAACCGTGGTGGTTCATCGCAGGGGGCGAGGACGGGATCTGGGCTCAACCGACCGCCGCATCGCTCCAGGTAGGTACTTTTGCTGCTCTGATGCAAAACGCAGACATTAGAGCAGCATAAAGCATCATTGATACGATGGTCAATGCGTTTGGACAAAGCACGTTGGACGACGAGTAGTTGACGGAGTGCTCATGATTGATTTTTTTCTGAATCTTTGTTTGTGCAGTCCCTCTGGCGACAAGGCCAACGCTCGCGTAGCTCCATACAAAACCCCAACCGGCAATACACCCGCTCCAAAGGCTCCCGCAAAATCCTCGGACAATGGTGCTCCGCAGCAGCCTGCGTATGAGACAGACGCCCACAAACTCGAGCAGCGACAACGGCAGATAAATCTCGGCAAGCAAAAGCCAGAGTACGCCCGATATATCGAAGCAGTGCCAAAGTGAGTATGCCCTGTGGGTGGCGTTAGCATTGTAGCTGGCACCGCCGTGGCAGTCGTGGGGTTTTTTTGGGTTGAAACCTTTGTGGACTCGAGCTGAATCGAAGATTCACAACCAACATTACACTGGTGAAATCGTGTCCTCTCAGGGATCAACGGATACGAGGTGTACACCCAACCACGCCAGACAAGTTTATGACGGCAAGCAAGCGACAATTTGACGGGCTCATCAAGGTCTGGCGAAGACAGCTCCATCGCTGGGATGAGCCTGCCAGCGCCACCGGAGCCAGCCAGCCAGCCGAGGATGGAGCAGACTCTGCCGAAGACAACCAAAATGGCAACGAGCTGGAAGAGCTTGATGAGTATGAAGCAATCGCAGCCATGGACGACGACATGTAAGTTGTTTTTGCAGCATTCCGATTTGTTTGTTTCGTTCCAGGTTTACTGCAATACTGACCCTTGATTGTTTTGATTTCGAAATCGATTGCGAACGGCTCGGTTTTTGCAGCTCTACCTACTTTGAGGACATGTAGAATCAATCGGCTTTCCTGACTGAAATATTAGCAGAACCAAAAAAAAAAAAATCGATTCGATTGTTGATAATGTAGAATATAGTCAGATCCGCAACGACACTTTCTCTAGGCTCAGAAGGCGCATCCACTGTTCAGCACCTCAGTTCGCAAAATCCAGTCAGTTGAAAGCGCAATCACGACCCTTCTGCCCAGTGCGTTTTGCAAACATCCCTTCAGCCAGCAAAAAGAAAACGGCTTCATTAACGCACGACAATCACAACGACAACTAAAAAGTCACATCACAAGAAAAAGTCATCTTGCTCAGGCTCCGGCTTGGACTTGGCGGCAGGTTTGCTGACATTGGGTCGCTTGGCAGACCGACTGGCTGCCGTGCTCGTCGCACCCGATGATGGTTTGATATTTTCGGGTTTGCGCCCGCTACGCTTTTGGGGAGCCTTGTCCTCTTCGGATTCGCTGTCCGAAGCGTCCTCTTCCTCATCTTCGCCCTCCTCCTGATCATCGCTGTCATCCTCTGCATCGTCGTCCTCAGCAGAGGCGGCGCGAGCAGCATTCTGTGCGTTGGCTGCCTGCTCGCGGGCCGACACGAGGCGATCCGAGAGCAAGCGATGCTGCTTGGCGACTTCTTCCAGAGCGCGCAGGGTTTGTTCGTCGGTTTCGCCGAGAGCCTTCGACGGCTCGTACCCGTCTGCTTGCTTCAGAGCACCTTCGGTCACAAACCGGTTGATTAGCCGGTGGATGGCTTCACGAGCCTGCTTTGCGCGAGCGTCAGGCTCGGTCTTTGGGAAGAGAGAAAGATACTTGGCGCTCTTTGGAAAGTATGTGACGTAGTTGACATCGGCCATCCACTTGGCAAGCTGTGACAGATCCGGCTGGTCCTTCTTGCGTGCAGTTTCCATCAATCGGAGCAACTTTCGGCGCTCTAGCAGGGGTCAAGATTGCAGTAAGCGTTGAGCAACAGCGTTGAGCCAGCACATCCACCATATCCAAGCCTCTGGCGCTCAATTGAACAATCAAAGTATCGTCGCAGTCTATCGTCCTCATGTTCTACTGAGCCACCAAAGAGGACCCTACCAAAGAATCGGATTGCATGGTACTTGTTCACCGCAGTGCGTTCCAGCGTGACGACCGCCTTGTCGCTCGTCGAGGTCTGACGCTCGAGCTCAAGTGCAGCCAACTGGCGCTCGTGTGCCTGGCGAACCGTTGCAGGCAGGTTTGGCTGTGTTCACCAACATTGCAATGAGTTGAGTGAGTGACTGAGTGACTGAGTGAGTGAGATTGGAGAATTGAATCTTGACCAGTGTTCGCTTTTTCCACCAAAGGCCGAGCACTCCAATTGGGGCGCGGGGTTTGGTCGCCGACTCCAGTCTCAGCAATGCAGAAGCACTGCGACTGCTGTGGGCTTGAGTGGGGAGCCCAACGCGCATCCCAGTCTCCAAGTCCCAGTCTCCAAGTCCCATGTGCCTCGCACGCGGTGAATGAATGCTCGTCACCGCTGCCTTACCCGAGCGAGCAGTCGGCGGATGTCGCGCAGCTGCTGGCCAAGACCCTTGTGCTTCTTGCTACCCTTGGCAGCGGCGTCGCTGGCAGCGGTGGTGGCGGGCTTCTGTGGAGCGGTCGCGGCGCGGGGCTTCTTGGACTTGCCCTTGTCTTGCTGGACCATGATTGAAAGGAGAAAAAATACAAAAGAAGAGTGGATGCAGATGTAATAACAGTGATAAACAACAATAGAGAATGGATGGAGTGGTGAAAGTCGACGACAAGTGCGAACTGGATGCGAATCGACAAAAGGATTGGATCACGGTGCACATTCGACAAACACAGGTGACCGCATAGACCCGTGTAGACAACGCCTTGAAGCGGACAGAACAGAAGCCGGCATCGTTTAGGAGAGTGGGGCTGCGGCAGCAGGTGGGCTCGTTGAAGCGACTTCAGAAGGCGGAGCAGCCACGGCTCCAGTAGTGCCGCTGAGAGTGCTGCTGGTGCTAGCAACCACACCAGAAGAGGCAGAGCTCGATCCGAAAGAAAACACGGGCGCGGCTTTTGGTGGTGGGTGGAGGAAGAGTCGCACTTGGTTGATGTCGGGAACGGCGGCAATTTGCCGATCTTCCTCCGAATAGTCGTCGCCTTGAACAGTGGCATACAGCTGCTTGTAGCTCTCCTCGATATTGTTCTTGATGGGTCGGAACAAAATGTACTCTGTCTCTGCGTTGCCGAGATAGAGCGACAGGCTGCGTTGCGTCGATTCCAGCTGAGCTTTGAGCAACATGTACGTTTCGTTCACGATTTGCTTGATTTTTTCTGTGCAGTAGGTAGGTAGCATTGAGTGGGTTTGCGCTCCGCTTTCCCGCTTTCCGCTTTCGACAAGACAGACAGTCCAAAACTTTCTAAATTTTTGCTGCTTACCAGGATATGCAAAAGGCTGTCGTCGAAGAGAGAGTGCTGCGGTGCTCGGGCCAGCATCTGTTTTAACCTTCAAAAACGCGGCAGACTTGAAAAAAAAAAGTCCAAAAAATGAAAAGGAAGCCAAAACAGCAGCCGGCAGAACAAAGTCAGCTCAGAGCCTTTCTCAACCAAAACATCTCTGCCTCTGCGCCATTGGTTTGCGCTGTAGTACAAACCTTGGTCAAAAACGTGGTCAACGGCGCAATGATGGACTTGGTCACATCCAGCACAAACCGCTCGCAGACTTGCTTGAGCTCCACATCCAACTCCTGCCCATCCAAACATTTGCGTGTTAGAAACCAAAGCACAGGACGCCACAAGCTACGGTAAATCTCTCTACCTTTTTAGAGTCAACAAAGCTCTCCTGAGACATTCGCGGGGCCTCATTCAACAAAAAGTTGAGAACCGCATTGTTGCGGTTGAGAGAAAACAGCGTCCCGCCTCGTGACAGCAAACTGAATGCCGCATCTAATCGAAACGCGCCATACCAAGAAGACGTTAGACTGGTACCATGCGTGTGATGAAAAAGGCGAAACTCTCGCATACCTTTGAGCTTCCGCAAATCCAGCGACTTTTCCAGCACCGCAAACTCGACATCAAACGGGGACAGCTGCTCTCGCAGCACAAGCAGATGCTTGATGAGAAAGAGCTCGCCATCCAAAGGACCCTTCTTTGCAGCGATCGCGTTCGAAGCGGCAACCAGCGACTGAATGCACACGCTCACAGTGTGCTGCGAAATGCCCTCAAAGATGCGTTTCTACACAATCCAGCCAGATGGAAATCAGAAATCAGAATCCAAGCACGACCCCGGAGCCAAGCAAGCAGATTCAACAAAAGAGAAAAAGCAAAAAAAAACCGCGTACATCGATACAGCGGTAAAGCCGAGATAGCAAAACCAACGAACGTTGAAGAGTCGGGAACCAGAGTGTAAACTGGTTTGATGGATGCCGTGGAGTCGCGGCAGTGGCAGGGGTTGACTGGCCCGAAGCCAACTCGGTTGGGCTTTGGGCGGGAAGGGGCTGTGGCGACACTGCGTTCAGGAACTTTTCAGGGTAGGCCAAATCGTCCGCGGTTGGCTGCCAAAGTTGAATGTCAGACCGCACATAGGCCTGCACACGAAACACGAGGCGCTGCTGCAAATCCTCCAAAATCTGCAGCGCCACGGCTTCGAACGCAAGCGCTGGAACAGTCGGGTCGGCCAGAATTTCAGCAGACACAATCTCGCAGAGCTCCATCAGTTGCTCCACATTGTTTTGCTGGATGATACTAGGACGAATGGCGTCGTACAGGATGCCAGACAGTTGATCCTGCAACGATCTAAACAAAGTGGACAAGTATTGGGACCGGAAACTCTCGTCAGCAGAAAAAACAAAAAAAAAAGCGCGACAACGTGACGTTTCCATGGAAGATCTACTTACTCGAGACCAGGGGTCTCGATAGAAAAGAAGTGGTGATAGAGCTTGATTTCGTTTTGGCAGATCCGAATCAAGTAGGCACTGGCGTGACGCAACTATGTGGACAACACAACGAACACACGACGGTAAGCGAAAACCAAACCCTCTTTGCATCATGAGGACGCAACCATCATTGTGGATCATGCTCTTACCAGCTGAGCCATATCAGATCCACTCTCGGCTTGCATCCTCGAAATGGCCTCGTGCACCGTGTGATCAAGGAGCGCGTGACGCTGGCCAAAGTAGCAATTCAAGCAGTCCTGCAAGAGCGATTGGTAGGGCGAACCATCTTCCTTGCACCGCGACTCAATCTCGACTGCCAGAGCCTTAATGCGCGGCGCGTATGTGCGGAACTTGGTGTAATGAAGGGCGAACAGCGCTTCCGTGGAAGACGAGTTGGCTGTGCCTGCGGCGCCGGAAACAGAACCAGCATTCACGCCACTCGCGGCTTGTGCTTGGTTTAACGTCGAAGCGGTAGAGCGAGCGTTCAGCTAGTCGTCCCACCACAATCAGATTCCCAATGACAGCAACATGTAAAATCACACAAACATCCACCACACAAACAAACAAAAAAAAAAAAAAAGCCCAAGCAGAAGACCAATTTCTAACTCACCTCCTTCTTAATTTCACATTGCTGTGTCGCGGTTTTGAGAGCTGAAACAATGTGCAGCTTGATGAGCGTGAGCGCTCGACTTTGGTTTTGGCGGAAACGAGTCAGGTACACCTCGGCGTCCTTAAAGTGGCGGTGCTGCGAAATGAAGGCAATGCACTCGTCGATGCGAGTCAGCGTCGGAATGAACCGGTCGCTGTTGACAGTGACAACGGGATCGTTGAGGAAGCGGCTGCATGCTTCGACCTCGCTAAAGTACGCGAGCTTTGTGCCAATGTTCTCGAGCACGCGAACCAGATGATTTTGGTCGCGCAGCAATAGCTGACAAGCATCATGCAGCGCCGTTGTCTTGGTCGAGACGGATGTGTACTGCTCGTGCATCCCATTCAACGCGTCAAGCGCCGAGTCGATATTCGCCAAAATCTCGTCGCAACGCGCACGGTGCCTGCTGAGCAGGTCGATGTACGATCTGACAGGTCATACCATGAAACGTGAGAAACAAAATTTGGTGCAAAACTACCTGTCCGAGATGATTCTGAGATTCTGAGCAGTGTGGGGGAGTGCGTTCGCTTACCTGTATGACTCTTCCTGCTCGCCTTCCATGCGCATCTCAACGCTGGCAAACCAACCAAAGAACTGCTGCGCAGTCTCGATGGGACCGTCTGGGGCGGACGAGTTTGCTGCTGCCAGCGCGGCAGAGTGCTCACTGGACGCGAGTGCAAGCGATGCTCCTCCTCCTACTGCTGCTGCTGCTGCTGCTGCTGCTGCTGCTGCTGCTGCTGCTGCTGCTGCTGCTGCTGCTGCTGCTGCTGCTGTAGAGCCGACAGATGACCCTGACGAAGCAGCTGGAGTGGCCGGAGTCGCTGAAGCGAGCGGCAGCTGCGGCATTGGAACCCAGCCAGCGACCATCGACAGATCAAGCACGGCGTCCTTCTGGCGCTCAGACAGCGGCGCGAGCTCGTCCCATTGCGACAGTGCCTGGCGAACGGCAGCAGACGACGCAGCGGCAGGCACAGCACCAGCAGCAGCCGTCGAGGCCGACGATGTGGAACTCGCTGCAGCTGCTGCATGTCCGGTTGCAGGCGAGACCATTGTGCGTTTCCGTCTGAGAAGAGCAGAGTTAAATAGATATGTGTATTAAAAAAAGCGTAACAAAAAGGACTGAATTTGGAGTGATTTTTCGAAAGATGGGGTCGAATTGTATGGAAAACTATTGAATCTCGCTGCTTGGATTGTAATTCGTCACCTCAACAGACAAACAAGCAATCTACCACGCAATCGCAGAGCAGCGTTTTGGAGGGATTCAACGTGCAGCAGGAAGATCGTCGTCTCGCGCTTTCCGCTTGTGATGCGGAAGGTGATGGTGCGGATGCGGAATCTCCTGGCCATGGTACGCCACCGCGCGCGGATCTGGCCCGTTGTGCATCTCGTGGAACTCGTGGAAGGCAAACACCAGGAAGCTGATGCTGCCAATCAAGAAGAACATGCCGCCCACAGCACTCACCCAATTCACGAGGGATTCGGTGCAGGCCGAGCTCTCGCGGTATTCCATGCCGTCGGGGAGCGCGGGCGAGTAGTCGACGCCGATGCTCGTCGTGCAGAAGCCGGTTACAACAAAGAGTGCAGAGCCAATGGCAAGCGAGAGCGAGCCCCACATGTACTGGTTCTCAATGTTGGTCCAGAGCGGCGGCTGGTACTGCAAGGCTCCGTCCAAGGTGAAGATGCTGGAGCCCGTGAGGAAAAAGAAGGACGAGACAAAGTTCATGTAGCCCGCCGTCTTGGGATGGTTGCCGCCGATTTGCAGCGCAGGCACCGTGATGTACAGCGAGCCAGCCACGACAAGCAGAAAGATGGCCGCGTGGTAGAGGGCGCTCGGCCGCTTGTGCGCACGCTTCCAAAACATGGCATACAGTGCGCGTGCTTCCAAGAGCACCTTTGCCAGCAAGAGGAAGGCGACGCTTATAATCATGGCAATGTTGAGCGGTGTGAGCGACTCTGGCAGGTATTCCATCAGAATGGGCAGGATGGCAAACCCGATCGAGCCCATCACGAACATGGCCGCGCCAACCAGGTCCAGATCGCGATATGTGCGTCCTACGAATTCCCATAGCCATGGGCAGGCGTGGTAGACGTTCAGGTGGGCCATCTGCACGCCTTCGCGCTCGTACTCGGCAAGCGTGTTGGGATGCGGGACTTGTTGTACGCCGCGCTTGTGGCGATGCGTTCTCGCTGTCGCTTTGCCAAAAGTCAGCTGTCTAGCAGCTCTATTGGTCGGATTAAACTGTAATTGCTCGGTGGAATTGAGCGATGCGCGTGAACTCGCGGCTGCGTTCATCTTTGTGGCGGATTTCGATGCTGCGTTGCGCTTGTCCGCCAACGCCATTGCGCGCCCGTCAGCAGCAACACCTGGAGAGATACTGCCCATGCCATCACTGGCTGCAGCTTTGTCTCTGTGTGTGTCAATTGTTGTGACGGCTGACGAGGACGATGAAGCTGTCTGAGCTGGAATAGCAGCTGAAACCGCCGTTTTTGGGTATGGCGGCGCTTGTCTCGGCAATGGCGGCAATGGCGGCAATGGCGGCAATGGCGGTACTGGAGCCGACTGCAAGTAACGCGGTTTGAAGTCGACCTCAATTTGACAGTGAGGTTCCGGCATTCGTTCTGATGAGCTCCGGAAACTCAAACACAAAGAGAAGGACAAAGTTAAGAGTGCGCACATTTTGAGACCCTTTTTCCCAGGTCGGATTTTTGTTTTGTTCGGATTTCTATTCTTTCGTTGTGATTTACTTGCGTTTTGTTTCTCAGCTCCTGTTGTAGGGAATTGTTGTGGATGAACAGCCAAAGTGAATCTGCTTCAACACACTTTCTGCGGTCTTTTGCTTTGTGATTCTGCTTCCTTTGTGTGTTTCTGTTTTGAGGTTTCCATGCAAGTTCGTTCGCTTTACTCATTTTGCCTGTTCTTCCAAGTGTCAGCTCACTCCCGAACAACGCCAAATGCAACTGCGACTGTGGACGACGAGCTCGGTAACAATCTGAGAAGCTCAAATTCTCTGCCTTCTTCAGCAATCCATGTTGCTGATCCCTCGTTTTGAGCACTTTGTCGCGTCACTTGTACTGATTGTACTGATGATGATTATGATGATGATCTTTGACTTTGGCACAATGTACTACTATTGTACTATGACTGTACAATGGACTGCAATGATAGGTGACTGCTGCTTCCGCTTCCGCTCGATCCCTCACGTTGTCGACCACCTCGTCCGCAAGCCAAGTCCGACCGTCCGCTGCTTCGTCTGTTGCGTCTGTTGCTTCTGTTGCTGCCATTGGGTCTGTCTCTGTCGGTCGCACTGCTGCAAGGGGACGGCTGCTGCCTTCGATTGTCATGGCCCAACGGCCGTTTACTGCAGGATCCACCGCTGCTGCTGCCACCGCTGCCACCGCCGCCGCGTCCATCGCCAGTGGATCAACTGCGCAGATACTCATGCACGTTGGATCCGCACCGAGCGTCTCGCCGGCGGCGACGCTCATCCGTCAGCATCATGCTGCTGCTGCCCAACAACAACCATTGCTGCATTCGGCCACAGCCCAACGGCTGCGTGGTCTGGTGCCTGCGCGGTCATTCTCAATGCTGAGTGCTGCAAGTGCAAACGTGGCAACCGCCGCAGGGGCCGCGATACTCTCCATCGACGACGTGACCATGCCGCTGACCGATCCTCTCACCCCCGAGTTTGTCCCGCTGCACTACATTCAAGAGCGTGTGCGCCTCACGTCGCCTACCATGGCCGACCATTTGCGCTGGATGATGCAGAAGGTAGGCTGGGGCTGCTACTCTTTGATTTCGTGGTTGGTTGTGATTCGATGTGTTTTCCGTTCCCAGCAGGCCCAACTGTGGTTTTTTTTTTTTTTCTTTTGGGGTCATCTTGACCAACGACTCTCGTGCAGGATTTGCTCGGGCAAGACATGTTTCTCATTGGACCTCCAGGGCCGTTGCGCCGGAACTTGGCCATGGTCTACTGCGAGCTGACTCGGCGAGAGGTTGAATACGTTTCGCTCTCCCGCGACACCACCGAAAGCGACCTCAAGCAACGTCGAGAAATCCGGTCAGGTGCGTTTGCTGTAGATTTGGTTGCAACATTGCGGTGTACAAAGCTATGGGCTCTTTTTAACCTTGTTGTTCGTTTGTTTGGGTTTTTTTTTTTGTTTTGTTTTGTTGTTTCGACGCTACGACAGGCTCGGCTCATTACATTGATCAAGCCGCAGTGTTGGCTGCCGTCCACGGCCGAATCCTCATCCTCGAGGGCATCGAAAAGGCAGAGCGCAACGTGCTCCCCGTCCTCAATAATCTTCTTGAAAATCGAGAAATGCGCTTGGAGGATGGCCGCTTCCTTGTGGCGCCGCAGCGCTACGATGCGCTTCTGAAGGTAACGCCGAGTTGCACGTCAGAGACGTTTGATACGCCGACTTTGAACTCACCGTGTGCATCCAACAAAACTTTCCCGCCCCAACACAGGAACACTCCAAAGAAGAACTGGACAAGTGGAAGTTGGTGCGTGTGTCCGAACGCTTCAGGGTCATTGCACTCGGATTGCCAGTACCGCGCTTCCAGGGCAATCCACTGGATCCTCCACTTCGCTCTCGCTTCCAAGGCCGCGATGTCCGCCTGGTTTCCTTTGATGCCGCGCTCGAGTATGCCGTGCTGTCTGCGCAACGAGCCCTGCACGCGCTGGCCACTCACCAAACCGTCGCGCAAGGTCTCCGCGAATCTACGGCGTCCAGTTCTCCTGCAGATGAATTGTCACACAACAGCAGCACTTCAATTCCTACGGCACTGCCCGATCTTCCGGCAAACTTGCAAGCGCGCATTCGCTCTATTGTCGCGCTGGGTACCGTTCTTCGCACCCTGGAGGGCTCTGGTTCGTTTGAAATTGCTGGTGCTGCCGAAGCCTCAGCCGCACTCAACAACAAGCTGCCAGATCGCCTGCCAGAATTCCCAATGGACTCGATCAACTCGATTGCAAACCTGCTGGCTCTGTTCCCCGCCCTGCCCACCGCGGAATGCGTGCACATTATTTATCCGTTCACGCTGATTCTGGGTGCTGAGGCGCAACAGCTCGTGTTGGACACGATGAAGCGCTTAAAAGTCGGTGGCCGTGTCCTTACGGGCTACCGGGCCGGTGCTCGCTCGGCCACCCACACGGCTGACTCGACGGTGAGCATCAAGGATCCGTACAAACTGGAAACGGTTGAACGCCTCCTCCCTGGCAGCGCTACGGCAGGCCAGGTCCCTGTCACGCGTGTCAGCTTCCAGCTTGACTCGGCTGCAGTCTCCTCGCTGCACGACGACTTTGGTTCAAGCGATGCTCTTGGGCCGATCGATGCGCGCTTCCTGGGAGGCCAGCTGCCAGTCGTCCCTGCGGCGCCCGTGCAACGGCTGGAGGCCAGCTCGGACGGGTCGATGCCTACCCTGGATGCTGGCTTTATCGAAGTTCCGTACCATCGCCACGTGCTGCTGTCGCTGCTCCGCTCCCACGCCGTGTCTGACATTTGCCTGGTTGGTGGAAAGGGCGTGGGCAAATCGCTCTTGGTGCGCCATCTCGCGACTCTGCTGGGCTACGAAGTCGAGCCCATCATGTTGTATCAGGACATGACTGCGCGAGACCTGCTTCAGCAGCGCACAACGCTTCCCAACGGCGACACTGTGTGGAACTTTTCGCATCTCATCAACGCTGCTCTCCACGGTCATTTGGCCGTTCTGGATGGCATCCATCGACTCAACGCCGACACTCTCGCCATGTTGCAGCGTCTCGTGCAGGACCGGGACATTGTGTTGCACGACGGCACGCGCCTGCTGCGTCACGATCGCTTTGACGAGCTGTGTGAGCGGCGCAACCTGACGCCTGCACAGCTGAACGATCGCGGGGTGCGTCGCATCCACGAATCCTTCCGAATTATCGCTCTGGCTGAGCCAGTCAATCTGCCAGGCGTGACGACCACTGCTACCGCGCTCTTGGCTGCCGCCAAGCAACAAGAACAACAGTCCCAGCAGAGCACGCCCCCGCTGGGCCAACGTGCTGCAGACCCAGCCAAACCGGGTGCGTCAGGATCGACACCCGGCGCTGGGAAAAAGTGGCTCAGTCCAGAGACGCTCAGCATGTTCCACTTTTACGCGCTTGCGCCGCTCAATCCAGTGGAAGAAGCCCAGGTCATTCGCGGCATGGTTCATCAAAGTCTCAGCCCCGCTGTGCTCGACAAGTTGCTCGACTTTGCCCATCGGTTGCGCTCAACCGCCACCAACCACACCGTGCTGTCCCTGTCCGCTTCCTTGTCTACCCGTCAGCTGGTCCGTATTTGCCGCCGCTTGGCCAACTATCCTGACGAGAGCTTGTACGAGGCCATCCACCGCGCGTGCATGTCCCGATTCCTGCCGCAGCTCGCCCGTGAAACGCTGGAGCGACTTCTTGAGGCCGACAACATTCGCCCAGCTGCCGCCCACAGCCCTGCCGAGGCGCCGTCGTCGGCATCGGTCGTCGCGCCGTCTGGCCACCAAGGTCGCCCTCCCGTCGAACGCCATGTCGTCACTTTGCCCGACGGAAAACAGGTTCAAAAGCTCCGCATTGGGACCCTTGAAGTCGTTCTCGACCAAAACCTCTTCCGCACAACCGATCAGCTCGCCCACGGAAGCGTATCGACCTCGACCAACGCGCTGGAAACGCCTACCTCGTCCGGCCGCGTTCTTGTGCCAGACGTGCTGTTCTACGACAATCCTCAGCACACTCGCGTGATGGCGGACATGCTGAAGGACCTGCTTCTTGGCGAAAATCTGCTGCTCGTCTCCAACCAAGGCACAGGCAAGAATAAGGTGACAGACCGGCTCCTCCATCTTCTTGGACGGCCCCGTGAGTACATCCAGCTGCATCGCGACACAACCGTGCAGACGCTGACCCTGCAGCCAACCATCCGGGAGGGTGTGATTGAGTACGAAGACTCGCCGTTGGTTCGGGCCGTCATGCTTGGACACGTGCTTGTCGTGGATGAGGCGGACAAGGCGCCGACGCATGTGACGTGCGTGCTGAAAGCCCTGGCAGAAAGCGGCGAGATGGCCCTGGCCGACGGCCGCCGCATCGTGTCCCGCGCCGGATTGCGGTACCGCCAGCACGGCGACACGATTGATCCCATGTTCATTCCAATGCACCCTGACTTTCGAATGATTGTCCTGGCCAACCGACCTGGCTTCCCATTCCTTGGCAATGACTTTTTCGCAGCGCTTGGCGACATGTTTAGTTGCCACGTCATGGAAAATCCCGACACCCCCTCCGAGCTCGCCATGCTCCGTCAGTACGCTCCGAATGTCTCGGAAGACGTCCTGCGTCGTCTCACTGCGGCGTTCAATGACCTGCGACACATGGTGGACGAAGGCCAGCTGACCTACCCTTACTCCACTCGCGAGCTGGTCAATATTGTGCGCCATCTCGAAAAGTATCCGGACGAAGGCATTGGTAATGTTGTCCGGAGCGTGTTCGACTTTGATTCGTACGATCCTGAACTCCGACAAACGCTCGTCTCGACGCTTCAACGCCATGGCATTCCCGTCGGTGTTCGCGTGACCAACGTCAAGATTTCCTCCGAGTAAGCAAGCGCTCGAGCCTTGTTTGTGGGGGGTTTTTTTTTCTTGGAGGGTGAAGCGTAATGATCTTGTTTTGGGATGTTCTTTTCAGCGTAGTTTGGCTTCTTGTTCTTTCCTTTTATTGACCATTTTTTTCATTGCTGTATTTTCTCAATACAACAAATCTCTGACTTTTTTTTGTTTCTCTGCTTTATTCACTTTACAATCGTCTCACCTGTGCTTGGGACTCAGACATCCACTTCCTGCGCCTGTGTCGCTTTTTACCGCGAGTTTGGACTTGTCCGATGGAACCCAGCGGCGTTCGTGTATCGTGAAAACTGAACGCATTGCCATCAAGGTACTACTTGAATGTTTTGCAGCAATCGTTGTGTTGTTCTTGGACGTGCTTGAACCGTTTGGAACCGACAAAATCTTGACTGACCATTTTCTCCGTCCTTGCACCTTTCTCCTCCATCCTCTCTTGCCGACACTCAGGGACCGTTGCGCGTCAGCGGCACCAAAGCTTTGCCGTTCGATCACGTGCGGGAGGCTCGCACACAGGCCTTTTCGGAGATTGTGCGGGAAATGACCATCGATCTCATGCAGCCCAACCGATTTTGTGCCATTGCCGTCTCTCCTCATAACGGCACCGTGCATACCATTACAGACAACCCCGTTGGTCTGTATTCCTTCCCTTGCTTGCCAGAGCAAATTACGGCTTCGGCCACGGCAGCAGGCACGCTGCCCAATTCGCCAGCGGCCGCCGAGCAATTGGCGACATCCACCACGTTGCGGGTCTCTGCCAACCACTTTTCTCACATGGACCTGTACGACCTGTATCCGTTCTTTGGCGCTCGGGCCGCGCGCGAGCTCTCGATGGTCGCCTTGGATGGCGCGTTTGCTGGTTGTGTCTTGATTCTCGAGCGCAACGAAATGTCCTTGTCGCTTGTTGCGCCGCACCTCGGCACTGTTCACACCTTGTCGTTTGACTCGCCCTTGCAAGCCAGCTTTGGCCGAATGGCACGGTTGCGCTCGCTGCTCAATCCCGCGCGTCCTGGAGGCACGAACGCCGAGCCCATGGCTGCGGCCACGCTTGTGAGCACGCTCGCGGCATCGCACGGCCTGGTTGCTGTGTATCGCGCCGGCTTGCCACATATGGATGTACTTGACCTGATTGGCAATGAGGTCACGTCCGTCGAGCTGCCGAGCAAGTTGGTTCGCGTGGACGTGCTGTACGACAAGAGCGCCAACAGCGCTCCCGTCTGGTTGGTGCGGTGCGATCGTGACGCTGACACGGCCGAGCCGACCGACTACATCCTGGACTTTGCGCAGCTGCAAAAGCGCGATCGACGCGTCAAGATGCACCCCCTCTTGTCGCCCATTGCTGTTGCCCCAACCCCTGAGGTACTGCTGCCCGCCAATCCGTTGCATGCGCGCAGGGTCACCAGCCATCTGCCCGCAGCGCTTGCTGCAAATGTGATTCTTCACGCCACAGGCACAGCCCCCTCGGCATCCAGTGCCTCCGTTGGTCCTGCGCTTGTTTCCCTGGACGACAGCAGCTTTGTATCGACAGTGGTCTTTGGCGCTGCTTCCGGAAGCAAAAAGGCCACTCGCTTCAGCGCCACGAACTGGACGTACTTGCGGGAATCTTCGCAGCCCAGCACGGCTCAGCTCGTGGTCGATCTGGCATCCCTCGAAGCGGCTCGCTCTCCTGCGACAAGCTCGTCGATGCTGGCGCTGACAGCCGCTTCTCGCGACGGACTAGAAGTGCTCGAAGCCGTCGATTTGGCCAGGCAAAGCTATCGCGAGATTGACCTGTCTCGCAACGAGTCAGACACTGGAAATCGCTTGGACAACTCGACCACGCGTGCGCTGGAAGACCGGATTGCTGTTCGCAAGGTGCTGCGCGACGAATCGCCGGCTGGGATGCGCGTCGTTGGAATGGCGACCCTGCCGAACGGTTGGGTGGCTGCATTGCACGCCGACGGTTTGATTCGTATTGTCGAGACCGATTTGGCGTCACTGGAGCGGTCGCTGCACACGTGGCGTTTGATGGTCGGCCGCCCCGCAGAAGAGCGCTCTCGCGAAGTTCGCATTACGATCGACCGACCGAGCGGAAAGGACGTGACCAGTCCCAAGCATGGCAAGGTTGATCCCAAGAATGAGCCACATGTTGGCGGCAACCAGTGGGCCGGTGGCACGGGTGGGCGAGACACGGCGGGGCTTGGCGGCAAGGGTGGACCATACCGTTTGGATGCGGGGCACACGGTGCACCAAGTTCCGCAAGTCGAGAAGGACGCCGTGCCCCCGGAAGTGTCTGCCGCAGCTCGTGAGATGGGCCGGCAAGCCTTTGAGAAACGCCTGGCCGAGCTCAACATGTCCGAACACGACGCGGAGCTGTATGAAAAGTTTGCCATTCGCGTGCGCAAGGAGGTCCGCGAGCTGCGTGTCACGCTGAATAGCGTCGAGGCGAAAGGACAAGAGCGCGTTTGGCTCAAGAACCAGACGATGGGCGACATTGATGATAACCGCCTGATTGAAGGCCTGACTGGGGAGAAGAACATTTACCGTCGTCGTGGTGAGCAGCTGCCAGAGCCAGGCGCCCCGCAGCAGCATCCCAAGCGCATGCGCTTTGTCATGGACGTGTCCGGTAGCATGTATCGCTTCAACGGCTTTGACGGTCGTCTGGATAGGATGCTTGAGGCCGCACTCATGATCATGGAGAGCTTTGCAGGGTTTGAGCACAAGTTTAGCTACGAACTCATCGGACACTCTGGGGATGGACCTGACATTCAGTTTGTGCCCATGCAAGACGCTCCCTCTCGCTCCTCCTCGTACGGTTCGACCAAGAAATCCACCTCGTCTTCGACCGGCAGCAGCTTGGAAGAGCATGGCAGCCGTGGGAAAATGCCAAAGACAGACAAGGATCGGCTGCGCATTTTGCAGACGATGCATGCACATGCACAGTACTGCATCAGTGGCGATCACACGTTGGAGGCCACTCGACTGGCAGTCGACACGCTCGCCAAAGTCGAAGAAGCCGATGACCGACTTGTTGTCGTCCTGAGCGATGCCAACCTCGACCGTTATGGCATCCGCCCTTCTGTCCTTGCCAACGCCATGAATGCGCATGAAAATGTGAATGCGTTTGCCGTGTTTATCGGGTCTCTCGGGGATCAGGCTGACTTGTAAGTGAAGAGTTTGTTGGTTTGTTGTTTGACCTGTTTTGACCCCTTGGTTGGAGAAAAAATCAAAATGTTGATATTTGCGACTGACGATTGTTGTTTGTGGGTGGCGGGGGGGGGGGTTTGCGTATCTCGGTTTGATATGACGATGTTTGCTTGACTGATAGTTTGGCCAAGAATCTTCCTCTGGGCAAGGGTTTTGTTTGCATGAACACTGCCGATATTCCAAAGGTCATGAAGCAGATCTTTACCACAACCATGCTGCAGTCGCGGCTGTAGTTCTCTATCAACGTTGTACTGGTGTTGGTTTGGCAGATGGTTTCATGCTATTGTTGTATTTCCAATCCAACACGTTTTTTTTTTGTTTGGTACTATTTTTATTGCATCACAAAACACATGGTTTGTTTAAGCGCGACAGCTTTGCACTCAGTTAACGAAGGGTCACGAGCTCCTCGGAGGCTGTAGGATGGATGGCCACAGTGTCGTCAAACTGCGCTTTGGTAGCACCCATCTTCACGGCGACAGCAAAGCCTTGGATCATCTCGTCAGCACCGATGCCAATCACGTGGACGCCGATGACCTTCTCCTCCTTGCCAAGGCAGACGAGCTTGACGCGAGTCTTTGTCTTGCGGGTTGTCATCGAGTGATACATGTTGGTGAAGGTGGCCGAGTAAATCTTGAGGTTGTCCTTGCCGTGTTTGGCAATTGCGTCTTCCTCGCTCAGACCAACAGTGCCCAAAGCCGGGTGGCTGAACACTACCGATGCAATGTTCTCGTACTCGAGCTTGAGGTCCGTCTTGCCGGCAAACAGGCGCTCGCTGAGGCGACGGCCCGCAGCAATCGCAACGGGGGTCAGTTGCCAGTGCGACGCGACATCGCCGACGGCGTGGATGCCCTCGTGGGTGGTGTTTTGGAATTCGTCCACCTTGATCAGGCCGTCCTTGTCCAGGGACACGCCGGTCTTCTCCAGATCCAAGTCCTCGATGGTGGGGGAGCGACCGATTGCCCAGACAAGGCAGTCGAATCCAGACTGCGTTGTGCCATTGGTCAGCGCAAGCGAGAGGTGTCCACTGTCGTCCTTGGTGACAGATGACACGTGCGTGTTCAGGAGCAGATTGACGCCCGAGGCAGTCAGCTCCTCCTCGACGCCCTTGTGGAGCATCGAGTCAAACTTGCGCAGCACGCCGTCATGGCGCACAAGCAGCGATACTTCCGAACCAAGTGCCCTGAAGATTCCAGCCAACTCGACGGCAATGTATCTGGATCAAGTGTGTCGCATTTGGATGTCAGTTCGCACAGATTGTTCAAATTTCAAGTAATGTAGACCCCCACCAAAGAAAAAAACTGGAACATACCCAGCGCCGACGACGGCCACCTTCTTGGGTTGCTCGTTGAGCTCGAAGAAGCCATCGCTTGTGATGCCGTGGTGTGCTCCGGGAACGTCGGGCAGCTGAGCACAGCGTAAACCAAGCCAAGACGAATAGCGGGGTACAAGTCAACAAAACAGACAGCGATAAAAGAATGGTTGCGCGTAGACCTGGACACAAACCTTTGCGTAGCTTCCCGTTGCAATCAGAATGTGCTTGGCGGAGTAGATTTTTCCGTCCACGGACACTTGCTTTGGTCCGACGAAGCGAGCACTGTTCCATCAAAGGGCAAAATGTGGTATTGTTAGACAAGATTCAAGAACGATGTCGCTGGACCGCTCCCCCCCCCCGCTTTTGTTTATCCCCCTCATCAACTCTCACTAGAGATCCGTCGCAAGCTCTTCGTTGATCTGCGTGTGCTTACCGGCCACGAAGGATGTCAATCTTGTCACGTTCGAGATTGCCTTGGTAGATGCCGTTGAGGCGCTTGATGTACTCGTCGCGCTTGGTCCTGATCGAGCTCCACGAGAATCCTGTGATTCACGTTGTTATTCTTGAGTTGAGTATACATTCCGATTTGTACATCTCTCTCAGATGATGACAGTGCATGCAAGAGGCAGGATGGAAAACCAACCTTTGACTGTAACATCAAACCCATAGTCTGGTGCGTCGTGCAGCGCCTCAGCCATCGAGGCCGTGTTCCACATGACCTTCTTGGGCACGCATCCAACATTGACCTGTGCATCACACACCCACGACGACCAGACCAGACCAGACCAGACCAGCGAAGACAAGGGCAAACGGAGAAACCAGAGTGAGACCATAAAAATCTCCGTGCTCTCAACCTGCATCTCGCTCGCTCTTGGCTCAGAGAAGAGAAGTGCAAAGACTCACGCATGTGCCACCGAGGCGTTGGTACTCGACGAGGGCGGTCTTGGCGCCGTGGAGGGCAGCGCGACGGGCAGAGGCAATGCCGCCAGAGCCGCCGCCAATGACGAGGTAATCGTAAACTGCAGTGAATGCTGCGGCTGCCATTGTTCAATGCAACAGATGCAAGTGAAGAGTGAGTTTGAAACTGTGCAGACGCTTTTGGATTGGTTGTAAATACAGTATTATTGTCTTGATGTTTTCGGAAAGTGCAGCGGCGGGTTTTGAGCGCAAGGACGCGAGGTACGCGAGAGCAATGGGGGAGAAGTGTGCAGAGGGTGGCGATTTGTGTGGAATCGTGTAACATGCTCGATCAAGTTGTGAATTAATATCGAACATGGCCACGCAACTCCCTCAGCCGCATCGGATGAACATTCAATTTGGACTGCGTTCTTCTTCCACCAATTGACCAGTTTCCTGCATCCATTTATCCCAGATGGCACAGAAAAGTCAGCCTCGAAGCTTCCCCATACAGATTCAAATATAATTCATGACCAGACTCGGAGAGCTCGTCCGTCCCGAACAATTGTTGCAGAATTCAACTCGTCGCATTCGAGATCAACGACGATTGACAGGATCGTTTTCTTGCCATATCCTGTTAGGAGGTAGTTGCCAGTAAATCATTTTTCATAGATATGCTATAATAATCGCTAAATGTGCCCTCTGTGTTGCCAGGTGGCGTAAATTGTGAATCAGAATCGACTGCTTGGCATTGACAAACGACAACAACAATTGCGACTTTGCTCACCGCTCCGCCAACTCGTCATTTCCGACCGCTCCTCCCGTCCAACGCACAAAGTACATATATTTTATTCACAGAATCAAAATTCGATCATGAGCGGCGAGATACGGAGCCGTAGATCGCCCAAAAGGCGGTTCTAAAGTAGCTGGTACACTTTGCACGCGAATTTCTAGCTCCTGCTTCACGCAATCGACCAGCCGTTTGGCATATCATGTTCTAGAGCATGTATGTGTGTTTGTCGGATGAAATGAATGAGGAAAAGTCTTGCGATGTTGGGCATTTAGGCACTGGTGTATCAAGTAGCGTTTTGCCCAACCAATCGCAAGTTCAACCTCCGCTCTTTGAGCTGGCACTCTTTAGTGCGTCCGAGGTTCGATTCTCTCACCTTTTGCTCTTTTTTTTTTTTCGTTCATTTTATTATTATCATTATTATTGTTTTTTTTTTTTTTGAGTTTGCTCCCTGCAGTCTTGTGTGTTTATTTTTATTTTATTTTTATTTTCATTTTTAATGTTGAACGTCGTTTAAGCACCAACCTGTTTCCTGACAGATCATCTCTGTCCTTGGCATTGCGAGAACGTAAGTGACGACTACCTATCATCGTTTTGCTCCTGCGCGCACGATGCATTCGAAGCGGTGAACAGAAGACAGAAGAAGAAGAAGAAAATCATGCATTTTCTCCCGGTACTGGTGGTGCAGATCCGCCCTCGGCAGGGTTTCGCGGTGCGCCGACCTTCTTGGCAGGTAAGGATGGTTCAAAATAGTACAGTTTTGGGGGAGGGCGATGGCCTTCGTCAAGAGCCTCTGGTGGCAGGAGTGGCGTTTCGGGCAGTTTGAGCAGTGGCAGCGAGAAATCAAGTTGCTCATCCAACTGTCTAACCACGCGTGCCTTGTATCTCAAAGGAGTTTCCATTGATATTCGAAGATGGCGGGGCGGTGGGTGCAATGCACTTCGAGAAAAGGGCGATCGAGTCTTCTGAGGGAAACAAGTGGGCATTCAGCGTGTTCAGCAATTGACCCTTGACCCTTGACCCCTTCCTCCCCCCTCGCCGGCACCACCTTGGTTATTTATGAGAAGTCATTGAGTGAATTGTCATAAAACAGCAAAACCCAGAACACGCCCTGAGAGCTCAAAAAGAGTGAAGCTTGTTCGAACGGCGGCGAACCAAAAAAAAAACGAAAAAAAAAAAAAACAAAAAAAAAAAAAACAACAAAAAGAACGACAACACAATCAATGCAACATTGGTGTCTTCAATTGGCCGTGATGAAGCTTGATACAAGAAACAAACTAACTCACCATCGATGCCCGCCGTTGACGATGCCCAAAACACTCGATCGGTTTGGCAGGTTCAGTCCGTCCTCGCTTCTTTGGACACGATGCTGAGAACCGCGCGATTCTTTCGCCTTCCGCTCGCTCCAATCAAAGCGGCGCTCTTTAGTGCTGCGAGGCGTAGCCCGGCTGCTGCGGCATTCCGTGCTGCTGATCCGACTGCCAAGTGCCTGTCGACCAAGGCGGCTGCGACGACGATCGTTCAACGTCCGGATGGTACGCTTCCTTTGCTCTTGTTGCTGTGCGAGAACGCAGCATTGACCGACCATCACTCTCACCGACTTCTTTTGTGTGTGTGTACTTGATTTGTTGACCAGCACCAAATGGTAGGCGGGGTCTGTTTGATCTGAACCTGCCCTTGGTCAACCGGCACGATAGCTTAAAAGAAGTTGTCGAGAATCTGGCCGACAAATCCAAGCGGCCTAAGGGCATGTTGTTCACTCTACCTCAAATGTTCGGCTCGGGCAAGACAAGCTTTGTGGAGCACATTGGCAATGAGCGCAATCCCCACGCTAAGGAAATCCTCGATTCGGCCCCGGCAATCAAAAGGCCGCTGTACGAGTCTGTCCTCAACGCACGCTACATCCTCATCGACATGAGCAGCATTGACGGCAATGTCGTGAATAAGAACATGGCGACAGACCTTCAAAAGTTCATCCTTGCCCGTGTTCGACAACTGCTCCCCGCCGCCCGCTCGTTTGTCGCCGAAGGCATGTCCAATTCCATGATGCTCACAGAACTACAAAAGCATGCCGGTGTCCCTCTGCTCCTCCACTTTGACGAGATGGGCGCTATCGAATATTCTGACTTCGATCCGTGGTTCCCTGGTCCTGAGTACCGCTGTTCCAACCCGACTGACGTGTTCGCGCCGAACACTGGAGCCTTGCGTCGTCACTACACGTTTTGGTCGGATTTCCTTGCACCGCTACTCAACCTCGACAATGTGTACATTGTGTGCTCGGGCAAGTCGGTCGCATTTAGTCTCATCCAGCACGGGCTTCTCAGAGCTGACCCTCACATTGCCATGACATCGCCGTCAGAATTGCAAACGATCATCCTGCCTCCACTTGGCGGCGAGCACATTGAAGAGATTCTGAACCGACACCGCCCTGATGTCAGCTCCCCAGAGCTGATTGATACCCTCGGTCTGCGCGACAAGCATACTCAACGCATTGCCTTCACCGAATGCGTTCACACTCTCACCGCTGGTGTGCCACGTCTGGTTTCGTATGCGCTGCAAGTGCTCTGGGGCAGCGGCATCGACTTTGGCGCCATGACACCAGACGAGATCCGGGCGTACTTCGCCCTCGGTACCACTCAAGCGTCCATCGCCAGTGTCTTCCTCTTGAACTCGCTCGATCGCCAGTGTCTTCCTCTTGAACTCGCTCGAGATGACCGCTGTGATCAGCCGCCCGCATGATCCACGGTATCTGGCGAGCGCCAACATTGTCCGTCGGGCGCTCGCGGGTGAGGTGTTCGATCCCAAGTCAACAATCGAAGTCCGCGTTCCAGGAAAACCTGACCCTGTTCAAGTTCAAGTTCTACTCCTGTTGGACAGACTCTTCTGTTACACCAAGCCCGTGGATTCCTCTCGTGGACCTCAAGTTCAAGTCATCCTGCCGCAAATTGTTGGCACTCGGAAGGAACTGGCTCTCGCGACCTTGATCATCGAACTCGCAGGCACCGTCGTTACGTCGGAGACACTCGAGGTGCTGGCGTTGTGGTCCATCTTTGCTGCACTTTACCGAGCCACAATTGGCGACCCCAGTAGCAGCTGGCTGCTGGCCCAATCGAAGGGCGTGCTTCCTCAAGCAGTGCTCGACTCGGATGTCGTGCAGCATATTCTCCAAACATCTGCGCCTCATCAAGGCATTGGCTTTGACGAGCGGACGCTGAGCAAGCGTGCGGGCTCGATCACCGTCTCCGTTGCACACGCGACCAGCGCGAAGCGCCATGGCATCGACGCAGCTGCATTGCCGGATCAGTTGGTGGCACGACTCGTGGAACTCCGGACGACAATTCCGACTGGGCCTATTGCGGTTGTCGAGTGGATTGGCAAAGCGTCCCAGTCGTCTGATGGAATGATTGCTGTTTGCACGGCCGCAAGCCCGACAGTGCAAAACACTGTCTGGATCGGTGTTGCCTGCAAGCTTTTCAATCGAAACAAGATGTCGTTCACCGGCCCAACCATTGTGAATGAGGACATTGAGCGTCTGAGTCGCCACTTTGCTCATCTTGAGAAGAACCTCCGACCGCGCCAACTTCTCATCTCGGTGTTGTCCAGGCCACCAAACTACCTCAAGCCTTCCATGAATGGCAAGCTGCTCGAAGGTCGGGTCACACTGTCCGGCGCAAAGAACAAGAAGAAGAAGGAGGTCAAAAAGAAGGAAGTCAAGAAGAAGAAGGAGGAGGTCGTCGATGAGGAGGAGCTCGAGGTCATCGATATTCCCCCGCGGATGCAAGTGGCGCTTTGGGATCTCGATACTCTGAACAACGTTGTCGATCCTTCTCATGCAAAGCCTCTAAGAATGGCTGAGCCGGGCCCCCGTCACGAGGAACGTAAGGTCAGCGTGTGAGTGTTAAAACCTCGTCTCGCCAGCTAAACCGGACTTGTCGTAATAGCGGTTCATCCAAGCGATCCATTTCCTTCCCATTACGTGTGACTCGTATAGTCACACGAGGGGAACCTGTATCGAGCACGCAGATCTGGTCTGTAATCTTTGAAAAGCCACCCACAAGGATTGCGTGAGGATTGTTCAAAACAGCGTAGTTTGGCGACAAAATGATTGCCTTGGCCTCGAAAATGTACTACGGTATCGGTAAGAAGAAAGACAAGGAGGTGAAAATGAGCTGCAAAGGTGTGCAGCGTAAAGGCACTGAAAACAAGGCGTTGTTGCAGTTTGAACGATACAAACAGGTGTTGCTGGGTAAGGAAATCACTGGTGAAGCAACGAATCGCGGATTCTGCATGAAGGATAATTATATGGTCACCTACGCAATCAATAAAATTGGCTTGTCCGCTTACTACGATAAACGTGTTGTAATGGATGATGGTATCTCCACCCACCCCCGTCTGCCAGAGTCTCAATGAATTATCATACATGTATTTACTTTCATTTTGTATGCATGCACTTCAGCCAGTCTCGTCTTTCTCCCACTCTCATTTTGCCGTTTTGTTCCTTCACTTTCGCAAAATGTCGGACATGGATGAAGACGACATGTAAAAAGCGGCCAAACGCCTGTTCACACACACGCACTGATTCACACAACCACACAACCACACAACCACACAACCACACAACCACACGCACACTAACTCACGTCACTCAAGCCCTCCCGCTCCGTATGCAAAAAGGGGGACACGCGACGTCGCATCGATCAAGTCGGGTCGTCGTGACCCCCAAATTTTTTTTTATTGTTGTCTTCTTATTCCTCTGCTTCCTCGCTTTCCTCTTCCCCCCCCTCACACACCTACCTCTTCCATTGCCCGCTTCGCTTTCAATCACACGCTCATCACGCCCGTCACGCACTACGCACACACACGCTGCACCGCTCGCAGCCATCCAACTCGCAATCACGGACACATGCCAACCAGCCCAGATTGTCCTCTTTTTTTTTTTTTCTATTATTTTTTATTATTATTTTTTTGTTATTTTTCGCCTTTTCGTCGTCGCCAGAGCAGAGCAGAGCAGACTGGACCAGACCAGGCCGCTTCCCGACCCCTGCTCATGATCTCGTCTCACACCGTCACAGCCTCATGCCTGCTGCGCGCGGCGACGCTCATCTGCGTTCTGTCGGTCGTTGTCATTGCCGATGTTATGCCGCTTTGTTTCCTTTTTTTTTTTTTTTTTTTTTTTTTTTTCCCCGTTGCTCCTTCTTAACGGCGTCCCCTGGTCCGCATGATGCGTGCTCCGTCACCCTTCATTTCGTTTTTCTCCTCTTTCCCCTCTTTGTTGGAGTGGTGATGAAAACGAGCAAAGACCCAACGCGAACGACAAACACCACAAAGAAAAAAAAACAAAAACAAAAAAGACAAATTGTCAATTCAAATTTCCAGCCAAAAAAAAAAAAAAAAAAAAAAAAAAAAAAAAAAAAAAAAAGGATGCGCAGATGGTCGCACATGACTTTGCGTTTGGGAACACGGAGGCGACTACTTTTAGTGAACATTTAGTAGGAAAGTGGCGTACACGCAGTTTACCATGACTAGCGTTCCTTCTCTCCCCCTCTTGCCCCTCTTGCCCTCTTGCCCTCTTACTCATCCACACACTGCAACCACAACAAGAACACCACATCGATCAACGTCGACGGAAAACAATATGCAGTCTGAAATCCAAACACAGTCTGTCTGAGCAACAATTTCGCAATCTGAGAAACTCACGCACTCACCACTTTGGCGTACATTATCGGAACATGACAACATTCATCACGCAGTGCGATCGACGACCCGCGTCGCGCAAACCACAACGCGCTGGAGCGCAAGCGACGCATCTTCCAAAAGGACCGATTGCAGGAGCTCAAGCGATGCGTCCCGTTCATCAAGGATGCCAAGTCGTCGACTGTGGAAATCCTTCAGAAATCCACAGAGTACATTGCCTATCTCCGATCGAAGCAGACCGAGCAGGTTGGTGCTTGCAGACGCAGGGGGATTTGTTGCGACTGTGTTGGGATGGCTACCACTAACACTTCTTTTTTGTTGTTGTTGTTGTGACCTTGTGTTTGCAGGATGCGCAACTACAGTCCATGCGAGCCATCCAAAAGTATCTCGTCGACAAACTCCGCGAGTGTACCAACGGCGCAGTCACTCTGCCCGATATCCCGCTTGCTCCGATTCTCGTGGTACGTTTGTTTTTTGTGTCTTTTCTGTCCTTGACCTCGTTTCTGCGTGCAGTTGCATCACGTTTGACCCCATTGCTCATTTCTTCTGCATTCTCTCCATCATTGTGATTTCCCCTCCTCCTCCTCCTCTTTGTTGCTTGTTGGGCTGGTTCTTGCAGCCACCACCAGCCGTCGTTTTCACCGAGCCCGAAGAACAGGACGACTCGCCGCCACCACAGCGCGAACGCACAAACAGCCGGTCGCAACGCACTCGCTCGTCCATTTCCACATCGTCCGCTTTATCCGCAATGACCATGAACGACACCCACCCGACTCCCCCGATGCCGACGTCCCGCACGGATACGCCCTTGTTTGTTGGAGATGGTATTGGTAGTGGTAGTAGCAGTCGTAGCAGTAGCAGCGCCAGCAATGTCAGTAGCATGGCCACCGCCAGTAGCATTGCCACCGTCAATGGCGGTGACGCTGCCAACAGCTTGTCCAAAAAACGACGACACGAGCCAGAAACCGCCTCGTTCGACTCTGCGCAGCACGCACAACAACAGCAAATTCATGCACAACGCGAAAAGACGCGCGTTCAGATGCAACAGCAAGGCCGTCCTCGGCGCAACACTGACGGTGGCGCCATGCACCAGCAACCTGCACCACCAACAAGCGAGTTTTTGGCGCCCTCCCAAGTGCCTCCGGCTCGCCGAAACTCTCGCAGCAGTCAAAGCGGAGACAACACTGTCTTCCCCGCCCCGACCATCACCGGCACTCCCGCAATCACCGTCAACGGAGCGCCGACGTCAAGCACACCCACTTCCGATGTCCAGCTCTTTGCCGACTTTTGCAACACGGTTCGGCGAAACAGCGTATCTGGTCCGCTCCCGGCGCACGAGATGCCATTCCACAGCAATCCGGTGCACCAGCAACCCAAACGAGAGCGCCTGTCCGAATCTGACGACGGACGACCCGACGGAAGTGCCAGCCGACCTGGCGCTGCCCCTATTCTTCCCGGCCCGGGCAGCGGCGCGTTTTACCAAGGCCCAATCGGCGGCAGCTATGAAGGGATGCCTGACAATGAGTATTCCGGGCGCATTCGGGCAAATACGTACAATGGCGCGGTGCCTCCGGCGCCTGGATTCTCGCCCTTCCAGCCTTACTACTCGCAGATGCACCCCCACGCACCGCACGGCCAACCCATGTACCCATACCAAGGCATGCAGCAGGTGCCACATCCCTACATTCAAATGCAGGGCTTGCCACCAAGCGCTGCTGGCGGGTTTCTGCCGTCCCCATACGTCAAGTATCCTCGCACGGTGCAGTCCAGCAACGGGTTTGTTGCTCCCAATAACAGCGTCTGTGAGCCTGCAGACTTAATGTCTCACTACGCAGGCAGCAACAGCGGCAGCTACTTTTACCAGAGCGTTGCGCCGTCGTCCATGAAACCCTCGCACTCGCTCAGCGGATTCCCGCACTCTGCAAACGCGGATGGCCGGCGGTTGCAAGGCCATGCCGAGGAAGCCGACGAAGACGACGAGGACGCAGAAAGCAGCAGCGACGGCAGCGAGCACAACGGTCGTCGCAACGGCAATAGTTCGACGAGCGAGGATATTCGCTGCGTGTGTGGCTCCACGGCCTGGGATGGCAAATTCATGCTTGCCTGCGACAAATGCCAAAAGTGGCTCCACGGCGATTGTGTCAACGTTCGTCCGCGCTCTGTTCCGAAAGTTTGGCACTGTCCTTCCTGCGCTTCGAACGCATAACCCCCAGCAGCAGCACGCTGATTCATTCGTGGAGTCGTATTTCAAGTTGCGTCTAGAGCAAGATGAATGGAGCTGCTCAGGCAAGTTCCGGATTTGAGAAATCGCTATCGGGTCGAGCTGGTGTGTTTCTTGCTGTAGTTGTTTGAGTTTTGGTGTTTTTCATGCGCTCTCCTTTCTTTTTCTTTTTTGAAGCTCTTGCTTTTTCTTCTTTGGTTTGCCGTGTCGTTTTTCCCGCTCCTTTTCGTCGGTGCGTCCGAACCACCGTTACACTAGCGATTGCTATTATTTCCTACGGGTCGATTTGTGTTTTGCCTGTGAATACATTGTTTTTGGAATGAATCAACGTCTTCATTAAGAGACAAGGGAGAGCGGGAAAACCCACAATCATACACCACAACAGAAAGAAAACAACAAGCACAGCAATGAAATGCCACGCATCAAACACACAGGACGACAAAGCAACAACAAACACGCAAACCATTCTTTTTGAAGCCAAAATCCAGAAAAAATGGGTGCGAACTGAAAAACAACACACACACAAAAACAAAACAAAATACCCAAGACTACCAAAAACAGCAAACAGAGAGCATCGCATCGCTAGAACGAAAACTCGCGCGTGTAATCGTATTCGATCGTTGGAATCACGGATTGCACAAACTTGAGGAAAATCATAAGGTAACTGAAGCATTCAAACAAAGCAGATCAGAAAAGTTCAAGTCAGAGGCACGGCAAGTCCCAGCCCCAAACCCGCAAACAAACCGTACAGATGAACGCCCAGCTCTTTGCCAGCCACTTCGACGTTGCTAATGATCTTCTTCATGACGTTCGAATGTCGGCATGGATGGATGGATGCCATGGTGATTGAGAGATTGGGGTGCGCCTCCATCGTCACAGTCTTCTTGGCGTGATCTTGGCTGAAATCCTCATACATCTTGGTCACAGACAGAGGCTTTCGGCTCTAAGAGGAGCAAACCACGCAACAAGATGAAGAATGAGTCAATGAATCGGACAATGATCACGCTGCGCGAAAAACAACTGAGAAGTCGTACCTCGTCGTGCCCGAACAGCCAAAGACGAGGTGTCTGGTAGTACTTGTCGTAAGTAATGTACAAGTCGTATGTGCGTGTCCGCAAAATATTGTCGTCCGCATCTCCAGCGGCCGCGGATGGAGCAGCAAGGGCGCTCTGCCAAAACGGGGGAGAATTGGTCCCGGTTTAGCTCAAATCTGTTTCAACACGTGAATCCGAAACCAGGAAGACGCATCCATCGAGAACTCACCGGATCGCAGGCTTCCAAATTATCTTCTTCAAACTCGTCGATATCGGGAATGTCATCGTCATCACCATCGGCGTCTTCAATGTCGGGGACGTCGTCATCGTCGTCGTCCTTGGCCGCGGATGCGTGGCTCTTGGCGGTGATTGCGCTGCTGTCGCCAGGGATTTCTTGCAGGTCGGTCTTTTGCAAGGATTCTGGACGAGCAAGGGCCAGAAGGCACGGTTGAGCACGTGACAGATGCAAGGAAGAGAAAAACACATCGACGAAAAAACATCAACAACAACAAAAAACGAACCGTGGCCAATGTGAGTCTCGACCCAATCGTCACCCTCAACGACACGCTCGTCGTTTTCAGAGTATTCCATGCTCTTGACTCGCTTGAAACAGGGCACTGCGCGAACGGACACACACAAAAAGTCAGTGGAGAATACAAAGGAACACAACAAAAGCAAGGAAACGCAGGCAAAAAGACCATACCATTGCGAGTTACGAGAAACTGCTTGTCCGGAGGCAGAAAGTTTCTGCGTTTCGACTCTTCTCCGCTTTCCCTGCAAGATGTTGCACAGAAAAAACCAAGTTGGCAAAAGCAAAACAACGTGAGCAAAAGTGGAAACCAGCTTCTGCCTCTTCCATTCCCCCCTCAACGCCACAAGGCACCCCATAAACACCACCAAGTCTATGAAAGGGTCGTGTGTATGGCGTCAACAGTGTGGCCACCCCTCCCTTGGCCATTTCGAAAAAAAAAAGTCTTAGCGATCCATCCGATGAGGCGGCAGTGGAACATTTTCCCCAAAACCGAACCCGTCGCCCCGCAATCACGCCGACGCCGACGCCGACGCCGACTCCGATGCCCCGGCCTAGAGAGAGACAGCTGCCACGTTGTCACGTTCTTGGGAAAGGGAAAGGGAAGGGCATCGGTCGGGAATCGGTTGCGCAACCACGGCGAGTTTTGCTGCTTGGAAGCTTGGGGTTGGGGGTATGGCGTGGCATCGCCGCATTTGTGCCATCATCACAGAGAATACGCCGTAAAGCCAAAAGCGCGGCGGATTTGATGATGACATAATAAAGGAGCACCGTTCCTTCTCCTCCCTGAATCCGCCTGGGATGCCGTTGTCCCGCGCAAGACACACAAGTCTCTGTCGTCGATCGCCAACCCCCCCCCCCGGCCCTCATCAAGAGTGTCGACCACCGAACAATACGAAAGAGAGAGAAAAAAAAAAAAAAAAAAAAAAAAAGAAAACGGCTGGGAAACGGTCACCGTTTTTTTGTGTCTTTGCTGTCGATCGGACGCGTAGACAAGAAGGGAGCAAGAAGAGCAAGGTGGCTTGTCATCAAGCACAGCACGAGACGCTGTTTACCATGACCACGTTGGGCACTTGAAGACGAGAAAGTCACCCGCAGCAATGAACTACAAAGCACAAAAGTGAGCAGGTTTGCAGGAACTTTCACACACACACACACGCAGACACACGCAGACACGCATCCACACAGACACACGATCGAAAAGCAATACGCAGCAGCAGCCCTCCCCCCTCCCGTCGACGCACGCACACGCACACAGCAGCCACAGAGTCCCAGCTTGAAGCACCAAAGCTTCGCGAAGCCGTTCTCCTGTCTTTTCCCATCCACTTCTCAGCCGGCCGGCGCTTTATCAGGGATTTCCCCCCCCCCACCCCTCACCCCAAACCATCAGAAGCAGAGGCAAGGGCCAGCAACGCAGCCAGACAACAACATTCCACTTGCACCACCCTACAGCACAATCCCCTTCAATAGAAGCTCGTCGCATTTGCGCTCGAACTGGCTGTTTCGCTCCGTCTCCATCCTCACCCTCCTCCGCGACGAAAGGACTACTGCCGCAGTGCTCAACCCACAGCCAGCGATCTCACGCTGCACCCCCCCCCCCACAAATCCCACCCCACCAACCTCGCCCGGTCGGCCTGATGCGAGCAAAAGTGACAAAACGAATGCGAGCTGCATTCTATTGTTAACTGTGCACTTTGCTTCAACCCTCCTCCACCACCACCTCCACCCCCACACAAGAATGGGTGTCTGCACTCGTACTCTCCTCTGGTCGATATCAGCATCCACAAAGCCAAGCGAGCGAAGAGGAAAACGCGAGCCACATTCACCGAAAAAAAGAAAAGAAAAGAAAAAAAAAAAACCAGAGCCAACTGCCTCAAACAAATCGCAACCCACACTCAGTCCAAAAGGACAACGAGCTGATGGAGCAGCAAATTGACCAACAAGGAGGCACAACGAGCACTGATCAGTGGTGGAAAAGAGCAAGGCAAAGCAGAGAACGAAAGAAGAACAATAATAAAAAAAGCCAACGGAAAAAAAAGTAACAACGAATTGATGCTTTTTACACGTCGCTCACTCTCACGACTTCAGGGCCGCCAACATCACTGCATCAATCAATCATGATGCATGATGATGGCAAGAATGATCAGGACATGGAAGGGTGAAACCGAACGAGAGTTGGGCGATTGTTTGCCTGTTGGAGTTTGAGTCACTTCCCGCCTTCTCAGTGGTTTGTTACCTCTTCGGGGGTGATGACGCCAGTCTCTTTGAACTTGGACGCCTTGAGCACCGGCGTCAGAAACTCGCCGATGCCGTGTAGCTTGGATTGCAGGAAAGCAGTCATGTAAAAGCGAGAGTTTTTGAGCAGAAAAAAAAAAAAGAAAGAAGAAAAAACCGAAGAAAAAAAAAAAAAAGACTGAACAAGATTTCAGTCATGTTCCAAATCTGAATTGACAGTCGATGAAGGTCGAGTATCCATTGACTGCGAACATGCAGACATGGTATCTCGACGTAATGTACGTGTAACGAGAGATTGATTTCCAGAGTCTCTTCCGAATTGCCTCGATCCTCCCGTCGTGTTCTTTGTGAGTGTCGGACGATGCCAAACCCTGGCCAATGACAGTTTTGAGCAATCATCAGAATTGCTGTTGTATTTCCTGACTATTGAGCTTAACGCTCTCAGTCATTTGTTCCCAAGTCCCCAAATCCAATTGCCAAAGAACAGCATGAGTGAACGACTCCTCGAAATTTTCGCTACGGCGGACATTCCCTCAGGCCAAGGCCACTACGCCGAGCGCTTTGATGCCAGTCATCCCTTGCTGATGCCATTCAATGCCTATGTGAATCTTGCCTACACGGCCGTCGGTGTTGTCTGGCTTCTCCGCTTGAGGCATGTTCATCACACCACTCTCTCTGATTGTGTTTCACTTCAGCTTGATCATCTCCCCCGTTGACCTCTGACGGTAGGATGTCACCAGACTTGGGACCTCATGGTCAACCAACTCTCAAACATCACTCATATGTATTGCATGGTGAACCAACCAACACGCTTTGTTATCGTTCAGATTTCAACCAAACCCAATTCACAGCAATCGTGCCATTCACAACGCGTACTTGCTGTATTACCTCGCATTCGCTTGGGCTGCAATTGGATATAGTAACCATCTCTCTTGGGTCTAGTTTTTTTTTTTTTTAAAGTTTGCCACGAGCGAATTACCAGGTTCTCAACATCCCACCAATTGTTTCGCGATTTCGTTTGCTTGTATTTGGCAGGCTTTATTCAGTTTCAACGAATCACCACCCAGGACCGCTTCTGGGGACTGCTGGATCAATGGGTGACGCTGCCCATTTTTGCACTCGTTCCGGCTTGGACCTTTGCGATTCATCGTAATTTCACTCAAACTGCCGCCAAGCCTGCCATTCACGTTGCCACCGCCGCGTTCCTCCTCGCAGCATCGGCGCTCAGTTATTTTGCGGAAGCCTTCTTTCCTCGCGGGTTTGAAATATCTCTGGGCATTCACATTGTTCTTGCCGCGTATTGCGCCCAAACTCTTGTCCGTGATGCGTACGCCGCCTTCTGTCGCCAACGCAGCTCGTCCGCCAAGGACAAGTCCAACGCAAACTTCAAGCCCATCGCATTTGCACTCTTGCTGCCAGTCTTTGGCGCCCTGGTATCCTGCCTCGGGTTTGTGTTTCTCAAAATTTACGATTTTGAAGTTACCGCCCATCTCGATTCGCTGCAGTTGGACGCGAGCATCTTCCATACTGGCCATCCAGAAGAAGGGTCCATCAGCGCCGCGGAAGGCGCTGCTGATTCACTTCTGACAAACCAAGGCCGCATCACGGGACACTTCCTGTCAAAGATTTGCGACGCCATGCAAATTCACTTTATGCTGCTTTTCTTCACTCGCGTTGTGGCTCACGTTCATGTCAAAGATCGCAAGGATTAAACTGCATGTTTCATCGAGAGAACAGCAGATAGTAGAAAAAAAAATAGAGTTAACATTGTATTATCGAGAAAACGAGTGAAGACTGTACAAATCGAGAAAACGGACAAAAAAAAAATGGAAAAGAGGAAAAATGGAAAAAAAAGGCGTTAAGAATCAGGGGTCGAGTTTCACTTGAGCAACTGAAGACTCGATGAGTTTGATGTTCGCATGAGCCGCATGGCGATCGGCAGCAAGTCCGAGACCAGCGGTTCATCCGGGTTGAGCGAAAGCGCCTTGTGATAAAGTTCAATGGCGCTGGCAAAGTTTTCCTCCAGTTGGTAGCAGAACGCGAGCGCGGTCAACACGCTTGCGTTGCGAGGGAAGAGCGCAGCAGACCACTCGTAATATTTGATCGCGTCCGCGTATTCGCTGCAGCGAGAAGACCCAAAAAGAAATCACATGAGACGACGTGATTACGAGCAGCGAGTTCAAAAACACCAACTCAAAATGCTTGACACGTACCCAAGCTTTCGATGGCAATGAGCCAGGTTAAAGACCAACGGTTCCCACACATCAAGAATGGCAGGCGATTTGGTCTTGTTCATGGCCTGGCTGAGCAGAATGCCGCGCACAAAGCGTGCCTTTGCACCGTGATAACTACAGTAGAACAAGAAATCAAAGAGCGGGCAACAGCGATCATGAGTGCATGTTTCAAAAAAAAAAAAAAATAAAAAGAAGAGAAAGGAGGAAATTTTTCAGCGCGTTGAACTGCAACCACACTAAGGATGAATGCAGCACAAAATCGTCTCTATGGCTGGAAAGCGAGACAAGCACAAAAGTACTTGCATCACCAACCAGGACTCCACAGAGCGCGTTTGATAGTTGATGTCTGCCTGTAGCGGCCGGTTGGCACACGAACTTCTGTTGCCACGAGGGCGCGAGAAAGTGACAATCGACTTGACACAGGCAATTTGGAAGGAAGAAGGAGCGAGGTGGCGGGGGGGGGGGACAAAAGAAAGTGTGGGGAATCCGAGTACTGCAGGATAACTTACTCGCCATTTCGGAATGCCACAACGCCCAGCTCGCACAGCACGAGTGGGTCTGTGGCGTCGATCGAGTGGGCCTGGTTGAAAAGTAAATCGGCCATGGCAATATTATTATTGCGCAAATAGCAAATCCCACTGAAAACGAGCGGGAGGTAGGACCTGTGTCACAAAAACAAGAAAGCAAAGAAAAGGGATATGAGAAGGAAAGTTGACGCTCACACCTGCAGCACAACAAAAGCAAACTAAACAAGACCGGGAGTTTCTGGAACACTTACCCTGGAAGCAGACGCGACGCGGTTGAATATGCCGCCAATGCAGTGTCGTATTCGCCTTCAGCAATGAGAGAGTGTCCAATTGCAACCCAGGCCGGCGCACAGTGCACATCGTACGAAGTTGCTTTCCTGCACAGAGGGGAGAAGAAAAAAAATCCCGGAAAAGCGAAGGAGAGAAAAGTCAGCGGTTGTAGGTCAAGCTGCAAGGACAGTTGCAAAAAAAGCACAAAAATCCATCCTTACGTGAAATATCGTCGTGCTCGTTCGCTGTTGCCGGTGGTGAGATAGTAGCACCCGACAGCAAGCCATGCGATGGCCCAGTCCGGATTGGACTTGACCAGACGATGTCCCAGGGCAAACAAATCACTGGTTTCGCCAAGACTAACAAGACAGCACAGATGGAGCACCAGGCACCGTTCATGATAGGGGTCGAGTTCCAAAACATGACGAGTGATTTCGATGCTGGCCAGCACGGAATGCTGCAGCTGATACAACTGCTCGGCCTGATTGACCAGCACATCAGTGCTCTTGCCCACCGAGCGGACCAGCGCGGATGTTTGCTTCAACGACGCCGACGAGATTGGGCCGAGACGTGCAGTATCAGACAGGTAGAGCTCCACCAAGAGCGGAGCGTCATCCTTGGCTTGCGCCAGGATGGCTGGTTGCAGATCAACCATAAGTTGGGCAGCTGCAACAAAGCAGAGCAGAAAGGACGAGGAAGGTGAGCAACAAAAAACAAACAAACAAACAAACAAACAACTACAAGGAAGAAAATCACCCGCAAACGGCTCACCTTCCAGGGGCGTTAACAATCGTTGCGACACGAGCTGCTCAAGAGCTTCGTGGCAATATACGTCTAGATGGAGCGCATCAATGTAGTTTCGGGTCGCCCGAGATCGATTGTCAAGGGTCTCGAAAACGCGACCGCGAAGGACGCAGATGGCGCTTGCAACAGAGAGCGGAAGCGACGCGTAGTCATCGCAAGCCTGCTCCATATCTTCAATGGTCGAGCACAGCATTTCTTGCGCATCCTCGTACTCCTTGAGCGCGAAATGGCACAGCGCGGCCAGAAATCGACACTCGGCGCTTTTCAGGGCAGGCGCACGCGAGGCAGCAGACGTGTTGCGCGAGGACGACGCGTACTGCGCAGCGAGCGAGGGTTGAGAGTCAACCCGACCACTGTGGAACAGCGTCATGGCGTCCAATCGGAGGGCGGAATCTTGCGTCTCGTCAAACATGAGCCGCCAGCAATTGTGCTCCGAGGTCTCCTCATCCTGATCCAGCGGCTCCGAGGCCACAACGGCGTTCGCCATGGCACGTTGCGCAGTCGCCGCGACCGAGCCATGTCGGCGGATGAGCTCTATGGCGCGCGCATGCTGGCCAGACAGATGGAAGCAGCGTGCCAAGAGCAGAGTGTCTGCACGATCTCCTGTGGCAAAGACCAAAAGTTAAAACAACGAAAAGTAAAGCAAAAAAGGGTGGTGAGGACAGTATTCAGAAATAGTGTCCAACTTTCAAGATCAAGCAAAAAAAAAAAAAAAAAAAAAAAAGCAAAAAAAAAGAAAAAAAAAAAAAGAAAAAAAAAGCAAAAAAAGCAAAAAAAAAAAAAAAAGCCATGCTTGAAACAGTTTGAAAAGATCGCGCCTTTTTTCACTTTCAACTTTTTCCAACAGACATTTTGTCTCTTTCGTCCATTCATCGAACACTCACCCACACAGTTTGAACACCAATCAACAGCCAAAAACACAATCACATACCTGCATCGATGACGACCAGCTTGTCCGCCCAGAAGGCAGCCGAGTCGTAGGCATGGCGGGAAAGCAGCTCGCGAATCTTGGCGCGCAGCCGAGCCGCGACCGACGCGCCTCTCGCCGGCCCGGCAGCCGTGGGTGCCGCTGATGACTCGATCGTGGCAGGAGCGGCCATGGGAGTCGCAGCGAGGGAGGAGGACGCCGAGGTCCGTGTCTGGGCGGCAGGCGTTTGGAAGAGATCGCGTTTTGTCGGCATGCTGCCACTGCCGCCGGCAGTCGAGCTCGCTCCACGGTGCGGCGTCCCGGCAGGCTTGGCTTGGCTCGGATGCCCTGCGGCAGCAGCAGCAGCAGCAGCGGGTGCGCGTGTCTTGGATGGAGCGGCGGCTGGCGTGGCTGGCGTCGCGGCCGCACTGGCGCGCGTTACCGACTGCGGTGCGCGGCGCTCATCGCGCATTTATTTTGACTGAGCATTTTTGGATTCAGGATCAAGGGGGTGAAAACAAACAAGAACAAGTACAGAGTCGAGACAAATTGGTGGACTGCAATGAAGTATTCATTTATTAATCATTACAAAAGATCTGGGAATGGCTGAAAGCAGATTTTCGAAAGAAACAAACAGTCGAGTTAATCTTCAAGATCATCGTCCTGCTCTGGCACGTACTCTTCGTCAAACTCTTCCTCGCCAGGCTCGCCATAGATGGCGTTATGCACAACCTGCATGCATCGCGCCACGCGCACCGATTTCTCAATATCCATGGCTGCCTCGAACGTCTCGAGCGCTTGGGCGTACATTTTCGCTTGGGCGTACACTTCGCCGGTCATGATGAGCATCTCAATGTCAGGGTTGTACTGGCGATACATCTTGAGTCTGAGGCGGACCAAGTCCAACAATCGTTGAATAACAACAACAACAACAACAACAACACCAACAACAAAAATTCAGCCAACAAGCACTTCCACCGAGATGCAATGGCCAAGGGCCACAACTTACGTCTCGACGGCTTCCGTGTACTTTTCCTCAAACACCAAGAGCTGGATCAACGTCGAAATGGCGTCCATGCAGCGCGGATCAAGCGTCAAGGCCTTCTCCAGGGTCAAGCGAGCCTGAACAAACACAAGTACACAGACAGTATTCGCAAGTCAGCGCTGTGCACAAGGAAAAAAAAAAACCCCTTCTGGTCTTTCACACCTCGCTGACATACCTTGTCGCGACCTTCTCGCGTGTGCATAAAGACATAGCCAACGAGCGCAAGGGTACATGCGTTAAACTCCATCGTGCGGAGGGCTTCGCGAGCAAAATTCATGGCTTCTTGCATACGGTTTGCCATCAAATACAGGTCAATCGTGGTACGGAAGACGCCAATGTTGGGCGACGCGTACAAGGTTGCCATGGATTTCAAGGCGTCATTGTTGCGTCCTTGCTTGCGTTGCACATTCGCCCTGAACAACAACGCTTCGGGCGAGCCGGGACTGATTGCTAATACGTGAGAAAGGAGCGACTCGATTGAGTGGTAGCGACTTTCAATGCTTCCACCGGAGACCTGAACAATGGACTCGAGCGCCTTGTCGGATGCAATCACAATCATAGCTTCGTGGTACCGAGCCAGGCAGAGGTAGCCTTCTGGTCGATACCGCGAGCTATTCAGAGCATCCATCGCCAGCTTGTTCAAGGCAACAACGCGACACTGCCGCACTAAAAGCTGCGCTAGTTGGTGAACGTGCTGGAGCGCTGCTGGCTCTTGCTTGGTGGCTTGCTCAAAGCAGATTTGGGCGTCGCGGTAGTGTCCAAGTTGCATGTGGCAGTTTCCCAGCGTCTGCAGCAGCATCGTCGACCCAGCAAAGCCCTCATTCAAGTACACGACGAGCAAGTGCTCAGCGCGGAGAAAATGGCGCGCGCTCATCCAGCTCCAGACCTCAATCCACTGCGTAATCCAGAGGAAATGCTCCATCTCTGGCAGTCGCTCGTAGGGTGCATAGCCAGATACCTTATCCATCGCGTCTTCGCGGCGGGTCAAGCGTGGGGCGAATGAGAGCGCGCCAAATGCCGTGGTGAGCTTTGCTGTTTGCTCCGCGGTGGTCAATGCCGGGCCCGCTTGCCGTGCAGCAGGCTCCTTGGCGCCAGTCGTGCGAGCAACAGGATCTGGAGTGAACAAGGGATTTGCTGCCGAAGGACCCGCGGTACCCCGGGAGCGAAGCGACCTGCGAGGCGTTTCATCCAAATCCTCCTCGCGCCCATCTCCTTCAGCATCCTTTGCAGCAGCAGCAGTCGCTGCAACGCGCTTCACATTTCGCGCCAAGAGAGTTGGTGTCTCTGTGGGTCGAGGGCCCGAGGCAGCACCAGCAGCAGGTCTCGTTTGGCCTTCGGTTGGAACGGCAGGAAGCGAGTACCCCTCCGAATCGCGATTGCGCAGGGCAGAACTTGGCAAATCTGCAATCGATGGTCGACTCACGTTCATGTCTTGTCGGACAAATTGCTTTTGGCGATCCAGCAGCATCATGTCGAAAATTTCCGCTTCCGGCACCTTGTAATGTACAAGCCCGCGGATGGACGCGACCGCGAGCGGTCTTGCATGGACGGCCGCCTTGAACTGGATGATGGCGTCGTTCTTCTTTGAGGTCGTCGTCAATGCGCGGCCCAGAAGCTCGCAGATGGCCGGAGTGCGTTCCGAGATCGGAACTTTCGTCAGTGTGGAAATGACGTCCTCGGGTTTGTGGAGCTTGTCTTCGCACTTGGCAATCCAGAAGCTGCAGAGACGACGGGCAAGATCCAAAAGATGATGGTTGTTCTGTCGTTGGTGGACCTGCATACGAGCGCGCTGCATCACGATGGCATCATCCTTCAGAGCGTGTTGTTACCTCAACTCGACAGTCGCCATTCGAAAGTGATCGTTGCCCGGCGGACGATAGGTGCCTGCCGACTCCAATGCCAAGGCGTCTCGAAGCTTATTCTAAACCACAAAAGGTTGTGCAGATCAAGCCAACGAATGAGTGGGGGTGCGAGAGGGGGGGGGGGAAACTGATCCCGACGATCGTTGTTCGCAAACTCACGGCCGCTCGACTAAACTCGAGGCTGTCGTATAGCGAGAGCCTCTGCCTCGACGTCCTTGTAGCCCGGGTCTGGTTTGGACTGCAGGTAGGTCACCAGCAACTCGGCCTGTGTGTGGTTTCCGATCGCAGAGCAATGCAGGCACACACACGGGGTCAGCCAACACACACACACACACACACTCACAATTCACAACGACCACGAATGTCATGCCAACAAAAGCAAGTTCGAGGGAGGGAGAGAGAGAGAGAGAGAGAGAGAACGCGTTCGACGGTCGTCAAACGCAGCTGTTGGCGCCAAAATCCAGTCCCCACAATTGATACATACGAGAGCGAGCGTGCTGTCGAACATCTCGTCGCGCCAGATGCGTCGAAGCTGCTGCAGCGTGTGCCGTCGGTTCATGTCGTGGCAAGACAGCGACGGAAGCGGACCCTGCGCACTGCTGCTGCTGGTTAAAGTCGCCATTGAAACCAGCAAAGAAGAGTGGAAAAAAAAAAGAAAAAAGAAAAAAAAAAAGGCAGTCGTTGTTTTTTCAAACCAGACAGCACTAGAATGGCGAGGTAATCCTTGCAAAAGTCCGGAATGGTGACTGAGACCAAAGAGTGGCACCATGTCGGAGAAGCGGCAACGAAGCGACAGGGAAGAGAGAGAGAGAGAGAGAGAGAGCGCGAGATGGAGAGAGATAGAGAGAGAGAGAGAGAGAGAGAGAGAGAGAGAGAGAGAGAGAGAGAGAGAGAGAGAGAGAGAGAGAGAGAGAGAGAGAGAGAGAGAAAGAGAGCGAACGAGGCGAAACATGAGTTTGGCGCGAAAAAAGTGTTTCAAACGGTTTTTCTTCACATTTTGAAACCGTTTCGCCTCGGTCCAAGTGGAGACAGTTGTGCATGCGCGAGTCTTTCCCCGAGTCGAGCAGAATACACATCATTACCCATTCCACCAGTGTCAGCATGCATGTCTGGCTTTTCAATGCGTCAAACCGGGGCAATCTGGCAGACGTTGGGGCGTTTTGAAACCAAAAACCAAGTTGAAAAACTCACCTTCCCTCGCTTCCCGTTGCAACAGCCGAAAGAGTACCAAGCGTACCATCAGCCACGATGAGGACGAATTCGACTTGAGTGGCAGTCGCAGAACCAGTCGTCGCACGTCAGATGAATCTGCAGGCACATCCACGGTCGTTCAGCCGGCTGCGCTGGACAAGATTATTCATGCGGCGTCGAAAACCACAGCTACTGCTGCAACCGGGCGACGCCGGCCAGCTCCAGCGGATGACAATGATACACGAGATGCACCTGCCGTTGTGGATCCGCCGCACAAGAAGGCGCAATTGTTCAAAAAGCCCACAGCGCCGATGCTCGAGCTGCTTGAGGTGAGTTGCTGACACATGCGGCTGGTCGAGAAAGGCTTGTGGCTCACTGTGAGCCTCTGGTAATGCGTTGAAAACACAGCCTCGATCGCACGACACGAGCTTTGATTCGCCTTCCGTTGCGCCGCAAAGTGCCCGTCGATCGAGCTTTGTGAATGGTCGCACTCCCCGAAAAATGCTGAACGCCCCAGCTCCAATGCAGGTCCCGTCGGGTGCTCAGCCCACCACAAGCGCTGCAGGAACCTCAGGCACCGCAAGCACAGCAAGCAAAGTATCAACGCCTGGCTTTGACAGGCCGCTGTTTGAGCCCATCAGCGCCCTTCCGAATCTTGCCGAGGATATTCCCACCTCCATGTCGAGCGAAGAGCGATTTGACCAGCTTCTCACAGAAAGTCTTCGATACGGCCTGCGTGCTCTTGACGACGGCGAAGCGAACACGGCACAGCTTTCTCGGTCTGAATTGCAGGGTTAGGAATTTTCACAAAACATGCTGGAGATTCTTGGAAGTGCTATTCACTTTGTATTGACGCTTCCGTTTTGTTTTGTTTTGCAAAACAGACTTTGCAGAGGCACACCACCGAGAATGGCTCAACGACAAACACACAATGGCTTTGCAAGCTGAAGCGCGGCTTGCACCCGTGCTCAAACCTTGTGCAGAGAATGAATCGTTGCGCGAGCAGATTGGGCTGTTCCAAGAAGGTCTTGAGCGGTAAGGAAAGATGGGACAAGGCAGGAGACATGGTCTGCAGCGCCAAAGGTTGACAAGAGTGGTATCTTTGTTGGTATGTTAGACTGATTCAAGAGGAGTCGTTCTGGAAGCAAGCCATGGAAAGTCCGTTCACCATGTCACCACTCGAGTCTGGTACGTTGATGCTCTGATTCGAGGATGCAGAGCAAGTTGTAGCACGCATCGCATCTGACTGACCTCTTCCGTAACAAAAACCAACAAAAAAAAAAAAAAACCAACACCAGTGCCGCTTGTGCTTTCAGAAAGCGATAGTGCACATCTTGCACGTCGCCAGGAAGTCGCCCAACTTCGAGCACAAATTCAACAAAGCGAGGAAATGTTGGCTCTGCAGGTGAGGAAACACGACGCTGCCAGAGTTTGATGGCTGCTTTTTCAATGCTCATTTCAAACTTCATCTCTGCTGTCGCAGTTGTGCCAATTCAACCGAGCGGTGCGCATCCTGCAAGATGCTCAATCCCGCAACCACCAGCTTTGCGACGAAATCACCCACGATGTCGTTCAACGAACGTTTGCCGGAATCCCGCACGTTGACGACGCGCGCTCGCTCATCCGAAACGTGCTTGCGCCCATGGCCGTCTAAAAAAAAAAACCCCGACACCCACCCAATCTGAAAATAGTGCTGTTTCGTTTCATTGTATGTGTCTTGTACGCTGTGAGTTGTTGCAAAAAATTCTTTTCAATTTTTTTTATTATTATTTACAATTGGTTTTTGGTTTGGGCCGCTACTTCAAATAGCGCGCTTAAACAAGGCTAGCTCACTGCTCTTCTCCAGCAAAAAAACCGAACAATCATCAATGACTGCCCTCGCGCACTCTGTGGCGCCTGTGCGCGACATTGAGCGTGTTCAGTTTGGCATTCTCAGCCCGGACGAGATCGTGAGTTGGCCGTTTCATTGGTCACCAGTAGCACAGCAGCCAGAGAAGCGTGTGTGGAGAAGGACAGGAGAAGGAAGCAAAAAAAAAAAAAAAAAAAAAATCGTCGATCGCGCGTTTTTCGCGTTTTTCAATCGTTTTTGTCCCCAGCAACGATCACACCCGGCGGGGAGAGATCTCCGTCTCTTTTGTGAGGAGGAGATCGGCTTTGTCGGTAACTGGTACATTGCGTGGACTCGACCGCCGTGGGATCTGGACAGCCAAAGAAGCTCGGTTGCGACTTCGTTTTGCTTTTGCTTTTGCTGCCTTGTGCTGGCTTGAGTCGACGTTGTTGTTTGGCGCGATCGGATCATGGCACAGCACCAAAGTGCAAGGTGCGTTGGTCGCCACGGCCCTTGTGGCGCAGCGGCAGCGGTCTCACCAACGGCGGCAAATTCATCCTCAGTGCCAAAGTCAGCCAAAAAAAAAAAAAAAAAAAAAAAAAAAAAAAAAGTCTGCCTTTTCGCCCTTCAACAACGATTGAAAAATGCAAGATCGCCGGATTGGATCATCCGTCCTGCGATGCCTTGTTGTTTATTGTTTGGCTTTTGGAGCTGGGTTTTCTGATGCTTCCGAGCACGATTGTACAAAACAAACAGAAAGCCATGTCTGTGGCCAAGATTGAGTTTCCGGACGCCATGGAGAACGGCATGCAGAAACGCGGTGGCCTGTCGGATCCGCGGATGGGCACGGTGGAGCGCCAGTTCAAGTGCCAGACCTGCACGGGCTCGATGGGAGACTGTCCAGGCCACTTTGGCCACATTGAGCTGGTCAAGCCCGTGTTCAACGTGACCATGATGACGAAAATCCAAAAGACGCTCAAGTCGGTCTGCTACCACTGCTCGCGGCTGCTCGTCTCCCCCGAGGACATGGCGTACAAGCACGCGCAGCGAACAAACAACATGAGCGAGCGGTTCCGCCGCTTGTCGACTGCTTGCTTTGGCAAGACGCGGTGCGGCGGTGGCACGGATGTCGACGCCGACATGAAGCCCTCCATCGATCTGACGGCCAAGGCGCGCACCGGCTGCGGCAATGTGCAGCCCAAGTACAAGCGTGATGGCCTGTCGCTGACCTACGAGTTCCGCTTGACGGGCGCAAAGAAGGACAGCGAGAGCACGGCGGGCGGTGGCAGTGGCGGCGGCGCGTTGCCGACCGGCACGCAAACGCTCTCGCCCGAGAAGGCCCACGAGATTCTCAAGCGCATCTCGGACGAGGATTGCCGCGCGCTCGGCTTCAATCCCGAGCAAGGCCGTCCCGACTGGATGATCATCACCGTGCTGCCCGTGCCGCCAATGACGGTGCGCCCATCCGTTGTGATGGACTCTGTCGCTCGCGGTATTGACGATCTGACGCACAAGCTGGCCGACATTATCAAGGCCAACCACAACCTACGGCAGCAGGAGCTTCGTGGATCCCCCGCGCACATTATGGAAGAGTACACCAAGCTGCTGCAGTACCACGTCGCAACCTACGCAGACAATGAAATCCCCGGCGTCGCCACCGCGCAACAGAAGAGCGGCCGTCCGCTCAAGTCCATTCGGCAGCGCATGAAGGGCAAGGAGGGTCGCATCCGTGGCAACTTGATGGGCAAGCGTGTCGATTTCTCGGCACGTACCGTCATCACAGCCGACCCCAACCTTTCGCTGGACGAGGTTGGTGTGCCGCGCTCCATTGCACTCAACCTGACCTTCCCCGAAATGGTCACGCCGTACAACATTGACCGCATGTACGAGCTGGTCCGACGAGGCGCGCTCGAGCACCCCGGCGCCAAGTACGTCATTCGGGACGACGGCACGCGCATTGATCTGCGTTTCAGCCGAACGCAGGGCCAGGAGATTCACCTCGAGCCCGGGTATCGAGTCGAGCGTCACATTGTCGACGGCGACCCTGTCATTTTCAATCGACAGCCGTCCCTGCACAAAATGTCCATGATGGGTCACCGCATTCGTGTCCTGCCCTGGTCGACCTTCCGTCTCAACTTGTCCGTCACCACGCCCTACAATGCCGATTTCGACGGTGATGAGATGAACCTTCACGTGCCGCAAAACCTCGAGACGCGTGCCGAGGTGACTGAAATTATGAGCGTCTCGCGCCAAATTCTCACACCTGCGGGCAACCGTCCCGTCATGGGTATCGTGCAGGACACGCTGACTGGCAGTCGCAAACTGACCAAGCGTGACACGTTCATTGAGATGGACCTCATGATGCAGCTGCTCATGTGGCTGCCTGGCTGGACGGGCCATGTTCCCCAGCCGGCCATCCTCAAGCCGCGTCCAATGTGGACGGGCAAGCAAATCTTCTCAATGATCATTCCCGCCGAAGTCAACCTGACGCGCACGCACTCGACGCACGACGACGAAGAGGACAAGGGCAACTATGTGCACATGTCCCCTTCCGACACCAAGGTGCTCATCGAGAAGGGTCGCCTTCTGTCTGGTATCATCTGCAAAAAGACGCTCGGTCCTTCGGCGGGCGGTTTGATCCACATTCTCTTCAAGGAGTGGGGCCACGAGGTGGCGCGCAACTTTTTCAATGCATGCCAGCGAGTGGTCAACTACTGGCTCATGTGGGAAGGCCACAGCATTGGTATCGGCGATGCTGTTGCCGACGACGCGACCATGATGCAGGTCGAGGACGCCATCCGTCGCGCCAAGGAAGACGTCAAGAAGGTTGTCGAGTCTGCCCAGCACGGTCGCCTCGAGTCCACGCCCGGCAACACGCTGCGCGAAACGTTCGAGAACGAAGTCAACAAATACCTCAACAATGCCCGCGAGGATGCCGGTAAAAAGGTGCAGGATTCGCTGGGTGACTTTAACAACTTCCGCCTCATGGCTGTCGCGGGTTCCAAGGGTTCCGTTTTGAATATTTCGCAAGTCATTGCTTGCGTCGGCCAGCAGAACGTCGAGGGTAAGCGCATTCCATTCGGCTTCCGCTTCCGCACCCTCCCGCATTTCGTCAAGGACGACTATGGCCCAGAGTCTCGTGGATTTGTGGAAAACTCGTACCTCAAGGGTCTCACTCCCAGCGAGTTCTTCTTCCACGCCATGGGTGGTCGCGAGGGTGTCATTGATACCGCCGTCAAGACCTCCGAAACGGGTTACATTCAGCGTCGCTTGGTCAAGTGCATGGAGGACGTCATGGTCAAGTACGACGGCACCGTTCGCAACTCGCTCGGCGATGTGATTCAGTTTGTGTATGGTGAAGACGGTCTGGATGGCGCGCATCTCGAGTTTGGCAACCAGCCAATTCTCGCTCCCAACAACGACCGCTTCAACTCGCTCTACAAGTACGACGACAAGACGTTGAACGAGCTGTCTGTCCGGCTGACGCCCGAAATTTACGAAAATGTCATGACGGTCGAAATGCAAGACGCCCTCGAGCGCGAGTTTAACCAGCTTGCCACCGATCGCACCCTGCTTCGCGCCCTCTTCCCGACCGGCTCTGGCATGCTTGACGCTGCCGTCCCAGTCAACGTGCCTCGTCTGATCTGGAACGCTCAGAAGACGTTCAACATTGACAAGCGACACCAATCCGACTTGCACCCGGTGGCCGTCATTGAGGGCGTGCGTCGCTTGACGGAAAACCTGGTTATCGTCAAGGGCTCCGACCCGATCAGCGTTGAAGCGCAGAACAATGCCATTTGTCTCTTTGGCATTCACTTGCGCTCTGTGCTCAACTCCAAGCGTGTCCTTTTGGAGCACCGTCTCCACAGCCAGGCATTCGAGTGGCTCCTCGGCGAGATCGAGTCCCGCTTCCAGCAAGCCAAGGTCGAGCCCGGCGAAATGGTTGGCGCTCTTGCCGCGCAGTCGCTTGGTGAACCCGCCACCCAAATGACGCTCAACACGTTCCACTTTGCTGGTGTGTCTGCCAAAAACGTCACGCTTGGTGTCCCGCGTTTGCGCGAGCTCATCAACGTGTCCAAGAGCCCCAAGACGCCGTCGCTCACCGTTTATCTGCAGAGCGGCATGGATCAGGAGCGCGCCAAAGATGTGGCCTGCCGTCTTGAACACACCACGCTGCTCAAAATCACCACACACACGGAAATTTACTACGACCCCAACCCTCTCGCGTCCGTCGTGGAGGAGGACCAGTCGTTCGTCAACGATTACTACGAGATGCCCGACGACCCCGAAATCCTCAAGCACATCTCGCCGTGGTTGTTGCGCATGGAGCTCGACCGCAAGCAAATGGAGTACCGTCGGTTGACCATGGAGCGCGTGGCTGAAAAGATTACCGCTGATTTCGGCAACGATCTGCACGTCATCTTCTCCGACGACAACGCCGACAAGCTCATTCTGCAAATCCGCATGCTCAAGAAGACGAGCGAAGGCGACGGCGAGAGCGGCGACAAGAACCCCGAAGACGAGCTCCGGTCTGGCGCTGCCGACGACACGTTCTTGCGCAAGCTCATTCCCAACTACCTGTGGCCACTGACGCTCCAGGGGCTGGAAGACATTGCCAAAGTCTACATGACGCAAAAGAACCGCAAGCACTTCCACCCCGTCACTGGCGCGCTCGTCAACGACAAGAACGTCAAGGAGTGGGTGCTCGAGACAGACGGGTCGTCGCTGCTCCTCGCCCTTTCGCAGCCGAACGTTGATGTGACGCGCACCGTTTCCAACGACATTGTCGAGATTATGCGCGTTCTCGGCGTCGAGGCTGTGCGCCAGTCGCTCTTCAAGGAGATGCATGCCGTGTACTCGCTGTACGGTATTTACATCAACTACCGCCACTTGGCCCTCTTGTGCGATGTCATGACTGCTCGTGGCCACATCATGGCTGTTACGCGTCACGGTATCAACGGTTTGGACACTGGCCCGCTCATGCGCTGCTCGTTCGAAGAGACTGTCGAAATTCTCGTCACCGCCGCGCAGCACTCTGAGACGGACTGGCTGCGTGGCCCATCGGAGAACATTATTTTGGGCCAGCTGGCTCCTGTCGGCACTGGCTACTTTGATCTTTTGCTGAACGAGAAGATGCTCGAGCACGCCGTCGAAATGCCCCAAACCTTTGGCGTCAACGCCTTTATGGATGGCATGTTTGATCCGCTCGGCATTAGCTCGCCGTCTGCCGGCTTGTCGCCCATGGCGGTCACGCAGTACCACACGAACGAAGGCTACAGCGTCTACTCGCCCAATTCGCCCAGCAACGCTGCCTTCTCGCCCGCTGGCAACGCCTCTTTCAGTCCCGCGTACGGCGCGCTGTCGCCGTTCAATCAGAGCGGGCGCTCCCCCGACCCGTACGCTGCGTCCAGTCCGCGCCGCGGCCCCGCGAGCCCGTACCATGCTGCGAGCCCAAGCTACTCGCCCGGCGACACTGACTATTCTCCGTCCAGCGGCAAGGGCTATTCTCCAACCTCACCCCGGTACTCGCCGACCAGTCCGAGCTACTCTCCCACCAGCCCAAGTTACTCGCCCACCAGTCCGAGCTACTCGCCGACGAGCCCGAGCTACTCGCCGACGAGCCCAAGCTATTCGCCGACCAGCCCAAGCTACTCTCCGACAAGCCCGAGCTATTCGCCCACAAGCCCCAGCTACTCGCCCACTAGCCCCAGCTACTCGCCCACTAGCCCCAGCTATTCGCCGACCAGTCCAAGCTATTCACCGACATCCCCGTCGTACTCGCCGACGAGCCCAAGCTACTCTCCCACAAGCCCGAGCTACTCTCCCACCAGTCCCAGCTACTCGCCCACAAGCCCCAGCTACTCGCCGACCAGCCCAAGTTATTCGCCCACAAGCCCCAGTTACTCGCCCACATCGCCGTCCTACTCGCCAACGAGCCCGAGCTATTCTCCCAACCAACCCCAGCCTCCCGCCAATCAGCGTGGAGGCAATCAGCAACAGCGTCGTTGAAGAGCTGCTCTTTTGTTTTGTTGTCGATGCGAATTTTGGCTGCTGCGTGTTGTTGGAGTTGCTCGCGTTTCTTTTGAATCTGAGGTGTTCCTTTTTGTTTTGTATGTGCTTACGAATACGATTTCTTTTTTTTTTTAAAACCAATCCCACTAACTGTTGGATGATGAGAGTCGGTTTTTGTGCACATTCAATGGTTTGGGGGTTTGTTGAGGTCGGCTGCTTCCCTCTCGCGCCCACTCACGCGAGCAAACAGCGACTTCTCCGTGTTCATCTCCCGTCCTCGTTTTCTTTCTTCTTCTTTTGAGAGCGAATGCTCAACTTGATGAACACCCTAATTTGACGCTGACGCATCGATTCTCACTCCTTTTTTTGTAATGTTGCCAATCAGCTTTCTAGCTTTCTGGTTTTTTGCGGCGTGACCGACTCACTCGGGCGCACGGTGCTTCAGCGGATTCGGTCGTCCCCGGTTTTTGCTTGTGGGGAGTTGACTGTGGATGGAGCAATCACTCTGTGAAGCACGAGATGCATGAGAAGGTGGACGAAGGGGATTGCGACGGGCCAACCGCAACATCTGTCTGTTTGTGTTGAGCAAAAACACCATCAAAACCACAAAAGCCAGTTGTTCGCCCTCCACGCAAGGGAAGCGAGCCGCTTGGACGTCCAGGTGAGATGCGCCCCCACGCGAATCAAGGAAGAGCACGGAGCAAGCGAACACACGCGCCCAGAGCTGTAGAGACTTGTCGGTCTGTGGCGGGGAAGACGAGGCAGAAGAATTCGCGCGCACTTGCGCACTGCGATTTTTTCGCCGAGATCTGCAAATTCAGATATCCATCCAACGCGACCAATGCGAAGGTTGCGGAAAGGCAAGCATGAGATGCAAAGTAATTCTTTTTTTTTTTTTTTTTGGTTGATGAGGAGCGGGTTCGAAGGAAGGGGGGTTTTTCGAAAAAAGATGAAACAAGCAACAAAAAACATCAAAGGAAGCTAACATGAGAGAGACCGTCGACGGTCGAGATATGAAACGATCACGAACGAAACGAAAAAAGAAGAAAAAGAAGAAGAAGAGAGCGAGAAAAAAAAAAAAAAAAGAGGTGCCAAGAAAATAGACGAGATTTTCAATCTTGGACTAGGACTCGAAATCGGACGATGGAGGCTCGTCGACGCCATCATCTTCCGTGTCGTGGTGGTTGTGGTTGTATGTATGTGTGCGCATTGGCGGTGCTTCTGCGGACGGCGGCGCCGACGACGCCGAAAAAGACGACATCTCCTGCTGGGCAACTGCGCTTCGGTAAGCTGCGAACGCGTGCTGCACTGCCTCTGGGACATCTCCGCGCAGTGCAGCCAATGGAGCCACGTGAAGCAGCAGGTTGTTGATCGGTCGCACCATTTGGCTCAGGCGTTGGAGCTCGGTTGTGATGTGCTGCAACATGGCCATGATGTTTGGCACGGTGACCAGCATGCTCTGCACAAAGTCGCTCTGCTCCTTTTGCTGGGCCTTGCGTTTGGCGCGCAGAGCTCGGTGGCGGGCTGGGTCGTTGCCCTTGAACACTGGCGACGGTCCGCGATGAGCCTGCTGCTCTAGGAGCGGAGGTAGGTGTGTCAGTGGCCTGTGGGTGCCGTTCTGGACCGCGTCCCGACTGCCAGCCTCTTCCAGGTTTGCCTCTTCCTTCATCCGCTTGGATCTTGTCACGTGCTCAAGCGAGCCTCGGCGTTTGTTGTGCTGGCGGAATTCCGAGTCGGAGACTTCGTCCATGCTGATCGAGCGCGACGGCCTGCGTTTCGCGCCATCATAGGAAACTCCTGCCTCAGCCTTCAAAGCAGGCGCAAGTGCGGGTGCTGTGATAGCTGGACTCGGATCGCTGGCAGGCATCGGCGAGAGAGAGCTGTTGAAATCGCGGTGCGCGGATTGTAAGTGTTGCGCATTTCCCATCGCAGCATGCTGTGGCGGAGGCGGCACACGCTGCGCTGCCAAGCCTTGTGGCATTGGTGGGAGCATCATGGGTGGCAGCTGTGGCGGCTGAGGCGGGAGCGGCATGCTGGGCGGCGGGTAATTAAAAGGGGCTGCATTGTTTGCCGACGCATACTGCATGCCCGGAAATTGGTGCAGATGAGGCTGCATCTGGGGCACATGAGCGGACTCTTGTGGCGGGTATGGCATCGGAGGAAACACTGGGTAAGGTTGTGGTTGCTGCAGTTGATGCTGGAGCGGCGGCGGTGGTGGTGGCGGCTGTTGCTGCAATTCGTATGGCAGCGCGCGAAACTGAGCAGGGTGAGGAAATTGAGGCACTGAGGGTTTGAGCCCTGGGTACTGAGCATAGCCCTGGGTCTGAACTTGGTACTGAGCTTGGGTCTGAGGCTGGAGCTGCTGAGGCTGAGGCAGAGGCTGAGGCTGCGCAAGAGCGGGATTCGCCCCCAGAGCTCCATACCCATCGCCTTGAGGAGGAGGAGGAGGAGGAGGATGTGGGTAGAGATACAAAGCCGGAGGAGGCGGGTTTGAGAACGATCCCATCAAAGGTGGGAGTACTCGGTAGTCTGCTGAAACTGCTTCGAACGGTTGTGATGACGGCTCAACTGGCATTGGAATTGGAGCAGTACCACCGCCAGCCATTGGACTATCTGCCGCGCCTTGATCTGCGAGACGATGGTACATTTGTTGCGGGTAAGCGGTAGAAGTGTGAGGGGCCGCTGAACCTTGCAATCCATTGCTGCTCGTGACAGGCTGCTGCTCCAGATCGGCGGATGGCGGAATGAAGGCGGCGTCGGCCACCGCAGCCCCAGAAGCCGCTGGTCCTGATCCCAACGCGGCAAGTGTGTTGGTTGTGGCAGGAGGAGCAACGGCAGCAGCGGGCCACGAGCCAGGCGCAGGCGCAGGCGCAGACACAGGCCCAGTGACTGAGAATGAAGTGGTGGGCGGCCATGCTGCGGCTGACGGCTGCTGCGGCGATGGCGACCCTGGTAACGGCGCGGTCAGCTTGTGTTGTCGCTGCTGCTGCTGCTGCTGCTGGAGTGGTGGTTGTTGCTGTTGTTGCTGCTGCGGCGGCTGCGGCGGCGGTGGCTGGGTTGGATGAAGCTGCGGATGACGGCTTAGCGCAGCAGACTGAGAATGATGCCGCATTGCTGAACTTTGCTGCTGCTGCTGCTGCTGCTGAGCGCCGTCTCCACTGCCACTGCCACTGCCACTGCCACTGTCACGGCTGTCCGTCATCGATGGCGGCTTTGTTGCTGGAGCAGTGGAAGCGGAAGTGGGCTGCGGCTGCGAGGGGCTGCTTGTCATTCCAGACGCTGATGATGAGGTCGAGCTGGGCAGCGACGACGACGACGAGGACGCTGACGCCAAGTCCGACGACGATGTTGACGATGTTGACGATGTTGACGATGATGCCAAGGACGACGCTGATGCTGCTGATGGGACTGGCGGGTCGCGGATGGTCATGATCCTCAGCCTGAGCCGTGCTTTTTTTTTTTTTTTTTTCAGAATCTTCAGAATAATTACTGCAAGGATCGCCGTCAATGCGTGTTTGATGCTGGTCGAATGAGCATCCACACAACAATGAACACCACGCCGTCTGATGCTGCCAACTGTGGTGTTTTTGGGCGCAAAAGGCGAGAGGCGAGCGAGATTTGAGAAAAGGGGGAGGGAGCAAGAAGAAGAGAGCGACTCTTCTCGATTTCTGAGTGGGCCGCCTTGTTTGCCGACGTTGCTGCCTTTCCGTCGTCCCTCGCTCGGTCTGTCGATTGTGTGTTGTTGATCTGACTGATGATTCAACCCAAATTGGAAGGATTAAACACAGGGAAGAATGGCAAAAAAATGGGCAGAAAAACCACACCCCAAACGAGAAAATAAAATACAAAATAAAAACAACGAAAAACAATGAACAACAACAACAACCAAAGAAAATAAAGCAAGAAAAATAAAGCAAGAAAAAAAAAGCAAGGAAAAAAAAAAGAAAAAAAAAAAAAGCAAGGTCAGTGACACACCAGCACAACAAAACGACACGATGGACCCAAGGTAGGAAGGAGGGAAAAGAAGAGGAGAAGGAGGAGAAGGAGGAGGAAGAGGAGGAGAGCGCAACGAAATGATCAACCTTTTGCGCACGAGCTATGAGAAAAACAGAATAGAGGTGTGAACCGTTTCACCGAGTGACAAGTTGCAGTCGCCAGCATCAAGACTGGCCGCTCCCATGCGATGCAATGCACGGGGCAGCGTATTGGTGTCATCGACATGGTTGAGGTGGCGATGGGGGGGGGGTGTTTGCTGAACTTGCTTTAGGGAGACCGCAAAAAAGCCGCGAGTGTTGTTGTTCGTTCGCTTTCCCGATTTGCGTTCTGTGACCGGGTGCACGGCCACCACCTCCACCCCAACTCTTCGGTGCTGCAATCTAGTGATACATGAGACTACTAGCCAGTAGAATGAAAAGGGGGAGGGAGGGAGTGAAGGAGGATGGGGTTGAGACGGTGCATTTTTGGTTTTTGGGGAGGGTTGTCATGTTGGCTGTCATGGGATTGGGCAGCGGCCTCAGGTCTGTTGTCGAGCGCCACCCATCCACCCAGTTCCGGGAGAAGCGACGACAATCACCAAAGAAGGCATTAAGCTGCTCGCACAGAGGCAGTGAGACCACAAGCGAGTGGGAGAGCGTGAGAAAGCAGACGGGCGCGTGTCGGCCGACACTCCCAAAATTTCAAAAATAGAAAAGAAAAAAACGACAAAAAACAAAACAACCACAGATGGTCAACTTGCGCGATACCGAAGCGACGCACAGAGGGGCACCATGCGTGAAGGAAGAGACACATACAGCAAAGCAGAGACAACAAGAGACAACAGTACGGCCGAGCCAGACACATGTGACACGCCTATTCTTAGTAAATTCCCAACACCTTTACCAAGCCCCGCCTTCTCCCGATTGCGCCCAAACCGACCAGCGCCTCGTCTCCTTCGAGCTTTGGCTCTCTGCATATGGCTTTCACCTAGCTCGTACTCTCATCCTCGTGGAAGCGCGAGGCTGGCGTGTGCTGAGGCCGACTTGTTTTTGGTCCGTTTCTCTCCGCGCTCGTAACCAATGCGATGCCGCTTTTCGATGTGGCAGCACGACGCTTCGTTCCGCCGGGGCCTGACCCTCCTCCTCCCAAGCCAGCCACAGCAGGAATTGATGTACACCTGTATTCCCGCTTCAGCATGTCTGGCAAGGCGGCACGTCGCGGTGGCAAGGGTGGAGACACGCGTCTCCGTCCGCGGTTTTTGGCATCTCGCGCGAGCTAAAATCGAGCGCACCGCGAATGGGGGATCGGTGGGAAGCGGGGAAATTGGAGCGATGCTGCATGTGTGCGGTCTTTGTGACTCTTTGTCTCTCGCAAAGGGCTACGGCATGACGAGCGAAGAAGTGGTGTATCGTTTACTCACGCAGCAAGAACCGCCAGCAAGAAAAAACAAAACAAGAACTGAAGCAGCAAGCGCATGTGTGTCACCGACCCGATGACCCGCTAATTCACATGATGCAAAGTCGGAGATGCTGACACAGCAGCTTTGAACAAAGGAAATGGAGGGAGGCGAGCAACCAGATTTGGTCTAAAGCGCTGGGAGCTCCGAGAGAGTGAGGGAGAAAAGTAAAAAAAAAAAAAAAAAAAAAAACTTCAGGAACAACAAAAGGAGCGCGTCATCACGACGCCCCCATCGCACATCGAGCTCAAGATTGTATCAGAAAAAGAGAAAGAGAGCGTTTAAATCACAAGTGATCAAGTGAAGGGATGGATGGAGCGAGGAGCAGCCCAAACTTTCAGCCACAAGGTTTCAAGCTGTGCAGCCAACCAACCAAAGCGTGAAACTGAGAGCCACAATGAAATTTCGAAAACGGCGTCGGATTGCCCATGCGCAGAGCATCAGATGGGGTTCGCCACATGCAGCTACAGCGAGCAACGGGGCCGATCTCACAATCCCAGCTGCCGCTGGACAGCCAGACCAAGGCGCCCCGTCGCAGTGCCGTTTAACGCATGCAAGCGTTTAGCTGGTCGGGATTTTTTTATTTTTTGTTGGTGCATTTTTGTAGACTTTCATTCACGCTCCTCCCTGAGGTGTGTGTGTGCAAGTGTGTGTATGTGCGTGTGTGTGTATGTGTGTGTATGTGTGTGTACGCCGGAGGAAGATGGAGATTATTGTGTCGGAATGAGTGGGGATGGGCGCGGGGGATTAAATCATCATCAGAGTGGGAGTCTCACCAGTGAAACTGCTCAGCTCGAACCGAAAAAAAAAAAAAGGAAAGAAAAAAACAAAGAAAAAGAAAACTGAGCGCCTGCTTTTGGAGCAAAACGGCGATTCATCGCCCTCTCGGCACAAAGTAGCCGATCACTCCCGCGAACAATGCTATGCTTTAGCAAGAGATGGCCTCTCTACATCGCGGCGCAGCGCGAGGAGGCGCGCTTTGTCGTTTACGCGTGACGCAGAGAAGAACCAATTTTGGTGAGAACCATAAATGGGTTTCTGTTTACTACAAACACGTCACGCAGCTAACGCTTGGGTGCGCTTGTCTGGCGGACCCTCCCAGACGAGCAACGTGACTCGGATGTTGGTCTTGGCGGCGGAAAGGGGGTGGGGCGGAGTTCGCTGTGCTGGGAGCAGGGAGCGGCGCTTTCACAGTTGGTTGCTGAGCAACCCAATTCGGCATTTCGCAAGCATTGTTCTACTTAAGGGATTTTTCATTTGACAAAAACTGTTTGGCGATTTTAGGTCACACAAACAAAGTGTTGCTTGTCCAATCAAGTTGCTACTTGTCCAATCGAGCTCAACACATTCGCGAAATGCACAAGAACGTTCAATTCTTTCGTTCTCACTTTTTGTTTTATTTGGTCTTGTTCATAGTTTTAAGACCGGTTCATCTCGTACTCGATGCGTACATGCACACATGCTTCAAAGCACACTGCTCTTTAGGCCGTCATCCGGCATGTCGGGCTGTTGAGGGCTTCACTTGCTCTTTTCGCATCCAAACGCAGCACCTTGTTTTCACTCCCTCCCCCGCGCTCCTTTCAACTCGTACCACCACCCCAGTTCCATCCACGTGCTCCAGTTATGATAAACAAATTTCTACTTTCATCACGGGGAGGGTGTAGGGTTTTGTTTCGCGGATAGCCAGTTGAGCCATTCCCGTTGATCAACCTGAGCACCAAGACTAGATTTTGCAGCAACCAGAAAGAGTTCATTCGTTTTTTTTTGCTCAAAAATCAACTAATCCCATAGAAAAAAACAATGTCTTGGTTGCTTGACCGGATTGCTACTGTCGTTTACGCCTCAGAGGTACCATTTTCTACTCCCAGCAGCCTGGTTGTTGAACAAACCATGAAAAAAAAAAAATCAATCCCAAAGCTCGGCTTTTGGCTGGGCGCGGATTTCTTTGCCACGGACACTGCACTTTGGGCACGCGCCATCATGCATCGCTAGTGTTCCAGCGGCGCTCGACCGAGTGGGTGGCTGCCAGACAGACCGCGAGAAGAGTGATAGAGCGAGAGACAAGCGGAACACCGTCCATGCGGGATTGGGATGAGGATCCAAGCTGCGACGCGGGGCTGTCCGGTGGGAAAGCAAACGAGCCACTGGCAGCAACGAGGACTCGAATCAACAGCGCGTTCCAGCGACACGGACGGACGAGGCTCGTTTGGCTGGAGGACGATTGGTTGGGGAACGACGATGAAGGCAAAAACGAGAGATCGCACTTCACCCCTCACTTCGTCCCCCCCGCGTCCCCGTCTATGATGAGAGTTCTGGCATGGATGACTGACGCCTGTGATTTTCCAATGTGTGTTTTGCGTTTGTGTGCTTGATCTGCGATCCACAGCCCAAGGAGGAGGAAGAGGCACAAGAGGAGCAGGAGGAGTTCAAGGACCCCAAGACGGCCATTGACGAGAAGTGCGCCGAGACTGCTCACTGCGCACACGCCCGCAAGGAGCTCGAGGAGTGCACCCAGCGAGTGGAGGGCAACCCAGACACTAAGGAGACCTGCGCCCAGGAGCTCTTTGACTTTTGGCACTGCGTCGATCATTGCGTGAGTCGCAGCTGCTGTTGTTGTTGTTCATGGAAGAGAGAGAGAGAGAGACACACACACGCAAGCATCGATGCCGAGAAGCAGTCGCTAGCAAGCGACACAAATGATGCAGTGATGCCAGGCAGCAGAGCGAGGGATGAGGGATGATTCCAGCAGATTCTCACCAACCACTTTGGGTTTTTGATCGTCCCCTCCTCACAGGCTGCTAACCAGCTTTTCGCCAAGCTCAAGTAAAGCCGTCCATGTCCACGGATGATGTTTTGAGGTTGCAGAGCTTTGGCAGCAAGTGCTCTCGCAATCCACTGTTGATGTATCATTTTTTTCCCCCCCAAAAACCACTACTTGTATTGATGTTTGCGTGTTTCTTGTTGCTGTGTTTGTTTTTTGCCTTCTTTATCTGCGTGTGATGTCTGTCGCTGTGTCTATGGCTCGAACCTCCTTTCGCGTCTGTCATTCACGAACACAAATGCAAAGCAAGAAAAGCGATCAAACTTTCCAATTTCATTCCAGCTCATATCCAGTCCCAGCCCTCCCCCATAGCTGCACAATCCGCACTAAACTCCAACCATCTCCTTTGACTATTTGAGTTTGCCTCAGTCCCCTTTTCAACTTCACACAGCCATGCCGTTCGCCAGCCAGCCCGTGGTACAAATTCTCGAGCTGACCCCCGACAACGTCCGCTTCGTCCTCTCCAAGACCGAGCTCAGGTGTGTGATGCCCGTTCCTCACCGTGGCCGTGAGCCGCGGGTTGAGTGGGGGTGCCAATGGAGAGTGACTGAGAGATTCGTCGGGGTTGCGATCTCGGCCTTTTCCAACTTGTGCGACGCTCACTGACTTCTGTTTCCCCCAACCCACACATTCTCAATCATCAAACACAACAAACTACCTCCTCAGTGTGGCAAACAGCCTCCGCCGCGTGTGCATTGCCGAGGTGCCGACGATGGCGATCGACCTGGTCCAGTTTGACGAGAACTCGTCTGTGCTGCACGACGAGTTTGTCGCGCACCGCTTGGGACTGCTGCCCCTTGCATCGGAGACTGCAGGCGAGTTTGACTACCTGGCCGAGTGCGACTGCGACGGCGGTTGCAACCGATGCACCGTGTCGCTCACCCTCGAGGCCGAAGGCCCTTGCTCTGTCGTCGCGCGCGACTTGCGAAGCTCGGACGAGTCGGTGGTGCCAATCTCGCAGCGCGACGCGTCAGGCTCAGAGCAGCACGATGTTGTTCTAGTCAAGCTGGGCGCAGGACAGCGCATCAAGCTCACAGCTATCGCCAAGAAGGGCATTGGCAAGGAGCACGCAAAGTGGAACCCGACCTGCGGCGTATCGATGGAGTACGATCCAGACAACAAGCTCCGACACACGACCTACTACGACCCTCAGAACTGGCCACAATCACACCTGTCAGAGCTGCCCGCGGGCCAGTGCGAAGCCCCCTTCGACATTAATGCAAAGGCAGACAAATTCTGGCTCAACGTCGAGGCGTCGGGCGTCATCCCGCCCGCCGATATCGTCCTGAACGCCATCAGCGTACTCAAACAAAAGCTTAAGACCCTTGCCGATGCATTCTCAACAGAGGTGAGCCAACAAAGCGATTGGACACAACCCCAACACCAGCCATAAGCGCATCATCACAAGTCGTCTCGAGGCGAGCAGCTCAAACCTATCGGTGTTTGAGCTGCTGTGGTTGAACGCGATGTATGTGCGTGGGCTTTTGGCTGATGGATGTAATGTTAGCATATTGTTGTTTGTTGGTGTACAAAAAAAAAAAAGTATAAACAATCCCAAAACTTTTCATCATTTTGAAGGTTTAAGCGATCGCTCGGATCCAAATTAATGAGAGTGACCATGCCCATGTCCATGCTCGTGGCTGTGTCCGTGGTGGTGCTGGTCTTCGTCTCGTTCTGCTTCCGAATGCTGCAAAGAGGTCCCAAAAAGAACAGTTGAGCAAAAATTGTCAACGATGGACATTGCACCTCATCCGCCCAGAAAACTCACAGTGTGGTATCGTTTGCAAAAGTTACGCATCCACATAATCATGTTATAGCGTTCGCCCGAGGTGATGGGTTTCGCTGCGTGGCGATGCTTGCCCAAGTGCAGAGTGGCGCGACCTAGTTGGTGTTGAACAGCCAGGCTTTCATCGTGCGTCTCAGGCGCATCAAACAGACCTCCAAAGTAGAGGGCTCCGCCTGTGAATTCAGTGCCCAAGCACACATTCAGCGTGACCTCTGCGTCGTCAAAGTGAAATTTGAGCTCGCGGTCCTCTGCCATGCGGTATTGAACCTGTTCCCCCCCAAGGCACAAAAACAACAAACCAAGCCGAGCAACAAATTGTTAGAACAAGTTGCATTTCCCCACTCTGCACCAAAGTGTGGCAAAGAAAGCGAGAGAAACATCCGCTTCGTCAGACTCACCACAAACGTGTGGTGATGATCCAAACCACCACCCTCGTCCCAGGCGGGATAAAGAAGCTTGCACAGTGGGTTGAGATGATACGCAAGAAGCTCATTCAACATGGGAAGAAATCCGATATCGTTGAGAATGGTGCCATAGTTGTTCATGCTATTTGGCCGAGCAAGGGGCATGCCCGATTTCTCGAAATGTTGCAGTTCTTCCACCAGTTTTCTGTCAGCAGCAGAGTGAGCATGCAAGCATGCGAGTGATACTTCACCGATAAGGCCTACCCCCCAATACAAAACAAAACAACGAGGTTCAGCTGACGTACAGGCACCACTCGCGTCGCAGCATTGCAAACTGGTAGAGCCGGGTCGCTTCAGATAAGCAAGTCAAGAACGAGGCCGGAAGACTGCTGATTTCCGCCGCAACGCCGCTTTCAGTCTGAGCTTGGATGCTTTCGACCGCTTCAAGAAACACTGGTTCCAACATTGAGGCCTTTCCGAAGGCAACAACATCAAACCCACCAATCGTGATCAAAACAAAGCGTTGAAATTAGCAGGAAAACCCCAAACCGCGCAGATCCGACTTTCATTTCCCTTTGAGGGGGTGGGGGTGGGGGCGGGTCCCAACATCACTCACCGGGTCGTTGAGATCATAGAGTTCAGAATGCAGTGGTTTGTACAGCTCGGTAATCATGGCCAACTTTTCGATCTGCATGGTGTTGATTTTGGCCGGATCAATAGCCCGACGCTCCACAGGTTTCGAGTCCTCCTCATCGTTGTCACTGGCGTTGCGCTCCTCGTCTGTCAGGATTGTATCCGCTTCTGAGCACACCAAAAAATACATGCCATCAGACGTCGTGTTGAGAGGCCAAGTTACAACCAACCCACAGTCACATTACAAAGGTGCTGACTCAAACTGCTGCAATACACTAACCAGCAACGACCATGTAGCATTGACGAGCTTTGAGCTTGGCTGGTGCATTTTCGTCCAACGGCACAATCTGAGATGGTTGGCACAAAAAACAAGGCAAAAGAACGCATGGATGTGAGGACCCGTCCGAGCACTGTTTTCTCGTCACGTTCTATTCAATGTATTGCTGTGTTGTTTGAGTGACATGCGAACAAAATCAAAAGCAACCGAGATTTGGAGCACTGCGACCTGGTTGCACGATGACGCTTTTCGCATTGCATCCAAAAAGCGCTTCAAAACGTCGCAATAAGACAAACACACTACGAACTACCACCCCGGCCATGACAAATCAACCGAAGACTGGTTGCTGTGTGTGTGTACGAGTGGGGGAGATGGCGGTTTGGTCAATACGGACCTCGAGTGTCTCAGTGTTGAGCAGCGTGGCGTGTTGTTGCATCACAAACAGCCGCTCGACGCGCTCACGTGTGACCCAGTGGATGCCCAGCGACACGTCCAGCCCTTCCATCGAGCGCAAAGTGACGCGTGCTGCTTTGCGATCGACAGACTCGGCGGTGGCGGTGGCGGTGGCAGCGCAGGTGTCGCCAAGTGCTTCCGGCATCTCGGCTTGATGATGAAACAACAAAACGAAAAAACTGAGAATTGACTGGATTTGGCGTTTGACGGGTTTGGAAGTCGGGTGAAATGGATTGGAAAATGCTCGTGTTGTTGACCCCCTCTACTAGTACAATGCGATATTGTTGGAAACCCAACAGTTTGCGTTTATTGTCATTTTTTTTTTTTTTTTGGCATGTACAGACCTAGACCCAGTTTTTGGGCGAACGCAGCACGGCCAGAAGCTCTTCTTCAACAGAGCCAGGAGCCGGCTCGTGGCAGTACTCCCAGCGGGCGGTAAGCGGCAATGACATGAGGATGCTCTCGATGCGGGCGCCAGGGGTCGCCAGACCAAACTTGGTGCCACGGTCATGAACCAAGTTGAACTCGACGTACCTGCAAGCAACCAAGGCCACAGACAACAATAAATGATGAGCGCTCAATGCATGGCATCCACTCCGTCCCGTGATCCACTGCTATCATTGTTCACGACGTACCGGCCACGTCGAAGTTGCTGCCATCGCTTCTGCTCCTCGGTGAAGGGCAGATTGCGACGACGCATGATAATGGGCAAGTAGGCCTCCTCAAACGCAAAAGCGCAGTCGGACGCAAAGGCAAAGAGCTTGTCGCGTGGTCGATCATCGAGGTCGTCAAAGAAGATGCCACCAACACCTCGTCGTTCTCCACGATGGGTAATGTTAAAGTAATCATCGCACCACTTTTTGAAGTGAGGGTAGAATGCAGGGTCGTGCTTATCGCAGACCTGCTTGTAGGTGGCATGGAAATGTTTCTAGCATCAAAGCAAAAAAACGACACAGTTGTGGTGAGTACCACTGAAACCACCGGTTGTGGGTGCCGACAATCGCGCAGCCATAGGGACCTACAGCATCCTCTTCAAACAAGTAGGAAGGGGTCAAATCGCAGCCACCACCAAACCAGCCTTGACGCTGCTGGGTGCGCGGATCGGTCACTTCAAAGTAGCGGTAGTTAAAGTGAACTGTCGGCGCCATCGGATTGTGCGGGTGCATGACACAGCTGATGCCAGTCGCAAAGAAGGGCATGGATGTGTCGGCAGGCAGATCTTTGCCGCGACTGCGCATCTCACGCACGGCGGCGGCGGGCAAGATGCCATGAACGACGGAAACGTTCACGCCGGCCTTTTCAAACACGGCACCGTCTGTCAGAACGCACGACACGCCACCGCCGCCTTCCTTCCTGAGCCAGCGATCCACCTTGAACGTGGCTTGACCATCGGCATCCTCCATGGCGCGACAGATGGCCAATTGTGCGCGCATGACCATGTCTTCCATGCGCAGCTTCATGTCCACGTTTGCCAACTTGTCAGGGTCGCCCGCTGCATCGCGCAGCGCAGCGGCAATCTTGTGCTCGAGGTCCTCTGTCAGCGGGGGAGCCATGAATCGCGCGGCTGGTTCTTGTGCCACGACAACTTTGCCGCCAGATGTTTCGGTTGACTTTGCTGGTCCAGGCACTCTGTTGCAGTAGGTCAATCACAAATTTCGATGAGTATGTACCTCAGTGTAAACATCATCGTCCTGCACAATACAAGTAAGCGCATAGCGGGATGATGACGCGAGGTGCGAGGACCACCGCCAGAGTGCGAGAACTCCGACTTCCATTGCGACTCACACGAGCGGAGCCGCGGGATGCAGCACGCGATCGGCCGCAACGAATGCAGTCAGACCACTGATTCCAATCGCAAGACCGCGCACGAGCAGGCGGGCATAGTCGGGGCCTTCCTTGCGCTGGTTCCCTTGCTGCTCTTGATGGTTGCTGTCGGACTTGGAGCTCGTGGCTGCGGATGACACGGCACGGTTGGTCTCGGATCCGTGCCAGGGCGACAGTGACCGACTCGCTGAAGATGTGATGGACGAAGACAATGGCGCGAGGCTCATGGCGGAATGGTGGGCGCTGGCTGAGCGGCGCACTGAGGCGAACGAAGCTGAGGATGGCAGGCGTCGGACAACTCGCAGCGCCTGCATTCACTTGAAGGTTGTTTGAAAGAAAAAAATATCAGAGAGTGAGCTCGATGCTCAATTGCATTTGTTGGATTGGAGAATTGGCTCTGAGAAACAAAAGTATAGACAATGCCATTTGGAGCAAAATAAAAACAAGACAACAACAACAACAATAACAGATGAAGAAACAAACAGCCTACACAGCAAGAGATGAAACAAAAACCCTGCAACCCCATCCAACGTCAGAACACCAAGGAGGAAGGGGAGGCAGAAGAGAAAGAGAAAGCGCGAGAAAGAGATACAAGAAAGCACAATCAATCAAAAATCTTAACCAGCCCAAAAGAAATCCTCAGTTAGATTGGGCCATTCCGCTCGCGAGGCGAAAACTGATGGTCGTAATTCAGGGATGCGTCGTTGTATCCCGAGTGCGGGTGATACATGGTTGGAGGCGACAGCGGCGAGTGGGAGTGCGACTCAAGCGCAGGAACATGCTGCGCCTGATTCTGGTTGAGGAGGCTTTGGGGTGACATGAGTGCCACGGGCTGGGGTTGCTGCAATTGCGGGGGCAAGTGGGCTTCCTGAGCCATCATTCGCTGCACTTGCGAGCCAGTGTGCCGTGACAACGGCGAAGTCGAGTAGGTAGATCGAGTCGAAGCAAAGCGATGAACGCCCGCAAGCGGTCGCCCGTACTCGGAATACGGGTTTTGCCCATACACGTTCGAGTTTTGGCTCGTCGAGAAGCTGCCATAGTTCCGGCTGACGGCGTCTTCTTCAGCGCTGTTGTCCTCGCTTGTCCGATCGTACCGATTGGGGTCGTGGAAGACGTGCCCTGTCACCAAGAGCATCCAAGGCAAGCAAGTACCCCAGCGAAGGTGTTTGGGGAATAAGCAAGAGAAACAGAAACAAACCAACACAAACAAACAAGCAAGCAAACAAACACACAAACAAGCAAACCAACACAAACATCAAAAGCATACCTCCAGATCGCGCGACGGCGTGTGCGTTAGTGTCAGGATGCGAGAGGAGGGCAGGAGGAGGCACGTAGGTGGTTTTGGGAATGTTCCTGAAGAGCAAAATAAAAGTGGTGACGGGTGCAATCTCCCAGAAGGTGTACACAGCAAAAGCGCCCGCCGCGTCAGTATTATCGCCCTCCTACAAGTCAAAAACAAAGTGATGAGCGTCAGACCGACGGCTGACTACCAGTCGAGCATCCATCAGCAGCTCAAGCATCAACAGAAACCACAACGCATTGAAAAAAAGAAAAAAAAAAAAAGACAACCCACCAAATAAATTGTCACGACTCGGAGACCTGCGCAAACGTTGTAAATGAATCGAGAAAGGAATACAACGAGCATGTGCACTGTTGTAATTGCGAGCAGGCGTTGCGAGAAGGGTATCATGCTGTGCGTGAGCTGTTGAAAGGGAAAAAAAAAGAAAAAAAAAAAGCAACATCCGGAGTTAGTTTTGCCAAACACAAACTTCCTCAGCCCCCTTGTAAATGCTCAACTCACCGCAGGGAACATGTTGTACAGCTCGCGCGCGAAATAGGCAGTGGCAAAGAAGAGCACAAGGAAGATGCCGGCAGACGCGTATTGCCGGATGTCTGTCACGTCATCACCAGAGTCGCCATCGTCGCCGGTGACAAAAATCCAAGCTGAGAGGGTTTCACCGCGAGGACCGCAGCGCAACAACAGAAATAGAAAAAAAACCCAAACCAAAGACACGACCCAAGAAAACAGCGTCAGCCAGCGATACCACTTTTTTGACAAGCACGCTGCTACATTAAGCGAGGCACGGCCGTCTATGAGCCAAAACGACGACGACGACGACGACGACGGCTACGACATACCGAACAACAGGCCAGCCAGAATGATTTGGGGAATGGAGTAGCAAAAGTACATGAGACGTTTGCGGGCCGCCCACATTCTCCGCTCGCTGTAGACGGTATTGGCGTAGTAGAGCACAAGCAGCGAGAATGTTGCAAACTATCCATAGAGTTGAGCCATCAAAAACAAGTCAAAACAAGTGAATCAGCCACCAACTGAGCACTCAGCAACGGCGATCAAGTTCAAGTTCCATACCTGAATGTTGATTGGGACCCTGGTACCATCCATTCAACATTACCAACAAAACAAAACAGCAGAATAAACACAATGAGACGTGTTCGATAAGGCGCTACAGCATTGGCGAATGTCTCCATACCATAGAAGCACAGTGACAGCGTATTGCGAGTTCTCCAAGCCATGGCCATACGACGCAAAGAAGATCATCCGGAGCAGCGTCCACCCGACGCACAGGCCCATGAAGAGCGTCTGATATGAAATCTGAGATGCCAAGCGAAAGCAGCCGCAACAACATCAGCATGTGAGCCCAATCGATGTCGACGAGGGAAAGGGAAGACAGGCAACAGAGGTCGAAGGGTTTGACGAGCAGCACAGCAACAGGCACGCGAATCAGACTCTCGAGAGCTAGTTCGAGATTAGAGCGAGGGTTTGAAAGATAGAGCGACTGGCTTCCGTTGGTCACTGAGCTGAGCTGAGCATGGAGTGGTGGTGAGGTAGTGAGGTTGGCACGAGGGAAGTGTGTGTCTTTGAGTGTTCCCTCACGACTCGCCCTCCAGCACGAGCCAAGGACCCAGCGATTGTGGCACACTGATATAGCGTGCGTGCTTGCTCTTGCCAGACGATATCGAGGGGCAGTGAAGGGGAAGGCAGAGGCGGGGAAGCAGTATCAACCAGTTACCATCTTGTGACGGCCGAGCTTGATGCGGACGAGCAGCGACACGCACCACACGCAAAGCACGCCATAGAGCAAGGAGAGCACAATGTTCACTGCTTCCCAGGCCTCCATTTCTGATGAGCCTTGCAGCAACGGGAAAAGAAGGAGGATTATTAAAAAAGCGAGACTGAAATTGGCTGGAATTGGCTGGCTTTCGCCTCGAGACCAAGTGTCAATGCATTCGCCACCCCCCCCCCCTCGCCAAGGTCACGAAGCACTTTGAATTGCATTCACTCGGATCGAATTTTCCATCGGTGCTCGGAGGCACTGGAGGTCGGGTTCAGTCTTTCAGTCTTGAAAACCTCTCACTCACAATCATGCAGCGCGTGGCTTGCTTGACTGCCGTCGCTCAGGGCGCAGCGACAACTGCTGGCTACGCGACCGTTGCATCAGCTTCTGCATCGCCGGCGCGGAAGGACGTCCTCGCATTGTACAAGAACCTTTATCGCATTGCCAAGCTCTGGCCTGTCGATGAGACGCGTCCCGGGCGCGATCTCGGCACTCACATCAAGAAGGTGCGTGTGCAGCGGGGAGAACGACCCCAAATAGTGCTGCCCGACTTGTCCTTTCGATGGAGGGTGAGGCTGGGGGTGGGAAGCGAAGGGGGAGAGAGGACTTGGCTCAATCCACACGAGGCTTCTTGAAGATCGACGGCTTTCTCATCTCCTTGCGCTCTTTTGCACATGCTGGACCATGGTTTGCCTTTTCTTTTTTTGATATAGGCCGTGCGGGAGCAGTTCAGAACCAACGCGTCCGTCACCGACCAAAAGCAAGTGGCTACGTTGGTCGCTCAAGGCCAAGCCGAGCTGGGCTCGCTGCGCTCCATCTATCTCAACCAGCATCACGATCAAGTACAGCGACGGATTTGTGTCGGGATTGGAACACCCAAAGCATGATTGTGATTTTTTTGGCTTCAATGTCTCACCTTTTTTTTTTTTTTTTGTTTTTGTTCTTGTTGGTGTTTGGCTTGCTGGGACAGTTCATCCGTACAAACGATACTCTGGCTCTCACTCAACAATCTCTAGAAGCGACGCGGCATTTGCTATCGTCCAACACACAGCGCAGCTTGAACAAAAAGTCGTTCATGCAGCTCATTTTCGGTCGCAATCGCAACCAAGACGAGGCCGCGTACTCGTTCCGGACTCCTGCAGAGCGTCAACGACTGCTACAGACGATCGAAGCGACAAACACGGCCTCGACAAAGCCATGATGATGGTGTGTTGCATGTTGTCATACAGTATGTCGAAAACAAATGGTGCAAAGCTTTGCCCGCCGAATCCCCATCTCTGGAACACAGCGCGTGCCGTCTTCGTTTGCCAAAATGATGCTCATGGAAAGGGTGAAACAGCTGGTGGAGCGGATTTGGACCAAAAAGTGGAATGCATAAAAAACCAAGTGTCGACGATTCTTCCCAAAAAATAGCACAGAGTGACAATCCAAAAAGAAGATGTCGCGCAACACAGCGAGCTGCCTTCGCAAGCAACAACGAATGCAGCATCAGGAAGGGACGATTGGCGCAGCTACAGGACGACAAGGACAACTTTAGATGTCGGTGACGGTGAGTGCCGGGGGGAGCGATTGGCGGAGCTTCTTGGCCTTCTCGGCATCGACGACCTTCAGGGTGTAGAGGTAGCGGCTGCAGCGGACCTTGAACTTGGTGTACTGCTTGGCCTTCTTGATCTTGACCGAGGTAGCATCCTTGCGACGGGCAGTCAGCAGGAACTCCTTGATTTCGTTGATTTGCTTAGGCTGTTGCAGCAAGCAGGCAAGAAAAAAAATACCCCAAGAGAATGTGCAGGTGAGTGGGATGGAAGAGGATGTGCGAGCAGGAGAAGCGAGGGGGGGGGGGCGAAAGAGCGAGAGCGAGAGCGAGGGATGGAGGAAGGTCGGCGCTCCGCTCCCAGTGCAAACCGATACACACGCCTGTCACACTTCCAACTCTCCTCTCCTCTCCTCCTCCTCAGAAACAGAGCGGCAAAGGCGAGAGTCGCTGCGCTGCAACGAGAGCGAGAGAGAGAGAAAAAGCAACAACAAAAACTGTTCGCTTCGCTGTCCATTGTCTCGCGTCGTTTCAAGACCACCGTCAAACCGAGCCGCCTTCGGAGGTCATGCTGCTTGTAAACATGATGCCAGCGTCTACGCAGAACAGCCGGGCCTGCGATCAAATCGGGGAGCAGAGCAGGCAGCGCGGAAAAGCCGTCTCATACAAAACTCGACTTGGTGCGGACGCTGCGACGCAACTTCCGCCCTCCACCCTAGCGCCGCACGTTGCCCCATCACTCATCGCTGGTCTGAATCCGATAGAGCGTGTTCCAGTCCATCGGATTGAGGCGAGAACAAGCACCTACCATCGCGGAGGAAAAAGGGAGAGAGCGAGCGAGCACTGGGGTCTAAAAGTGGTTGAGCAATATTGAAACCTGCCAAAACCCTCATCCCAAAAAGCTCGCTTGCCGGCGTTTCTTCTCGGCTCACAAGCACACAACAGGCATCCAAACCACGATAAAGATGTAAAAGGATAACCTGATACGAAACTGCAGAATGACGGCTGGTTGGAAAGGGGGGTGTGCCCGAATTCCACTTGTGCGCTCAGACGAGATTGGTTTCAACATCCCACACGGAAGGAAGGCAGCTGGGTCTACAAGGGCGACAGATCTACATCCTTGTTGGCGGGGTCAAAGTCAGCCGTGTCCCGATCGCCCGGAAGCCAGGCCAAAAAGGGTTGAGTTTGTTGACATGCATGAAACCAATTTTTGATTCGGTTTCAAACTTCCACAACTTGGAGGTTTCAAAAGAAACGCCTGCCGCACCCTGTGAAGCTCCACACCCCCACGGGTTGCGTCTTGGTGTATTCTCGTGCATTTGGATGTTTCTCAACCGCCGATACCTGGCCACTGGCTCGAAAACTCTTACCGGTTGCTTGCATGAAACAAATCTGCAGAGGAGCACGAATCACCACAATACCACAGTCGGATCGACGAGTCATTCAGCCACACAGTGCACGCCTTTTTTTACATGTAGTGTAGTTGGTCTTGCTTTTGGCGTTGAGGCAGACTGACTCATGTTCCAGACATGAAAAAACAAAAACAACAAAAAAAAACGCTGATCGAGTGTATTTTTCTTCCCTTGTGCTTGCCGATCACCACTCGGGTTGTCACACACACACACACCATGTAGGAATTCGCCAGCAACAAAAGTATTCGACTTTCACCATGTGCTTTGTTCGCAACGCGTTTTTGCCTTTCTCCGCGTGACTACCATGAATGGCAATTTGTCGCTCGCCAAAATTTCTCGCCGACTGTCACTCATCGGCCTGGTGGCTCCACGCCATCGGTCGTGCCATGGGCCAGATCAGCTTTCGTGCTGCAACATTTCACAAAGCGTCGCGAGTACAACGCCGTGCGTTTGGCCTTGCCGGTCTGTGCTCCAATATGGCAGAAATCAGCCAACCTCTTTTTCCCTTTTTCAACCCAGCGGCGCGTTCGACACATGCACCCCCCGACATTGCACGTCGTTTTCGCTCCCACTGGATCTGTCTTCTGAGCAACTCGTTGCCCACCGACTGCACTTTCGGGGCTGCCGCAAAGCGCGTGCCAAAACAAATCAAAGAAGCAACAGGTCCAAGTCACGAAAATTTAACTCATTCTTTTTTATTTTTATTTTTTTATTCATTTTTTTATTTCCATTTAATTTAGTAAGCTCGTTTTTTTTTTTTTTTTTTGGGGGGGGGGTCCGACTTCAGGTTGGTCACTGAGCGGGCGGTGAGCGACCTCTCCCTCGTCTTTGCCCCTACATTCGCATTGCTGTCAAGTAGCAGGGGCAGCGACCATGCCCAATCGGGCCTTCACCATGAGCGGCAGAGGCACAAGCGCGCGGACTGTGCTTCAAGTCCTTTTTTTTTTTTTTTTTTTTGGTTTTTTAGGTTTTATTGAAATGACCAATCCCTCTCTCCGTCTTGCTTGCTCCAAGACGCTTTGTCGCCTCGTCCCCTCCGTGCACCCTGGATCCACACGAACATCATTTTGCGAGGTGCGGGCTTGGGGTGGGGGTAGGACCGTCGTGTCCAAGCTCTTGGCTGAAGCGAGAATGGCCAAACGATGTCAATGAAGCACCAAAAAAAAAAAAAAAAAAAAAAAAAGCCTTCCTTTTCAATTTTTTTTTTTTTTTTTTTTTTTTTTTTTTGCGGTGTGGTTTTATTTGATCCTGAATGTCTTTTTATTATTTTTTTGTTCTCCTCTTTGGCTCGTTTGTGCACTGGTCTGTGAGCACTACAGCGTGCGACCCCTTCGACAATACCACTGCCCGTGTACGTCGCTCCCGCATCCCAAGTGAACCAGAAAGGGAAAAAAAAACCTCATGTTTTTCTCAAGCATTTTTTTTGTTTTTTTGTTTTTTGGTGCTAATGCGAGTCCGCTGACTTCGTTTTGATTCCACACACACACACTCTCTCTCCACACACGCGCGGTGTTCGTTGGTCGTCGTTTCTTGCTTTGTTTTGTGCTGCCTTCGTTGTGTCGGCCTTGTGTGTCTGATTTTTGTGGCATGTCCCTCTGTTCTTTCACAGGTTCTGAATTCTGCTCGGCCCCTGCTTTTGGCATCGGGGTCTGTCGTCTGCTGGCAATGTCTGAATCACAGCCGGGTCGGCCTCAGGGCGGCAACGTGACGCGCAGCCGCACGCTTGGTCAGAAGCTGGTGAGTGTTTGCTGTCATTCGTAGATCAAAATCGCGTCTCGTTCGATCACTCGCTCACTCTGCTCTTTGTGCCGTTTGACCGAAAAAACAAAAACAAAAGCAGCAACGCTCCTCGTTGGTGGCTGCAGAAGATGACTTGAGGAGTCAGTTTTGGCGTCCCCACTATCGCGAAATTGCCGACAAAATGGGCGAGCTGACCAAGCAAGGGCGAGACAGTACGTATCGAAAATTGCGTTTGCATTGCACCCCAATCCTTTCGCGCTCTCACCACCACCGGACTTCCTTGTGTTGCTTTATGTGTTTTTTTTTCTTCTTGTGGTTGCAGGCTTGTTTCGCGGCGCAAAGTGGGAGCGGCGGTTTTGTCTATTGCAAGACGATAATTTGTTTTATTTTAAGCGGCGAGAGGACGAGCTGCCGATCGGCGTCATGTCGATCAAAAACGCCACCATCATTAAGGAACATTCGCACGACCACAAGCCATGTATCAGCATCACTGCGCAGGAAAGCCACAACTTTGAGTCGCAAAAGTCGTTTGCGCAGCGCACGTACAACTTCCTTGCCAACAGCGACGACGACTGCGAGCAGTGGGTTCGCGCCCTCGCTCTCGCTGGTCAACGAACAACTGGCCGACGGTCGCAGTCGGTGAGCGGCTTTGGTCACAGCCGACGATCCAACTCGGACAGCTCCTCGCTCGTGGCCAATCTCTCTCTCAACCAACCCGGACGGGAAAAGGACCGCGAAGCTTTTCTGAACGGCAGCAGCTCGTCCTCCTCCGCTACAACCACCACCACCACCACCTCCTCCTCCTCTTCCTCCAGCCTACCTCCCAGTTCGCCCTACAAACCCGTGACGACAGGTCAGTCCAGCATGCTTTCCCCAAGTCAGAGCACGCCAGCCGCAGCAGCAGCATTGCCTCCAGCCCGGCCACCAAAGCCAGCAACGGCAGACAGTCCAAAGGCTGCCAACGGCACCAGTGGCGGCCTGTTGATATCTGGTGGCCCACCGGCACGGCCACCCAAAAAACCAGCAGCCGCAGCCAACAGCGTCCCTATGAGCGACACGTTGAATCTGGACGACTTGCTCAAGCCCAACATGACTGACCATGCTGCCCAATGCTCGTGGATTACTCCTGCCGGAGCTCTTTCCAGCGACATTGATACCTTCATTGATGAAATCGAGCTGATCAATACTGATCTGAGCAAGGCAACATCCCTTCCGACGGCAGCCCAAACGATTCCCGACGCCGACTTTATCGTATCACCCGTCACCCGGATCGTCCAGGCAGTCGGTCAATCATTGCCAAAGTCGACGAGCTGTCAGAGTCCATCAGCACCCCGGCATTCAAGGCCACCTTGCGGACACAGTCCACACTCTTGTCTGAACGGTTGCCCCAGTTCATCAAACTAGCATCCCTTTTCAAGGCGCATGTTGTCGCCTTCGTCGAGACCAAGTCGCACGAGTTCCCAGCTGCAGCAGGGAATTTAGCAGTACTGGCAGCGCTCGGCACAGCTGGCGGTGGTGCCAGCAGCGGTAGTCACAACAACAACAGCAATAGTAACAACAGTTTTAACAGCAGCAGCAGCAGCAGCAGCAGCAGCAGCAGTGGTACATCAGGACCAAACAGCGGCGGTGGTAGTGGCAGCAGCAGCAGCAGCAGTGCGGTCAGTACGGCGGGACTGCCCGAATGGACCCGCGCAGACGCAGTGGTGCAACTGGTTACTGCTGGCAAGTCCCTCTGTACTATTGCGACCAACTTGCGAACGTGCTATCGCGCTATCGGCTTTTTCGAAACGGTCGAGACAGAGCTCGCTCTGCCAGGTGCCCGCCCGCCCAAAAACGGCCAAGTGTACTTGATCATTGATTACGTCAACCACGCCATGCTGCAAGCGGTCGAGGCTGTCAATGTCGAGCACAAGTCCCGCTACGTCGATGTTACCACCGTCCTGGTTGATGTTGCAGGTCGCATCATCAAGGCCACCGACGCCATTCTCCCTCAACTTGGCCCGTCCGTGCTGTCCGCCCCAAGCTCTCCGTCCCTTTCCCGCGCCACCTCCCACACATCGATCGATCAATCCGACCCATCGCAGCCGTTTTTGCCTGGTGATTCCTCCGTCATTCGCAAAAACCGCACGGAACTCACGCAGTTTGTGTCGCAAATGGTCACGCACACCAAGCTGGCTGTGGGTGTCTGGCCGGCGCCCAACGCGTGCATCGACATGCTCGTCATGCTGATGGCGTCCGCGCAGGGTATCTTGCGGCTGCTGGGTTGCGTTCAAATGTGCAGCGCGTGGAGCCAGTACCGTGCGGACTTGCACAACCTGCTGCGCCTCAAGTATTCCACCGACGCACGCTTCAATGGCACGGGCACATCGACCTCTGCCACTCCGACTACTCCCACCGCCAGCGCTGCTGCGACCGCAACACCCAGCCCAGTTGGCGGCACTGGCACGGAGCGTCCCAAGATCTCGCTTCCTACAGCCGATGCGCCCGAAGACCCCACCCTCGCGAATCGCCGCAAGGCTCGCATCTCCTCCTACAACGGCACAGGCGCGCCGACACTCATCCCGACGTCACTCGCCCTTGTGGACATGATTCGCAAGATTGGCCACGACTTGTGCATCAACACGGTCATCTCGAGCACGCTCGAGCGGCTGATTGCGACCATCAACCGGATTACCACGTCACTTAGTAACGATCTACGCGTCGACCGCCGCGATGCCGCTATTGAGCACGCAATGAACCTCTCTGCGGCCACCGCGCAAGTGGTGGAGGAGGTGGACGCGATGGAGCTCAATTTCATTGACGTTGGCGTGCGGTTCCGCTGGGACTCGTGCAAAACCGAGCTGGCCGTCTGCATTGACGACTTCAAGTCCATCCGCTTTATGATTACCGGCATTACAGCTCCGACCCCGCAAGGCATCGACCGCTACATTGCCGTCACCAAGTCCGTCTCGGTCTCGTGCCAGCACTTGCTCACGGCGGCCAAGGCAGTCATTGAGCACCAGGAGCAGTTGCTTGTCCAACACCACCGCGATCAGGACGCGCACATCAAGAGCCACGCCACAGCCCGTCACAAGATGAACCAGCTCACGGTCGCCTTCAACAAGCACAGTGATGCGTTCGCGAATCGCGTCACCGACACTCAGACGCTCCCGCCGATTGCTCAAAGCCCGCCGAACTCTGCCTCGCAGCCAGCCACTCCGACTATTCCTCGTCCGTCTCCCCTTTCGGGTAGTTCGACGCCGGCAACTGGCAGCACGGGCAGCTCGTCCACGCCCTCTCTCACCGGCTCTCTTGGTAGCTCGCAAACCAACTCGTTGACCAACTCACTCCCAACCTCGCAGACCAACTCGCTCAGCAACTCTCTCGCCGCCTCCTCGCTTTCCTCCTCGATGAATGACCTGAGCATGGAAGACGGCATTGTCTTTGGCGAGGAGGTTGCCGGCGACGGTAAAGAAGCTCCGGTTCGGCCTGTGAAGGGTGGCACGCTGGTCAAATTGGTCGAGCGCCTGACCTTCCAGTCTCATCCCGACCCGCAATTCACCACGGCCTTCCTGCTGACCTACCGCTCGTTCACGGACCCCCTCAAGCTGCTCGATCTGTTGATTGAGCGCTACAGCACGCAGCCTCCGGATATCCTGGTCAATCAGGGCCTTCGCGACAAGTACATGACGGAGACCATCGTCCCGATTCGCCTGCGTGTGTTCAACGCCCTCAAGCTGTGGATTAACACCAACTGGGATGATTTCAAGTCTGACGATGTCCTGCAAGCGCGGCTCAAGGCTTTCTTGGATATCATGTCGGTGGACTTGGACACGGCCGCTCAACACTTGCGTCGTCTTTTGGAGCGCAAGTGGACTGTCGGCGATATTGGTCGCAAGTTTGTCTTTGACTCAAAGCTTCCCACGCCCATCATCCACCAAAACATCCGCCAGTCGTCGCAAATTCTCACCGTGCTCGATATCGATCCTCTCGAGCTCGCCCGCCAGCTCACCATCATTGACTGGAAGGAGCACGCTGCCATCCAGCCCAAGGAGTGTCTGGATCTCGCATGGACAAAGAAAGACCGCGAGCAAGCGCCGCACATTCTCGCCATGATTGATTTGGCGACGCGCTTGAGTTTCTGGGTGGCATCTGCCATTCTGAGTGAAGATGCAGTCAAGGCGCGTGCCAAAGTCGTTGCGCATTTTATCATGGTCGCCGAGGTAGGTTTTTTGTTGTGTGTGTGTGTGTGTGTGTGTGTGTGTGTGTGTGTTGTTTGTTGTGGATTGGCACTGGCTAACTGATTTGTATTCGGTGTTTACCTTGCAGAAATGTCGCTCGCTGAACAACTTTAACGCAGTTATGGCTGTTTTGGCTGGCATGAGCAACGCTGCCGTGTACCGATTGAAGAAAACTTGGGAGGTAATGGTCAAGAGTACAGCGTTGCTTCTGCAGTCTGGTTTGTTTGAGCCCGGGGTCTCATTTTGGTTTTTTTTGTCGGATTGTGCGCACAGGCTCTTCCCAACAAGGTCAGATCTTCGTACAGTGAACTCAAGGAACTCATGTCCGAGCAGAACAACTTTGGCCGTTATCGCCAGGTCCTGCATTCCATTGATCCGCCTTGTATCCCTTTCCTCGGTACGCTTCGCTCTCTCCTTGTGTTTGATTTTTCACGCCTCTTGGTTTGTTGAAGCTTTTGGTCAAAAGTTTGACGCTGTTTTCCTCACTCTTGACGTTTTCTCTCCAACTTTCCACCATTTTTTTCCAGGTATCTATCTTACCGATCTCGTCATGATTGAAAGTGGCAACAAGAACTTTATCAAAGGCACCGATTTGATCAACTTCGACAAGCGCCGTAAGATTGCCAGCGTCATTCAGGAAATTCAGCAGTACCAGCAATCTCCGTACCACCTCCAAGAAGTCGAGCCCATTGCGCAGTTTATCGCCAATGTTCCGTTCATGGAGTCCAAGGACGAAATGTACGAAAAGTCGCTGATCTTGGAGCCTCGTGACGGCAGCACGCCCGCTGCCGCCAAGCAACCGACCAACACGATTGGACGCACTGGAATGCGCAAGAATTCTGTTGCTCCACCGACTTTCTCAAAGGAGGCGTAACTCTTTACCCCTTCTTCTTCTTCTCTAAACAACCGCTTGACCTCCCCCTCCGTTCCTTTTCCTTGCCTAATGTAGCGTTTGCTCGCTACATTCATCACCTTTCTTGTTCTTTGCGTCTTTTGATGGTCTGTTTGTTGCCATTGTTACCTTCGTTTTTGTGCGGCGTGGCAATATTCTCCACCCGTCCCCTCCCTCCTCATTTGCTATCTCTACTTTCTTCTCTGTTGTTGTTGTTGTTGTTGCGTCGTTTGTTGTTTCCTTTATTCACATCATTAATCAATTACTTTACCACGACTCTAGCAAAGCGCTTGTTCACGTTTCCATTGAATCGAAGCAAACAAAGTTCAGCGGCGATTGTATCCGCCACGGTATCGAGATCCGCTTGATTGGGGTTGGGGTGCCCGTTCGCGCTCGTTTTGGAATCTGTCCCAGTTCGGCGACGGATCTGCCTGGGGTCGTCGGGGCTGCTGATGCTTTTGATGTCTGTGCTCGGAGCGTTGGGTGTGATGGTGCTGGTTGTGGTGTTGATGGTGGTCTTCGTGGTGGTCGTGGTGGTGGTGATGGTCATGTTGTTGTTGTTGTTGTTGTTGGTGGTGGTGGTGGTGGCCGCCTCGGGATCGATCTTCAAAGCGATCGGATTGCTGGCGATGCCGTTCCTGGGACCGATGACCATGCTGGTTCTCACGAAGCCAGCCAGGGCCTTGGTTGCCGCGGCGCCTTTGGCGACTGTCGTCGCGAGAGCCATGCTGCTGGGTGTGATGGTGATGCTGATGATGGTGGTGCTGGTGCTGGTCCTGGTCGTGGTGGTAGTAGTAATCAGCATCTTCATGCTCTTGGTGATAGTGGTGGTGCTGGGAATCGTGATGGGAGTGGTGCGAGCGCTGTTCGTCGTGACGATGGTGGTGGCTGTGAGGCTCGTCGTCCTCGTCGTCATCAGAACGCCGCCGTTTGCCGCGGACACGGCCTTTCTTTTCGGTGCGATCGAACGTTTCGTCGTCATGGTCTCCGTCAGAGTCTCCATCGCGCGTTACACCGCGCAGTTCCTCGACGGACGTCCGAGTCGACAGAAAACCTCGATTGGGACCTGGCATGTATGGAGTGCTGCCGACAACGGTGGACCGAGGGCGCGATCGATCAAACGCAGCGTCGACATGTCGTGCTTGTCCTCGCACGGATGGGTCGTTTCTACGACCGGAATACGACGAGTGCTCCATGCTGGAGGTGTTGTCTTCATCCTGTTCTTCCGCACCGTCCTCAGAGTCGTCATCATCGTCGTCATTATTGCCAGCGTTGTGGTCAGCTGACGCCCCAACAAGCGCATCTTGCAAGAGCGTTTCCGATTGCAGTTCGCGGTGCAGGCGGACCAACGTCTGGTCGTGGCTGGCGCGAAGCCGGGCAGTTCGCTTGTCGCCGTGGATTTGAAGCAAATACCGCATGAGTTCAATTCGTGCCAACGGCTTGTTGGCCTTGGACGAGGACCGCGCCGACTTTGTCATTTTGGCCGAGCGTTTTTCCAGTCGTCGCTTGACATCCTTGGCTTGCAACTCGGCCTGTTCCACCAGTCGCCGCGTTTCCTTCAGCTCCTTGTCACGCGACTCTGCCGTGTCCGACCAGTCTGCGAGTTGGTGGGCATAAGGTAGACCGAGCTGCAAAACGAGCATTTTCGGCGGTACGCGAATCTTGGTGTTTTGCCAGACAAAGTTATACCGACCAGGGGCACTTGAAGGGACGAGCTTGCCGGGCTTGCCATCTCCTCCTTCGACCCGAGCCTCAGCTGAGGCTTGCTTGGTTTCGCGGTCGCGTTTTGAGTCCTGGGTGCGAGCCCCCGCAGCCCTGTCATCGTCATCGTCGTCTCTGAATCGAACTGGATCGTAGCGGGACACGATCAAATTGCCAGGCGTTGAGCGATAGTCAAAGCCGGCATGGCCGCATTCGCTCATGAGGTGATCGTCGCCGCCACAGTTGCAGCAGAAGGTACGGTATCGCTCGCCTCGCAAAAACTGCTTGCAAGCAGCTGCCACATCAAAAGGGGCGCCGCCCTCTGAGGAGGACTGATTTTCCTTCTCTTCGTCACCGTGGTCTTGCGTTGAAGGGTTGTCTGCCTCCGAAAAGGCAACAGGCTGATTCGATCGGCCAAGCGACTGCACAGAGCAGCCGCTTGGGTCTCGCAGGTTGGGGAAGCCCAAGAAATCGCGGCACGAGCTCTCCCGAAGCGCTGCGTGCTGGTGATGGTACTGGCGCCAGACGTCTGTGCAGTTTGCCTCAAAGTGGCCACGCATCTTGCAGCGTCGACACAAGATGTGCGGCTTGGCGGCACGCCGTCGGCAGTCGCGCATCATGTGGCCAGCACCAAAGCAGGCGTAGCATGTCTGGTTCGGGCACTTGAAGCGCGTATGGCCAGGTTCGCCACACAAGTAGCAAGGCGATACTCTCTGTGTTGGTTGGAAGTGTGTGTTTTTTTGTTTGAAAAGTAAAAGCAACAAACGAATCAATGACAACGCAACCAAACAAACAAAAAAGGGTAAGTTTTTCATCGCCACAAGGGCAATCAAACTCCACAAGACACTCTACGTACTCGTTTGTTCGGGCAGTCGCGACTAATGTGCCCCATCTGATCACAATTGTGACAGCGAATACGACCGGCGTCAAATCCAACAAAATAACGACCCATTTCAGTCTGTCACAAGCCAGAAGCCAGGAGGGGGAAAAACAAAAACAAAAAAAAACAAAAAAAAAAAAAAAAAAAAAACAAACAAACAAACAAAAAAAAAAAAAAAACAGAGGACGTTACTGCCAAATCATACATCCCCAAAGACTCCTCCGCTCTCAAATCAACAAGCGCGCGCCCCCCCCCCCAAATCCTCCGACTCCACCACAATTGGGTCCGTACACGAGCAGCATTCAGAGTAAGCTTGAGATCGTCTTCTTGAATCTTCCACAAATTGGGGTCGACCAAGTTCGCCATACTAGCCCGAATGTTTTTGGAGAAGGCCGAAAACAAACCATGGGTGGCACCGTCAAGTTCGGCCAGGCGAGCAGCTTCATTGGCAGCTCGAGCGCGCGTGACAAGCTCGTTAAAGTCAAAGTCTTCGTCATCGTCTAGGGCTGCTCGCCGCTCACGCTTTGTCTTTCCCGCGGGTTTCTTGCTTGAATTGCTGGATGCGTCGTCGATGGCAGCTTTCTTGGTGCTGGGTTTTCTCGTGCTCGTGGCGTTGTCGTGATCATCATCATCGAGAATTTGCACATCATCGTCCGACGACGAGCCGGAAACAACGTCGTCGTCCGAGTCGGACTCGCTCGGATCGGCAGCTCGATAGGGAAGCGCAGGACGCGTGTCTACTACAAAGAAGAGCTCGTCCGCATCGCGGCGCTCCCGGGCTCGTGCATCGTGATCGATGCCGTCGCCGACATCTGTCTGTCGCTCGAGTCTCCCTCGTTTTGATCGTTGCCCATCACTGCTGCCTGCTGGTGCATCCGCTCCTGGCTGAGGACTTGCAGTCCCAGACGCAGTCGCAGATGCCGAGGCTGACGATACCGCCTTGACTGGCGTTTCAGCTCGTCGGCGTTTCACACCTCGTTGCGCGGGCGGAGCGTCCATATCACCGGCAGCAGCTGCGGGATCGGCCAGTGCGATTCGAACGACGCCATCCTCGTTCTCGTTGTCACCATGGGTCATTGCTCCCAGGTCGGTGGCGTAGTGGATTTGCATCAATAACCGTTCCTGCAGCTCGGGATCCATTCTATCAAGAATGTTGTCGGTGAGAATTTCAAAACCGTCGTCGTTCAAAACCGTCGTCGGTGCAACAAAATGCTGATTGTCCCCCTCGGTTGTGTTTCGACTTTTCTGAGATTCAGCGAACAACAAAAAAGCGCGCGCCAAAAACCAATAAACCCCCAATGAGCAAAAGCCTTTTCCCGCCACATGGCGTTTTTTGGGCACTGGCGTTTGTTTGCTTCGACTGGGGCGAGCAGCCGCCGACAAGGGACAAGGGGGTTTGTTCCCCCAACCCAGCTCAAAGGGAGCTCTAAACTTGTGCGATGACGGAATCCCCATTTGGATGCGGGCGGAGAGGGGGGTCGCGACGGAAGCGGGAAGCAGGGACGAAGAACTCGACTCACTCATCATCATCGTCGTTGTCGTGCGGCTCGTGCGGGGCGTCGTCCTGATCGCCATCGTCATGGATGGTCCGATGGTCGTCATTGTCATCATTGTCGGCAAGCGTCACGTCGGGCGCGGGGCTCTGCTCGGTCTCAGAGTCGTCGAGCACGACCACTTCGTTCCTCGTTGCTTTGGATCGGTTTGGCATGTCAAGTTCAAACCGAGAGGCAAGGAGTGTCTTCCCCACCACTTTGCTTGTTAAAAAAACGCCAGCAATTAAAAATAAAACAAAGGGTAGATGTGTTGACCAATGTTGGCAGGGGCGGGGCGGGGGAAAGATCGATCGAAGCCCGAACTATTCCAATGACTTTGAAAAAAACAAGAAATTTCAATGTTTTACGAATTGACAGGTATGACAAAGAGCAAGACAAAAAAGGGATTCACATCACACACACACACATTAGAATCTAGTCACACATCAGAACAAGCGGAGACGGAACAGGAGGAGCGGGAAAACATTCAAAGACCAAAAAAGCGGGACAAGAAAACCAAAAAGGAAAACAAGCTTCACCGACACCACAAACCAACAACAAAAAGATACAGCACTGACGAAAGAGGAGGAAAGAACAGTAGAGAGATTCAGCACGCACGAACCAAAAGCAAAGGGGGGGGGAGAAGATAAAAGAGGAGGATCAAACGAAGGAGCGACAAAGAGCAGAAAGTGAAAGTTCAAACGAAAACACAGCAGGAATGAAAAAGAAAATGACCAGCCCTCTCAGCGTGTTTGAGAAGATGGCTCAAACCCCCAATAGAAATTGAGAAAAAGAAAACGCGGAGCGAATTCCGCACAGTTGTGTTTTCCCCCACAAAATTAGAACTGAGTGGTAGTGGCGCTCTCCTTGGCAGCCTTGATAAGAGGCTGCAAGCTAATAAGTGGTGCAGCCTTTCGGAGGAAGGGATGCTACAGCGACAAACAAACAGACAATCAAACAAACAAAAAAAAAATCAGCTTCGAGCCTCCTTTTTGGCAAAGTTGCACGTCCCCTCAGCACTCTCAGAACAACATCACGCATTACCTTGAGAAGATCTGTGGGAGACCAACGCTTATCCACGTCCATTTCGAGGCAGTGGCTGAGGAAATCCTTGAACAGATCGGTGAGGTTTTCAGGGTGTTGAATTTGAGGAGTGCCGTTTGTGGCAATCAAATAGAGAGCCTGTGGCGGGTTTGCGCGCAGGGTTGCAGCTCGTGGTGAGAATTCAAATGCAGGAATGATGACAACAAATGGCGTCCTAGACTGCTTACACGAAGCGGGTTCTCGTTCAGGTACGGCGGCTCGCCCTCGACCATTTCAATGGCCATAATGCCCAAGCTCCACACATCCACCTTGGGGCCGTATTGCTTGCGCGTGACAACCTCGGGGGCCATCCAGTAGGGAGTGCCGACCATGGTTGTTCGCTTGGATTGCTCGGGCGTGATTTGGGCGCAGAAACCGAAATCAGCTGCAGGCAGACAAAAAAAAATCAATCAGGTCAACAATCAGGTCAACAACCAAGTCCCGAAGGCAAAAAGCAACAGCAGCCATTCAACTTTCTCTCCCCTCTCCAAATCGCCACTCACTTAGCTTGACATCGCCCTCTTCGCCGAGAAGCACGTTGTCGGACTTGATATCACGATGAATGACATTCTTCGAGTGCAAAAATTCGAGGGCTTGCAAGCACTGGACGTGGCAACAGAAAAAAAAAAACCGCAAAAAAGAGCAAAAGTGAGAGACGGAACCCGAGCGACACAACAAAAAAAAAAAAAAACAAAAAAGCCTCGCCCCGTACCTCGCGACAAACGGCAGCGATCTGAGGCTCATTGGTGACAACGTCGGTGAGCGAGCCACCAGCAAGATACTCCATAATAACCCACAGCTCGCCCTCAAGAAGGAAGCTGTCGACGTAGTTGACAATGTTGCGATGCTTGTTTTCCTTCATGACCAGGATTTCGTTAATGATGAGATCCTTCTTCCTTCTTGGGTTGTTGAGCAAGGTTCATTTGCTTGATGGCGATCGTGCTGCCAGTGGCATTCTCAACCGCCCTGGCCAATCTTGTTCAGGCCCGAGTACAGCTTCTTGGGGTCGGCATTGTTGACAATGGCGCGTAGCCGGGAGATAACCTCTTCGTCAGACATCTTGGTCTTCTTTTCGCGACGCATCGTTTCTTGGCCAGGAGCGGCAGCAGTTTGCGGCTTGGTGGTGACGGGTTGCTGCGGCTGCACGGGCCGCTCGGGAGCAACGGGCGCTGGTGGCTTGGCTGTCGTGGCGGCGCCGGCAGCTGCTGCGTACGACTGGGGCTCCTTGTTGGGGATATCTTGGGTGTCGAAGGTCATGGTGTGACGAGGCCGTGGCACAATCGGCGGTGGCGGCTTCTTTGAATCAGCGGCGGACGCCGCAGCCGTTACCGCGGGGGCCTCAGGGACGGAGCGCTTGGGCAACAGGGCAGCTTTGCCTGCTGCACCACCAGCGGCAGCGGCAGCGGCGGCAGTGGCAGCGGAGGATGACGCGCCAGCGGCGCCCGCAGGAGAGGTGGCTGGTGTTGCTGCCTTGTGAGCGGTTGGCGGCGTGGAGGCGGGCTTCATGAACTTGGAGCCAGCAGAGGGGTCTTCCTTGTCCTTGTTTTGGCCAGTGTAAAACTCGAGCACATCCAAGACCGCTTGGGGGTTTTGTGCGCGTTCTTGTTTTGAAATGCCCGACGACTCGAGCAGAATGCGCCATTGCTGGGGCAGGCCCGTGAATTCGCCCGTTTCCACATCAAAGCCGACGTGGACCTCGTGCACAAAGTCGGTGGGACCAGAGATTTCGGGTCGTCGCTTTTCGCCTTCGCCGCGCAGCTTGGCAGGGATTTTGTTGGCGAGACGCGCCAGGAGGTTTTCTTTGGGGGAGTTGTCGTCCGTCGCGCTGGTGGCCGCGCCCGCCGACACAGGAGCAGGCTGTGGGATTGGGCGTGCGGAATTCAAGACACTACTGCCGCCGTTGCCCGCGCCAGGGGCCGGAGGGCGCTCGAGTGATGGCTGCTTGGCCAGCGGCGGGGGCCCGCCTCTCCGTGCAGGGCTAGTGGCCGCCGAAGGCGATGACGCCGCGGGAGTGCCGTTCGCAGCGGCGGGACCCGCAGGCAACGGCTTTGTGTGGGAAACGGGCAGCGGAGGACGCGAGATGCTGGGACCCGCAGTGCCGGCCTTCGAGATGGATCCCGAGCGCGGCGGCGGTGCTGGTGGCTTTTCAGACATGTGTGGTGAGTGCTGGAGAAGAGAAAGAAGACAGAAGAAAGACAGAAGCTTGTTGCTTGTTAATGCTGCTGGATTGGTGGTGTGATGGACGAGAACGCGTGAAAAAACTGGCGCGTTGCTCTATCAATCACGGGACGGAAACGCGCAAACGAGCCACTCAGAGACACGTCAGCAGGAACCCGGGATGAGCGTAGAATCAAGCCTCTCTCTGTGGAACACGAGGCGCGAACGTGTGCCTGACACAAGCACAAAGAAGGGCAAACAAAAACAAGAAAAAAAAAAGTGAGCGCAAAGACTAGCTGAAGCGAGCTTCTCTCTCTCTGTTCACGAGGGGGGGGGTGCTGCGATTCGTTTCAAATGAGCGGGACCAGACGTGCAAGCCATGGATCAACACCAGGGGACAAGTGACACCGGGGGAAAAAGGGGAAACGAGGAGGCAGCGAGTTGCCATTTTGAAATAAAGAAAAAAAAAAAGAAGAGAAAAAAAAAAAAGAGACATGCCCCTCCTCAAACCGATCCCCTGCGTTTGCTTCGACATGGTGCACAGTGCGCGGTTGCTAACATGCAGAGCAGGAGAGCCAGCGCGGCAACGAGCACGCACGAGCACAGCAAGTCGAAAGACTATGCCGCTGGGAAAGGAACGCAAAAAGTAGCATTATTAAAGCAGAAGAAAAAATAATAATAGTATGAGCGATAGAAGCAGTCGTGGCGAGGCTCACACAGGCGAAAGAGCAAAGACGAACTCTACTAGACTGCCCCGAATGTCACCACGACCACGTCAGGTTGCCATCTCCCCCGCTGTGCAAGTAGCGCGAAAATATTCCTTCAAAAAAAAAAAAAAAAAAAAAGCTCCAATTTTCAACTGATTTTTTTTTTGTTTCCTTCTGCTGATTGAGCAGTGGCCTGACACGGCAAAACGCAATTCTCCACGCAGGGGCTGGAGCTGCTGGAGCGAGGCATCTTGCTGCAAACCCCCCACATTCCTTCCGCTGGTCCTAGACGCACATCCCAGTCTCAGGAGGATCAAAGCCAAGCCATCAAACCAAAAAAAAAAAAAAAAAAAAAAAAAACCAAAACAATGCTTCGGCAAAGATAAAAAGAAAGCAGAAAAAGAAAAGCCATTGAGCAAGCACGGTGGGCTGTCATTGTGGCAGCTCCGACAGGTCACACAAGCCAGGACGAGGGATGTCTGGTCGCGTGGCACGGCCTGCCCCGACAATGGCCATCCGAGGCAGAACAGAGCAGAGGGAAACAAGAGCAGAAGGGGAAACCAGAAAAAAAAAAAAAACGTTGAACGAATCGAATTGGACGAGGAATATGGATCAGCCGTTCGTTGGATTTGGTGTGCTGGCTGCACGGGGTCGCCCGTTCGCGCAGAAGCGGACGCACGCCCCCTCTCAAAATCAACAAGCCCGTGTCGACACGACGCAGATCACCAGCGACCAGCCCGAAGGGTTGGCAGGGTTGCAGAGAAGGAGACAGCAACAAAAAGGTCCAAAAAAAAAAAAGCAAAAAAAAAAGCAAAAAAAAAACCGTACAAAAAGTCAGGACTGAGGGTAGAGAAATATCGAAAGACCGAATCCAGCGTTACGCAAATTCACTAATAATGAGTAAGGACTTTTGGTCACAGAAAATCAAACATTTACTCAACGGGTGCCTTTTTTCCTTGTCACATTAGTTTTATTTTTCACTTGTATGCTATGCTTGCACCCACGTCACAAAGCGAACTCTCGAAAAATATTGGCAATGGGGGGCTTTCCATCACCCTCGCGAGTAATGATTTTTGGACAAAAACCACTTCCATCCCGATTCGGTGCTCGCTCTCTTTTTCACTTGGTTCGTTTGTCTGACACCCATCTTCCCTCTCGGATCGTCCCACCCCCGTCAAATCCGTTGGAGAATCATGAGGCGAAACCGATTCCGGCGAGAGGGAGAGGGCTACAATGGAGAGTTCGGCCGAGGGGACGTCTGGAAGTGGAGGGGACGGTGGGCGGCAAGTTTCGCTGGACTTGTTCTCGCCCGTGCTTTTCGGCGCATGCAGCAAGCCGCCACAACCACCGCACCCTGTTCAGCATGGGTCTTTCGACATGACAGAGTGGGATTCGGCACCACCAGCGGGCTGTGCGAGCGACAGGCAGGATTGAAAGGACCAGAGCGAGTGAATCAGCAACTTTTTTTTTTCTTCCTGTTTCCGTCGCTGTCGGTTCACGGCCTCCATTCTCTCCCTGCCTACCAGCCAGTTCCTCCTCACGACCAATCTAGCAACCAACTCTGACTCACGTTTCTTCGTCTCTGCTCCCCCCTTTGTTTTGCTGCCAACAGATCTTCATTTTGCAATGGCGGAAGACGAAGGCTCTGTTGAGGTCTCGCAAGAGATCAAGCTGTTCGGCAAGTGGTCGTCCGCGGACGTCACCTGCAGCGACATCACCCTTACCGTAAGTGGCCTGTTGTTTTGATGTTTTGCGCCCCTTGAGGAAGGAAGGAAGGAAGGAAGCGAAACATGGAGAAAAAAACAAAGCAAAAGCGTCCTTCCCGCGTGCCTTTTGTCGCCGTCAGTTTGCGCTGGCTGCTCCTCGTCTTTCCGCCAGTTCTCTCGAACAGCTACAGAGAGAGAGAGAGAGAGAGAGAGCTGCGTCTGTCCGAGTGACACTCATTTGAAAGCAACACTTTTTTTTTGGGAGATCTCACCCTCTTTTTTTTCTTCCCCCCCCCTCCCACCTTCCTTTCATCTCCCCAACTCGTCAGGACTACATCGCCGTCAAGGGCAAGGGTGCCGCTTTCCTGCCTCACACTGCTGGCCGCTACCAGAGCAAGCGATTCCGCAAGGCTCAGTGCCCCATTGTTGAGCGCCTCGCCAACTCGCTCATGTTCCACGGCCGCAACAACGGCAAGAAGCTGATGGCTGTCCGCATCATCAAGCACACCTTCGAGGTTATCCACCTCCTCACTGGCGAGAACCCCCTCCAAATCGTTGTTGACGCCGTCATCAACTCTGGCCCCCGCGAAGACGCCACCCGCATTGGCAGCGCCGGCACTGTCCGTCGCCAGGCTTGCGATGTCTCGCCCCTCCGCCGTGTCAACCAGGCCCTCTGGCTCCTTTCCACCGGTGCTCGTGAGGCTGCTTTCCGCAACATCAAGACGATTGCCGAGTGCCTCGCTGATGAGCTCGTCAACGCCGCTAAGGGCTCGTCGAACTCGTACGCCATCAAGAAGAAGGACGAGCTCGAGCGTGTTGCCAAGTCCAACCGTTAATGGCTGTTCTCCCTTTCCCAAAAAATCCGTGTGGCATGTGTGCTTTGTGCTGCGCGACATTGTGCGCTATTCTGTTGTGTCCTCATCGCTTTGTGTTGAGTAAATGACCATCAACATTGAAGACCATTGTCGATTTTTTTTTTTTTGCAAGTTTGAGGTGTAGATTGTACTGTGCAAGAGGTTGGAGAAGGAAGCGAGTGATTGGAGCGACTGTCGAGCTGGAGAACTCTAAAACCCGATACAGTATCTCCTCGAGGGCAACGCGTTGGTTCATTGTCGAGCATGTTGCCTTTGTTAGCTGAGGAGGGATGCGCTGTGACAACCAAATGGAGGCCAAAGCGGAAAAGATTAAAAACAAAAAGTCAATTTAAAAAAAAATCAGAAACTAAAACAAGCAAAAAAAAACCAACAAAAATAAAAAACAAAACCAGCACCAACAACGACGATGCGATGTGTCATGAAGACGAATAGCCAGGAGCATATTTCAATATTTCACGCAACAAAGAACATGACACCCGTTTCTCAGTCATCAAACACACTATTTCAACAATGTCGAAGGTCAGTGAAGCAAACAAAACAACAATCCAAAACAAAAAGTGTGAGCAAAAAAAAAAAAAAAAAAAAAAAAAAAGGGAGGGAGAGATCTACACCCCGCGCGTCTCCTTTCCGGTCTCGCCTTCGCCACCGCCCTGTGCGACAGTGGCGCAAGAAAAGCGGGCAACGTGGTGCGACGTGCCCGGGGGGGGGAGGCCAAGCCAGACAAGCGAGCACCAAGGAAAAGTGAAGGCACCAAAAAAAAAAAAAAAAAAAAAAAAAAAGTCGCGTTTTTGGGCGAAGTGTTAATGCGAGTTTGTGTTTTTGCTGTTTGGATGACGGACCATCCCGCGGGCATCCAGCGGCGGCTGGGCTCATTGGCATTGGGGTACACCGTTGCAGAGCTGCGCGGCTGTTTGCGCAGTCTGGCGCCTTCACTTCCCCTGCTTCAGTTGGAAACGACTCGGCTGGTTTTTTTTTATTTTTATTTTAAGCAACTGACTTTTTTTTTTTTTTTCGTTTTTTTTTTTTTTTGTAACTCACCTGATTGCCCATTTTTCTGCTTCGCTGAGACAGGGTGAGACAGATCCCGAGGTGCTCTACACCAAGATGGAGCGCATCGGCAAGGGCTCGTTCGGCGAGGTCTTCAAAGGGTAAGCCGCGGCCGCAAGCTCATGCAAAGAGTCGGAGGCAGTTGTTTGCAGAAAAAAAAAATCGACGCCCGTTTCTTTTGGATTCAAAAAAAAAAAAAAAGAAAAAAAAAAAAAAAGAAAGACAAACAGCACGGATGCGCGGGAGCTATCGTCGTGCAACCGGCTGCGTGCATGGGTGCATACCTGTGCCGTTGGGCACAGTTGCAGCTGGCAGACGTGTCCTTGAGCCCGCTGACCCCAACCCCTCTGCTGACGCTGCAGGTTTTGCTGGACGATTTTTTGTTTTTTGGGTTGTTGTGGCTCTTCTTTTTTATTTTATTTTTATTATTATTTTTTCGTTTTTTTTTTTTCGTTCTTTGGTGTTGTTTTTAGCTTTCGCACGCGCTGAATCATGACTTTGAGCAGTGCCCTGGTCCTTTACCGCTTGCTCTCTCTTTCTGCTGGGGTGCGTGCAACAGCCAACGCACGCGGCTGCGCACCACGCAGTGCCACAGACCCCGTCGCTTGCACGTTTCTGCATTCTCGGTGGACGGCGGACGCTGTCGTTGCGGTTTTTTTTTTCTTTTTTTTTTTTCAACCTGGTTTTTCGTGTCGTTTTTTTCGTGCTTTTGGTGGGCTCACAACTTGCCATCTGGCCTCGTGCTTGTGACAGCATCGACAACAAGTCTAAGCAAACAGTCGCCATCAAGATCATCAACCTCGAGGAGGCCGAGGACGAGATTGAGGACATTCAACAAGAAATCACAGTGCTCGCTCAATGTGACAGCCCCTATGTCACACGCTACTTTGGCTCGTACCTGAAGGGCAGCAAGCTGTGGATTCTGATGGAATATCTTGGCGGTGGCTCTGCCCTCGACTTGGTAAGGCACAAGAACAAGAAAAGAAAAGCAAACGAGAGAGAAAAAAAGAAAAGCGAAATGCAGCCCTCATTCCAACAAAGCATGCTCGTGACGCCCCTTCCTAATTCATTTCTCGTCTTGGCTTTGCCACGTCTTTGTTTGCTCCACCCGTTCTCATGTTGTCGTTTTGCGCTTCTGCTTGTGCTCGGTCGACAGATGAAGCCCGGTCCGTTCGACGAAGTTTACATTGCCATCATCCTCCGCGAGATTCTCAAGGGTCTCGAGTACCTGCACGAGGAAGGCAAAATCCACCGTGACATCAAGGCGGCCAACGTTCTGCTTTCCGAGAACGGTGATGTCAAGCTGGCAGATTTCGGTGTTGCTGGCCAAATTACAGAGACAATGACAAAGCGCACCACTTTTGTCGGCACCCCGTTCTGGATGGCGCCCGAGGTCATCAAGCAGTCCGCATACGACTTTAAGGCCGACATCTGGTCGCTGGGTATCACTGCCATCGAGCTTGTCAAGGGCGAGCCCCCGAACGCAGAGCTGCACCCCATGCGCGTGCTCTTCCTCATTCCCAAAAACCCACCGCCGACCCTCGAAGGCAACTACACCAAGCCTTTCAAGGAATTTGTGTCCATGTGCCTGAACAAGGACCCCGCCGACCGTCCCACCGCCAAAGAGCTGCTCAAGCACAAGTTTATCAAGGGCGCCAAGAAGACTTCCACGCTGGTCGAACTCGTCGATCGGTTTAAGAGGTGGCAAGCCGAGGGTGGTGATGATGGCAGCAGCTCTGATGGCTCGGACGACGAGTATGTAGAGGATGGCTTTTTCTGCCGTGGTTTTGTGTGTTGTTGAAAGGGAAGGGAGGGGGGGGGTCACTGTGGTTTTGTTGCAGCACACTCATCGTTCCACGGTTGTCTTGATGGCAGAAACGAGGATGGCGAAGAGGGCGACGGCAACTGGGACTTTGGCACCGTCAAGGCTGCCAAGAAGGGCACCGTCAAGCGAGCACCTGCCGCGGCTGGCGCAGCACCTTCTGCAGCGGCGCCTGCCGTCGCCGCTCCCCCGGCACCCGTCGTGTCACCATCGCTTGCCAAGAAGGTCGTTCCAGGATTGAACAAGGTGGAAAGCAGTCTCGAGGACAAGGCAATTGCCTCCCAAATCGCCCAAATCAAGAAGGCATTCGAAATGGCCGAGGCGTCGAATCCCGGTATCACTGACAAGATTGTCGCGCAACTGGTTGCACGAGTTCGAGCGTAAGCAGATTGTTTTTAATTGATTGGTTGTTCAAAGTGTGTTTGGCTTTTTGCTCAGCCGTTTGATTTTCGTCTGATTTTGTGGAGCAGAATTTAAAACGATCGGTCTCCTTCTCTTCGTTGGTTGACTGTTAGCCTCCCCTAACACGTCTTTGTACTCCTCTTTCCGTCACCCGTCATTACAAGCAAAAAAACAAAAATCTTCTCATCAAGCGAATCAAGCAAATCAACCAAAAAGTTTCTTCCCGCCTTGCCCCCCCCCCTTTTTTTTTTGTCGTCTCCTTTCTTCATCCGCTCTTCACCACACATCTTGTTTAGTTTGCATCCATGTTGTCATTTTCGTTGGGTGTTTAGGCGTTCGTTTTGGAGCGGACCGTCTTCTTTCGTCCTGGCCACTGTTTCTCGCCGCCGCCCCGGATGCATTTCGACTTCTTTTTGGTTTTTGTGCTTGATGCACAAGTACCTAAAAGCACGCTGAAAAGCAAAGGATGGCGGGCAGATATTCAATCCTTTTCCCTGGTTGGAAAAAAAAAAAACTGGGACTTTTTTTTTTTTTTTTTGTTTCTTCTCTTTCCTTCTGTTGTGTTTCTCCTTTTTGGTGTTTTTGTTTTGCATAGTTGATTCAACGTTTATACAATTAAAAAAACTATCACCGTAAGCTTGCGTGTTGAGCCCAATCAACATTCTGAAACTGGAGCACTGGTGGCAGAAATGCGCTTGGTGGTGCCATCAACTTGACTTGCCGGACGTGACTGTCGCGTCCATTATCGTGGTTGGCAGTGATGAACATGCGGAATAGGTTGCCATAGACGAGGTCCGTTCTGCAGGTGGACGAACATGGATGAGGCCAAAAGTGAAGTTCAGGAAAATGAGCTCCAGAATGTTAGATTCCCCTTCCCCCGCCTCCCCCCCCCCAAAAAAAAAACAACAGGCCCGTTCATGCTTACGTACCCTGCTGGTAGGGGAAAACATACCCACCCGTCTGGCTGGGTTACCGAAAGAATTGAGCACTCCTATACCACATCGAGCAGTCCGCGAACATGAAACATCAATGGTTGGCATGGCCGTGTGATTCCTCCCCCGTGTTGAATCAGTACCTCCAAGTCGAGTACGTTGGTGCCAACTGCCAACGTAATCTTGGACGGCGTGTAACTTTCATCGCTCTTGTAATTGAGGTAGAGCCAGACTTCCTGTCAAATTGACACGATTGAAAAGCAGCTTGAGTCAACAGTCCGAGATTGAGGTGGTTTGCTTTTCGCACAGTACCAACAATCTGCAGGGGTTTGTGCACGTATTGCACACAAAGAGTCGATTCGCAACGCGTTCCGTCAAGTGGATTTGAGGCGTACCTGAATGGCCATTCGCTTTTCAAACTGGACGGAGATGTGATGCGGTTGCTGCCCTTCCGATCTGGCGCAATCGACCAAGACAGTGTCCACACACACATCCACCACCAAGGTGAGTTCTACAGATCCACCACTTGTCCACTTGGAATAACGACGTTCGACATTTTGGCGCCAAAAAAGCCAATCATCCAGTTCCAAAGCGATACGCACTGCCAGTAGGTCGTTGGGGTGTTGTCGAGCATGGCTTGCATGCCGCATCCGTGCTTTGCAGAGGATACGCTCCACATGCCCAGGTGGTTGACGCAGCGGCGGGGCTTCTGGTCATGGTTTGGCGGCTCGGGCAGCTCGGCAACGGCCGCACTTGTGTTTCGAATGAAGCCATTCATGATTTTGTGAAACGTGAACTGAGACAAGGAATACAAAAACAAGGAATGAGCGAGCTCAGCTCAAAACATTTTGGGAATAAAGTAAATCTCAGCGCACTGAAAAACAAGAGACAGATAGAGGAAGAAGAACAGCAAACAAATCAAATGGAAAATAAAAATAAAAACAATACTGTAATTCAAAACAAAACTCTCAAAACACACACTGACACACAGAGCATACAAAATGAAGAATACAAGGCGACAGATAGTCAACAAATACATAAGAAGGAACAGAAAAGCAAAGGGAAGCAAATGAAGCAAAAGCACCAAACGCTTTCTGTCATGTGCCCGCCTGGGGACGAACGAAAGCAAAATGCCACCGCATCGATGTACTACAGCGTAGCAATCTATCAGATGACAGGAGGAGGAGGATGAAGGGGAGGTGGAGGAGGAGGAGCAGCAGCAGGAGCAGCAGAAGGGCCAATCACTTTGGGGCGGGTGGTGCCGTTGTCCGCGTCTGCATCTCCCGCAAGCGCCGTTGCTCAAGCATCAGCCGTCGTTCTTGCTCGATCAAAAGTCGCTCTTCGTGCTCTTCTTCCAGTTGGCGCTGCCGCCGTAGTCGCTCGCTCTCGTCCTCGAACTCGTCCTCGTCGTCGTCATCTCCAAAGCCATTGCTATTTCCACCATAGTTGCTCCGATCCAGTCCATGCGATACGGCGGTATTTTGGAGGCTGTTGGCGATCGAGGCCATCAGCGCAAAGTCGGCAGCGTTGGCGGCGTCGGCGTGAACAATAAGGTCGTCCGAAAACTCCGGCTCGTCCACCAGCTCGTCAGACGATGCAGCAGATGCAGCAGCAGATGCAGCAACAGCAGCAGCGGCGGCAGCGGCGACGGCGGCAGCCGCAGCGGCAGCCTCTTGTTGCAATCGCTGCTGTTGCTCGTGGTGCTGCTGGTAGGTTGGCGGCGGCTGCGAAAACATGGCGGCTGATGCCGCAGCTTCGGAGGTGATCTCGGGCAAGAATAGCGTGTTGACAACATGATCGACCGTGCTCTTGAGGGCAAACTCCTCGACGGTCAAATTTCGTCGGTTGCCCTCCTTCTGAGCAAAGTAAAAGTAGAGTTCAAGCGCCTTTGTTTCGAGCATGCGCCGTTCGGCTGCATAAAGCTCGCTTTCGCTACAGAGAGATGAAAACAAAAGCAAGAGCCACATCGGCTGTGAGCAAACATGTTGGGTTTGTCGTGTGAGGCATGGTTCAAATAGTATCCTTTTTTTTCTTTTACCGGAATTCTCGAATATTGCAGTTCATGTCGTCCACATATTCCGTCACTAGTAGTTGGAACTCTTCAATGACCTCTGGGGTGAGCTTGGCGAGCGGCGTAATGGCAGACCTGATCCAAAGTGTCGACGTGAGTCAGAGAGAGAATGCGTCGACGCGCAACCGTCATCTTTTCATATCAAATTTGCCTCCCTCCACTTGTCCACAAAATCTCATCTCATGGTCAGGTTGCCAAAAAACGAAAAACAAACAAACAAAAAAAAAACCTGATCGAAAAGAAGGTCTTTTTGGAAGCGCCAACAACAACAAGGTGAGGAACTTACGAGCCACTGCGCAGCTGAAGCGCTTCCTTTAGCGAAAGAGTAGCTCTTAGTTGCATTGGCAAGTCCGACGGCTGAAAACATAGCAGAAAAAAAAACCCCCATAAACATCAACGAGTGAGTAACAAAAAGGACAAAAGTTAGCACAGAATTACAAAGAAAGAAAAAAAAAAAAAGCCAATAAAATACAAAAGGTGTTTTTTTTTTTTTTTTTTTTTAAACAACGAAGGCCAGTGGAAACCCCTCGTCACACAGGACAGGGAATCAAGACCAAGCAACAAAGCAAACGAAAAAAAAAGCAGATGTGGCGGTACCTGTCGCTGGTGGCCGCGGCTGGTCTTGCGCTTGGGAGGGAGGGGCGGCGGCTGCGCTCCTCCTATGCTGTTGTTGAGGTCGTGCGGCTGCTGCTGCTGCTGCTGCTGCTGCTGCTGCTGCTGCTGCTGCTGCTGCTGCTGCTGCTGCTGAAGTTGCGCAAGATACTGCTGCTGCTCATCATGCAGCAGCTGCTGAAGCGACATGGACCCAGGAGCCCCAGCTCCAGGCGTAGCGCCAGCCGAGGCCGCTGCCTGCTGCTCGGCCATGGCGGCAAGCAGATGCGCTGGCGGGACCCACGGACCCTCAGGCAGCGACGCATTGGCACGCAGAAGTCCAGACTGCTGTGGGGCAGGCGTATGCGACCCAGTCCGACCACCGCCAACAACAGCAGCAGGGTGTTGCGGTTGTTGTTGTTGCTGCTGTTGGTTTGAACCAAAGTCATTTAGTGCGGAGCCTGCACCGACCGGGGGCGACCCCAATGCATTCCCACCCATGTAGGACTTTGGCGGCAATATTGGTGCGGGAGGGTGCTGGTCGGGACCGCCTGCTGGGGTTGCTGGAGCTCCGACAAGACCTGTTGCTGGGGACTGCACAAAGCCAGCGACTGTGCTGTTGCTGCTGCTTGCAGTCACGCTGGTATAGCTGGGTATGCTGTAAAAGTTGTTGCTACTGGTCGGAAGGCTCGACGAGCCGCTTGCCGTGAGTGTTGTTGTCGTTGTTGTTGGTGTTGTTGTAGTCGTCGTTGTGGTCTCATTCGAACTGGCTCGTCGCCTGGACGCGTCGCTGCTGCTGGCTATTCCGCCAGTGCCATGGCTGGCAGTGGCGGCGTGATTTGAGATGCTATTAATGTTACTGGCGCTACCGCTGGGGCTGCTGTTGGAGCTGTTGGCAAGACTCGAGCTGTTGCTGTTGCTGCTGCTGCTGCCACCGCTCGAGCTCAAATTGCTGTTGCTCCCGTTCGCGCTCCCACTCGCACTGTTGCTCGTGCTGTTTGCGCTGTGCGTGCTGCTTGTGCTGCCAGGGTGGCTGCGAGCGAGGAGTGCGTCTGGAAGAGCCATCCCTGCGAGCTCCGCTGCCAGGGCCGCCTCGTCGTCCCCATAGTACTGCTCCACCACATCGCAGGCGCCGTGCAGCCGGTCGTGCATCAGCTTGCCCTGGAACGAGTTGGACCTCGTTCTCATACGCGACATGGTCTTGCTGACAACAGTGGCAGAAAAGAGAGAGTAGTGGTTGTTGTTTGTGGATGAGCACAGAAAAGAAAGAAAGGCGAACTCCGAGAATGAGGTCGAGATTGGAAAAAGCAGCGGACGAAAGGCGAGGTGGACAGTGCAGATGTGTGTGTGTGTGTGTGGGGGGGGGGGTGTGGTGGGGTCGGGTTGAGACTTGCAACAGTCAAACAGAGCCCAGAAAGCGACTCGGGAGGATGAAGAAGAAGAAGAAGAAGAAGAAGAAGTTGGGCGAGATCAGAAACCGAAAGGAAAAAAAAAAAAAAAAAAAAAAAAAGGGACTGTGAGTGAATTGGAGGGTGAGTCAAGGGGTTGAGGATTGAGGAACACACTAAGAGATGTTGCATGGCAGAAGAAGAGGAAGGGGGTGAAGGTGGATGCGTCAACTACTAGAGTTGCTAGTGGAGCAAGCCAGCCAACCAACCAACCAACCACCAAAAAAAAAAAAAAAAAAAAAAAAAAAAAAAAAAAAAAAAGCGCGGGAGGCGGGCCGAGAACATGAAAAAAATCATTCAAGGTAAGGTCGAAACAACGGAGGAAATTGCTGGCTCAGACGCACAACACAGCTCGGGGGAATTAAAGCAATTGAATGGGAGTATCAGGGGAGAGCACGGAAGAGAGAGAGAGAGAGAGAGAGAGAGAGAGAGAGAGACAGGTTGGTCGACGCGTGGACGCAGGTTGCGAGGTTGGCGAATAATCAAAGTAGATCGAACCGCATCCTAATTTGGTGTTTGGTTTGGAGGATAACCAGCGCGCGCGCAATAAAAGCGGTAAAACGACAACGAGCGTCCTACTTGTCAGCGACAAGCGTCGAATGGGGGTGACGACGAATGGATGGCGAGAAGAAACACTTCTTGGGAACAACAATCAGATGAAAAATCTACCGCGAACCAAACGAGCTGTATTTGGCTTTATACGAAGCGAGGAAACATGTGTGCGTCGACAAATGCAAGTCCTGATAGACAGTGCAGCTGTACGGTACACCGAAAGCACGCAACAGCGGGTAAGCGATTGCCGGAAATTTGCGCGGCAATTTTGTGGCGCTCGTTGCGCGCGCATACTGTGCTTCACAAGGGAACAATAGACACTCCAGATCAAACTAGTAGTCATGTACATGTACTATTGAGTCAATGCAGCGATTGTCTAGCGCGACACACTGTGATCGAGTGATCTTTCAGTACAGCTGTTTTCGGCTCTCTTAAGGCTTTGAAAATGAATGAGAATTTCGGGAAGACGAAGGGGCGCACAATCACAATAAATCACTATAGTTTTTAATGACTTTTTAGTGGTAAGGGGGTGCATCACTTGATGTTGTGCCAGAAATTGCTATAACATAGATGTATTTTTCCAAAGCTCTTCGACAAGTCGAAATTCCGAAAAAGCAAGCAAACTCCAAAGACCAAAAGCAACAAACAATATTCTGGCAACCGTTTGCTTGTCCTTGTGGTTCAGTGCTTGTCATTTCGATGATCGCCTAAAATTCTAGATCTACCGCAGTTGGGTGTATGTATGACTCGTCACCATCTGAGCAACTGCATCGTTCTGGTTGTTGATGTCTTTGAGCATTTTTCCTCGTGGCAAGTTGTGATGTCGTTGCTGCGTGGTTTGTTCAGTACCTCCAACCCATTTTGCGTTCTCATCGCTTGTATTTATTTGCCACTCCTTTTTTTGTGTGTCCGTTTTTTTTTTCTTCTTCTTCTCAGAATGTTGAACGGCCTGCGACCTCTCGCTTCAGCGGCTGTCTCTGCAGCGGTTCAGCGACCGATGATCAAGCCTGCCTCGGCCCGCTCGTTCTCTGCGCTCGCCCTCCGCGGTGCCACCCGCCTCACCGTCCCTGTACGTCTGCTCTGTCACACGACAAAAACCACCTCCCCTTTGCTCGCCTGCCGCCGCTTTGAGGGCGAACAAAAAAGTCTTTGTGTTGAGATTTTGCGGTCGTCTTTTTTTTTTTCTTTTTTTTTTTTCCTTCCTGTGCGGTCGCCACAGAGTTGTTCTGTCCCCTCACATTGTGATTGAGACTGAGCGCAATTGGGGTGTCGGAGGTGGGGGAAGTCCGTGCTGGATAGCCGATCTGCTGGGCTTGCCATGCGCGGGAAGGCGCTGATCGCGGCTGGTACTGTAACGGCAGCACGGAAGTCGAAGAAAGCAAAAAAAAAAAAAAAAAAAAAAAAACTATAAAAAAATGTAAAAGTATATTTTATACGCGGCTCCACTGTTCCGCGCTACCTTTTGCTATCCGCGGGCGCTCGGTTTGATGGAGCCGAAAACACGTTTTTCCCATTTTTTCCCATTTTTCCGTGGTTTTTTTTTTCCGTTTTGGCTCGCATGAGCTGATCTCTGCTTGTTCAGCGACGAGCAGCCTCACCCCCGGCAATCCACAACCGTCACATCATGCCATTGCCGTCCGTCCACCGTGTCGCTGCCCTCTCAGTCTGATTCTGATCGCCAAAGGTCAAAACCAACAAAAATAACAACAAAACATAAAAACATAAAAACCAACAAAAAAAAAAAAAAACCACGACCTGTGTGATCAGCTCATTGGCCAGGCGTGATGAGGCCACTCTATCGTCACGATGATGCCGACGTGGAAAGAGGTTGGTCTTACCTTTGCCTCGATTCGATATGGAGCGAAACGCTCGGTGGGAAGCTGGGAAGAAGGGGGGAAAAACGAAGGGAGGCTGCACTGGGGGAAGAAGATGAACAGTCAACACGAGATTCAATCCTCGCGATCGATCGACCGCTTGCTTCGCTTGCACAAGGACAAAGTCTGAAAAACTCACCTTCATGCCGCAACTTGCTTGGACTGTTGACACATCACGCAGAAGGCCGCTGTCGCCGCGTCGGCCTCTCAGATCGCTGCCCAGCAGCCCAAGCGCTTCCTGTCGCTGCACGAGTACCTGAGCATGGACATTCTCCAACAGAACGGCATTGCCACACCGAAGGGCCGTGTCGCCAAGACCCCCGAGGAAGCCGAGCAGGTTGCTGCCGAGCTTGGTACGTTCATTCAGTTTCCACTCCAATAGCAAGCGCTTCTGGGTTTGTTTTTTTTGGTTTTTTCGTTGCGCTTGCAGTTGCTTGCGGTGGCATCTGTTGGAGGCTTCCTCGGGATGCTGACACAACCCTTCTGTTTGGCTTGTGCGTGCAGGTACCGAGGACATTGTCATCAAGGCTCAGGTTTTGGCTGGCGGCCGCGGCAAGGGCACCTTCCAGAACGGCCTCAAAGGCGGTGTTCGCACCATTTACTCGTATGTGGGAGCTGTTTTGCCGGTGGTGGTGGCGGTGGTGGTGTTGTGTGCTGTGTCTGTTTGAAGGGATTCCGCTGACTTTTCGTTTGGCTCTTTTTTTTTTTGTTTTTTTTTTTTGTTCCCTTTTTGGCGTACCAGACCCGCAGAGGCTCGCATGTACGCTGAGCGCATGATCGGTCAACGACTTGTGACCAAGCAGACTGGCGCGGAGGGCCGAGTGTGCAACGAAGTAAGCCGCAGACCGGCGTTGGAGACAAGACACACACACACACACAAACACAAACACACACACAAAAAAAAAGGAACATCCTCGCTCACCTCTGTCTAAACCTCTCAGGTCTATATTTGCGAGCGTCTCTATGCTCGACGGGAATACTACTTTGCCATTCTTATGGATCGCGCGACAGCTGTAGGTGGTTTGTGATTTGATTCACCGTTTGGATTTTGCGCCATTCTGCCATTCTTTGCTTCTTCTTGTCTGGCCACAATCCTCACCCCCACCCCTTCTCGTCGTGGTTCCAGGGTCCTCTGCTTGTCGGCAGCTCGCAAGGTGGTGTCGATATCGAGACGGTCGCTCACGAAAACCCTGACGCGATTGTCAAGCAAGCAATCGACATTAACAAGGGTAAACGCTCTTCCATCAACTATGTTGCGACGCTTCCTTTTTTCTGCTTTCTCTGTCGTTCGAATGCCAACACTTTAAAATTCCTTGTCGCCTTGTTCCAGGTCTGTCTGAGGCAGAGGCCATCAAATTCGCAACTCTCATGGGCTTCTCGCCATCTTGCGTTCGCGACGCCGCCGAAAACATCATCCGCTTGTACAATGTCTTTATCAAGTACGATTCGACCATGGTTGAGATCAACCCCATGGCTGAAGTCTCAAGTGGCAAGGGTAAGGCGTTCGATTTGATTCAAGAGCGCATGTTTTCCGTGAAATTCATCTCACCGACCGCTTTCGTCCTTTTCCCCCCCCCTTTTTTTTTGGCTTGCCCTCCCCTCCAGTCATCTGCATGGATGCCAAGCTGAACTTTGACGATAACGCTGCTTTCCGTCAAAAGGAGGTGTTTGCTCGTCGCGATTACTCGCAAGAGGACGAGCGTGAGGTTCGCGCCGCCCAGGCCGATCTGAACTACATTGGCCTTGATGGCTCCATTGGCTGCCTTGGTACGTTGCTTCTGCATGGCTTGATTCTGCAGATGGCGCTTCGGGGGTCTAACTGCTCTCTTTTTTTTTTTTTTCTTTTTTTTTTTGTTTTTTTTTTTTTTTGCTCCACCCTCCTGCTCACCCACAGTCAACGGTGCCGGTCTTGCTATGGCTACCCTTGACATCATCAAGCTGCACGGCGGCAACCCTGCCAACTTCCTTGACGTCGGTGGCGGTGCTACTGCCCAGCAGGTGACCGAGGCTTTCAAGATTATCTCATCCGACCCGAAGGTCACTGCGATTCTCGTCAACATTTTCGGTGGCATCATGCGATGCGACATTATCGCCCAAGGCATCATTGCTGCCGCTTCGACTCTTGACTTGAGGATTCCCCTGATTGTTCGTCTTCAAGGTACAGCAGACTCGTTTGCTTTTACTTTGTCCTTCATTGTTCTTCTTGCTTTGAATCTCGCTCACCACACCCACTTTGCACCATCCTGATCGTTGCCACTTTTCCCTCTCATTCTTCAGGCACTCGTGTGAATGAGGCTAAGGAACTCATCGACAAGAGCGGGTTGCGAATCATGCTTCTGAACAACCTTGACGAGGCTGCCAAGCGCGCCGTCCAGGTGTCTCAGATTGTCACGCTTGCCAAGTCCGCCTCGGTCGGTGTCAAGTTTGAGCTTCCCATTTAAAGCAGACGTCCAATAGCGAGACCTGACGACCTGCCGTTTGGATTTTTTTGCCATGTATCGATTCTTTCATTTTTTTTTTCTTGCACGGATTTTTCCATTACTTTTTTTTTGTTTGTGTGTGTATGTGGGCAAGTTGACTTGCCTGTCGTTCGTCCAATATACCTGTGAAAAACGAGCAATGCAGTTTCCACGCTCTTTGCCCACAATACCGGCAGTAGGATTTTTATGAAACAAAGAAACAACACCAACGGACTCAAAAACACACACACAGCAAAACGCAAAACGCAACAATGGGAAGAAGGAGAGCCAGTCTCGTTCAAATCAATCTTGTCGTGGTTGTTACACTGCCGATTGCTTCAGCTCTGTCTGGGCATACTCGACAAATTCATCAATTAGCACGGGCCAAGCGCCTTCAGAGTCATAGTTGCTCATGGTGTCGTTGATGGTCGAGGCAAAATCGAGCAAGAGATTCCAGGTGTCCTTCGAGATGGTTCGGCTGTGATTTTCCTGAGATTCCGAAAGGGAGAGAGGCCATCAATGAGCATTTGGGGTTTGCACACCACGGCTCTCATCTTTAGTTTTCCCCAAAAGACAATTTGCATGAAATCCAGCACTCTCCCCAAAACGTCGCACGTACTTTCAAGAACGTGCACCACAGACTCAAGAACTTGAATCGACCTTCGAGGACGAGTTGCCACAGCGCGATTGCCGAGTCGAGGGCTGCCAAAGCGAAAGGGGGGGGGGGAAGCAAATCACCGACAGGAGGACCGATCAAAGTAAGCAACGCGCCGAAAAAAAAAAAAAAAAAAAAAAAAAAAAAAAAGAGGCCTGAGAGTCGCGAGTCTTATCACCTACCGAGGCCTTTTTGAGTTGGATCGCGTCCAAAGTTAAACGTGTAGATGTAGAGGTCTCGGAAGCTAAACTCGTTGTCGAGCACAGCACGCAGAGCGGGGAACTGTTCCTTCAGCTTCTCGGGAGTGTCGACGCTGACAAAAGACAGTCAACAACAGTGAGTCGACGAGTCAGATTGCACCCTGGCGTTCAAAAAGAAAACCCCATACCCAATGTTCGTTAGCCCCGTTGTAAACTCTGCTCGGGTAAAGTAGCCCATCGTAGCCGCATTCAGCTTCCACGCAATGATGAGCATGAGAATGTTGGACGGGTCAATCTCCAAGTCTTCGCAGAACTTTTCCATGCCAGCGGGACCAATGACGTCCTCCGTTGGGTCGTCTAACACCAAAGCACGCATTCCCATGTCAGCAACCGAAACCCCCCCCCCCCGACTTTGCAATTCGATCTCTGTGGGCCGATTGAAGCGAGAACGGAACACTCACCCTTGTACTTTTCAAAGAAGGCGGCGAGCTTCTTGTCGTCGACGCGCGGCGCCTTTTGCTTGCGAGCCTCGGGGCTGTTGTAGAATGCATCGAGGGCAGGCTCGAGCTTCCAGCTGGCGCGCTCCAGGAACTGAATCGCAATGGCTTCCGAGACGAGCGCGAGCGACATGAACCGCCCGACGGCGTCCTTTTGCGCTGTCTTGAGCTTGCTCTGGGTTTGTGGGGAATGCGAGCCAAGCAAAGTCAGTTCACCAACAAACATTGGCTGCATCGACGAGATGGGGGGGGGGAAGCAGACACTGACGAGCAGGGGGGGGGGGAAAAGTGAAACAGCGATCTCGCTCTTTCGTTGTCCTTTGCGACGTGAATCATGAAGGATCAACATTCAACAGTGTCAACATCATCGATCGACATCGTGGTAGTAGCAGTAGCAAGAGCGCTTGCGCCAGTGCTCTTACAGTGAACATTGTAGCTGAGATCAACAAAAGAAAAAAGAGTGGAAGAAATCTGAGAAATCTGAGAAAGATGAAATTGCTGAGAAAAGATGACACATATGAGAACTGTAATAAATATGAGGTCGATGGGGGGGGTAGTGCTCCAGTGCTTGTTTACCTTGTTCAATGGCAAAGTTTCTCAGCGGCGCTCCATTTCGGTCTCGTCCTCTTGCTCCAATGAATGCCAGATTTCAGTTGCTGCTTTTTCTCTACTTTGATTTCGTTCTACTTGAGGTGGTCGGCGAGCTGCTGGGATTGGATGCTTTCTGATTTTGCGCCAGCACCCTTGTCTCAGTCTTTTATGCTTGTTTTGGATGGGTGTATTTGAGACTGGACTTGGCGTTGCTGCCATCGTATACTTTCTCCGTAAGTTGAAGCAAGCCACCTGTAATTTGCCCCCTGTAGTTACACTTGTCTCACCGCAAGTTCATGTCTTGCTGTTTGTCTGAGCAGGTCCGAAGGGCTCGAGCACAATCGCATACCTGTTTGGAAATGGCCTCGGCAAGGGCGTTGGCTTGGTGAGTGACCGAGCACTATTCAGCATGAGCATGGTTGCTTTTTGCAGCCAACAGAGCAGTGGTGAATGCATCGCTGTGTCGTAGTCGGAGCAGAGGACTGAAGCGCGCGTGTTGCTTGACTGTTTCACAGATTCGTCGCGCTCGAACCACCATCGAAGCAGTCGCCAAGGAGACAAAGGCAGCCAACAAGGACACGTCCAACGCAGATGGCGCGGGCGGCGTCGTGGGCGCGACTGCTGGAGCGAGCTCGGGCGTCATGGCGGCGCTCACTGCGGGCGCGCGCGCGACGCTGAACAATCCGCTGACGCCAGCCGTGGCACCTCCACAGCCGATTCCAGAGGATGCAGATTGGTCTACGGTACGCGAGCGGATGCGGGATTTTTTGTGAGGTTTGGCAATGCAGGTGTGAATCGCTCAACTCAATGTTTGTGACGATTCTTGCTTCAACAAACAAACCCTGGCAGCTCTGGTGGGAGTTCAACCGTATTCGGTATGAAATTCGCTTCGAAAGCATGTTTCGAAGCCCGACATTTATGGCACGTCGCGCGCTGGGCATGGGTAAGCAATGATGCGTGCGATTTTTTGGGGGGTTTTCGGCTTTCTCCTCTTTTGTGCAATTTTATTCGAAACCTAACCGTGGGTGTTGGTGCTGTTGTCGTCTAGATGCTATGGCACAAACACCGTCGAGTTTGTCTGCTGCAAGTCCAACAGGCACTGCAAACCCCGCGTCAGGACCACCCGGCAACCACAGTTACACTTCATCATCGCTCCACGGCGCTGGACCAGCGCAAGAGTCCGACTATGAGTTTGGTCCACCTGCAAATGTTACTCAGCCACCTAGCACTCCTGTGACCTCCTTCGCACAACAACAGCAACAACAGCAGGTCCAACCATCTGCCCAAATTCCACCTGCACTGTCCCGCAATCCGACTCCATCCGCGACTCCATCCGCGACTCCATCCGCGACTACCGCCGTGACGACAGCACCGACATGGACTGCAAAGCAGCTTTCAGACGTGAACGCGGCAGATCGCTTGGCTCTGTTCAGCGGACACTCACCTCTGAACGTCAAAGTGCACTCTGACCAGCAGCGAGGAGGCGCCGACATTGTTGCAGGCTTTCTGACAGAGCGGTCGCTAACCCTACGCAAGCGCGAGCTCATGGAGCAAGAGCGGCGGCGAGTGGAAGCAGAGAATGCTTCAAGACCCAACCATCAAAACACCGTTTGAGTCGTACCCGGACCCTCGTCTCCAACTCTGTTCATGCTATTTATTTTATTCTTGTCGAAAATGTATTCATTATATGTACCTTATACCGCTCTGAGCAGAGCAGAGCCCCTGCTTCAGTCTTCAATCCTTCTGCACTGCTCTCTTCATCATGCATTCGCTCGTCCTGCACTCCATCCTCGAGCTGTACCGCAGCCTCACTCAGCAGCTCTCTCAACTGGTTCGCAAAGAGGCTCGCGAGGACTTGCTGATTGGCGGCGAGCGCTTCTACCTGCTGCAGGTCCGACCTGTGCCGCCACTCGTGCCAATGCCAGCAGCAGCTCAGCAAAGAGCGAGATGATCTGGGCCTGTCCCCTCCAACCAACAAGCTCAAGCTCAAGCGAGAACATGCTTTGGATCTGAGAATCTCAGTTCGTTAGAGTTCTGAGCAACGAGGGGTTTCCAAAGCCTCAAGTTTGCCTCAACCATCCCACTCCACACACGACCTGCTGGACATTTTTGACCGACTTCAACGTTGGAAGGAACTTGCTGTTCAAGATGATCTTTGATCAAGTCAATGCATTGAGTGGATCTGAAGCGATGGGCGATCCCGGAAAACAATTCCATCACGGCGCCGGATTTTACCAATCGTCTCTCTCCAAGGAACGAAATGGCAAGACAGGCTCTCAAGTGAACTTGCAGAATCACTGTATGCTGAAGTGTCATGAAAGGATTGGGCAAAACAAACAAAAATCTGAATCAAGCTTGGACGATGCAAAAAACCAAATCATTCGACTTTCATTCAAAACCGAGCACAAATCACACACACACACACACAATCGCACACTCACATGCAAAGCAAACAAAGAAAATCACAAAGGGTATCAATATATCGCAGTAGGGTGGTTGGAACAGACAGCAATCGTACCAAAAGCACAAAATCAACAAATCCAGCAAGCATCAAGTCATGGGGGAGTCGGCTCGTTTGAACTAGCCCTCGGTCGCTAGCTTGGTCAATTCGTACACAAAGAATGTGACAGCGTTAACAGGGAAGGCGCGAAAGACAGTCGCCGAGAGACCTCGCGTGAAGCCTCGCCAGCCTTCGTGCTGGAGGATCTTGGAGGTACAATCTGCGATTCCGGCGTACTGCCGCTGGGCTTGCGGGCGAGCACTCTGGGCCTGCAGTCGCGATTTAATGACGTCGAGCGGGTAGATGGACACCCAGGCAACGGTGCCGGCGACACCGCCGCCCACAAGCGAATCGATTGCAGCCGGGGAGGTCACGAAGCGATACCAATGACTGGATGTGTCCGCGCTCGTTGGCAATTGTCCACTAAGAGTGCTGTAGTTGTTGCTGGCGTCGACATTTGCATTTCCGAGCGCCAAAGAAGAGGACGACAAGGAGGAGGAGGAAGAAGCAGAAGAAGCTGCTGCAGCAGAGACAGAAGCGGGCGCTTGTCTCCGGCTTGCTAGCCAGCGAGCGCACCATTCGTAACAGGCATAGTACAAGCCGTAGCTCGGGACATCGCGGATGAGCGTGATTGGCAGACCCGTGTACAATGCCAAGACACCTTCCGAGGCGACAATGCGGTTGGCGTGCTCCAGCGCGCTCAGCGAACGCCCCGTGGCGACCTGCTGCCTGCACTTGATGAGCTCGATGGGCGTCGTGAGGACGCAGGCGGCAGCACCGCCGTAAGCGCCTGCCAGGTACACGAGCGGCAGAGGCAGCGTCGCGTCGTTCGGCCGTCCCGCCAGCGCCGCGAGTGAGCTCTTGGCGTTGCCGTAGACGCCAAACAGCAGGCAGTTGACGCCGGCGATGCCAGCGAGCGGCGGGACCAGGCCGCGGTACAGCCCGAGCACTCCTTCGTTTGACAGCGTGCGGCTCAGCGTCGCAAAGAAGCCCACGGACTTGGACGTCTGCAGCCGAACCTGTGATCAAAGGTTTCCAAGTTGGGGTCGGGGGGTGGGGGGTAGGGTGGGGGTGAGCGAACGGAACGGGACAGCAACCGAACACAAGAACCACAAGACCACAGGACGCCAAGGTGCCCGGCGGGTGAGTGCCGCTGAGTGCCGCTCAAAGCCCACGCCGCGGTACTTTGACGCTGAGCACGGTGCAAGCGTTGGTGGTCGGAGGGAGTTCGAGGACGAAGGGTCAAGAACTCGGTCTGTCGGGTGATTCGATCACAACGAACAAAGCACGAGGAAACAGACTTACGCGAATAGTGTCCAGCGGCTGGCCAACAGCAATGCCAGCGCCGCCGCCGAGCGTGCCGGCAACAAACTCGCTCGTGTTCATTGGAAAAAACTCTTGGAAGTGGGGGGGGGAGAGTTTAACAATGACGAATCAACAACAGCGGGATTGGCAGAAGAGTGGGGTCGGGTCGGGTCGGCTCAAACGGAAAACGAAGGAAGAAAAAAAAGCCGCAAAATGCAATGAAAACACACAGCTCGGAGAGAGAACGACTGAGGCGTTGCGTTGCTTTGATTCAATGGGGATTGCATAGATGAGCTGATATTGCAATTATTGTTGAAGACGAGGACGAGTCAATGGAAGGGGTGGGGGGGGGGAGAAGAGCGTTCGGCGTTGAATAGTGAATTGAAGACTTTCCTCACCCCACACTCCACCACCACCGTAACCCCCAACTCTCCAATCCCCCCGCGCCTTTGCCGCGGCAACCTTGGACTCCAATTTCACTCGTACATTGCTTTTCTATATTCATCTCTGATCATAACAGTACCCCTGAGTCACCCCTCTTTTTTTGTTTCCTAAGCCCTGCAAAACAAAAAAAAAAAAAAACCGTCCCTGCTTTCCTTCCTTCAAAGCACTTCCTTTTTCAACGCGGACTCCAACCCCGCAACCCCACAACCCCGCACCTTCCCCCCGCAACCCCCAACCCCACCAGAAACACCATGCGCACCTGGCGTTCTGCGCTGTGCGGCCTTGCGCTGGTCCTCCTCGTTGTGGGCGCGGTCCAGGCCGACGACCGAGGTACTTTTTGGTTGCCGTTTTTGCCCCCTTCCGACTCCGACTCCTCTGCCTTCGAGTCAGCTCGTTCCCCCACCATCAGCGGGGGTTTGCCCTCCCCCAAGCAACAGCAGCAGCAGTAGCAGCAGCAGCGAACAAAACGGCGAAAGCGAGAGCCAGACAATCTAAATATTACAAAAAAAAAAAAAAAGACGGAAAAAAAAAAGAGGTCATGCATTTTCATTCTGGATGATTCGATGCCCTCCTCTCGGGGGGTGGGGGGCATTGAAGCAAGATGGAGGGACGCGTGTTTACGATAACGGACGCACGGCACAGACCCCTCCCCCCTTGGCTCGTTGTTTGTGATGATTGGCGAGCAAATTCAGCAAACGAAACGAATCCATCCAAAAAAAAAAAAAAAAAAAAAAGCCGCCAGTTTTATTCTTTATTATTAGATCTTTTTTCTTTGGGCGTGTGGAACAGCGTCTGTGCCGTGCTGCTGGGCGTTGGACGCATCGCAGCGCCACTCCGCGGACGGCGGCGCACACACAGACATGCCAGTCATGCGGTGCACTTGCAGCTGCGGCGTGGACGGTCGCAGGCACGCCACACGGCCGCTGTGGGAAATCGCGCATCCAACAATAAAAAGAAATAAAAATAAAAAAAAAGCGCCGACCTTTTTTTTTTTTTTTTTTTTTTTGGTGGGTTTTCATTTTGTTTTTGGACTTTTTAACCCAAACTTCTGGGATACGAATTGTTCACTGATTGTTCCAAGCATTTGGTGGTTGCGTTCGGTCACCCCGCTTACGACACGCATCGAACAAACCTTTTTTTTTTTTCGGCTTTCTTTCCCCCTCCATCTTTGCGTTCGTGCTCATGTATTTCAGTGGCATTATTTGGAGATACGTTGAGAATGGGCGATCGAATTGAGGAAGACGGGAAATAATTCGCCTGCTGCATTGTTTTTGTTTACTTTCGTTCTTGCTCCACACCTTGTGTCCTTGCTCTTGTCCGATGCCTGTGATCAACTGCCACGTTGCAATCGCCACCATTGCTCGGTTGCTTTCATTCTCTAACTTATTCCCTCTTCCCTCCCCTTTACTCCATCCAGATGGCGACCGCCCCGAGCCAACGGTCATGCCGTTCTTTTCTGGCTATTACGGCGGCCAGTACAACCCTGGTCTGGTCGAAATGGTCGTGGATGTCGACTTTGCCCACTATCAGCTCGTCAAGGACGAGTTTGAGGAGCGCATGCACTCTGTCTTCCGTGATCCGTCCCCAAACACGAACAGCGAGATTAAGATTTTGTTTGCGGACGAGCTCGACATTGCGCACTACGCGATCGTGAACTCGGACAACCTGCTCAACCCGTGGCCTTCGCGGCCAGACCCGGACCACAAGCCAACGAACGCACCGCATCAACCGGCCTTGGGAGATCAACCGTCGAACGGGCCCGCTTCTTCCTCGGCTCCTGCCGTCAGTGCAAGTGCAAACTCGACCGTGCACTTGGGCACCGTGCTGCACTTTGTTGTGCTTCAGGACTCGGTGATGCAGCACGCCACCATCACTATCGCCACCATTGTCTCGGAGAACGTGGCTGGTCGGCTTGACGGCTCGCTCGGCTACCCGGTTGTCGCCGCCAGCCAGCTGTTCAATTCGGCCGCGACGCATCCTTCCAACGGGACAATGTGGTTTATTTACGTTGTCGGCGGCGTTGGCGTGCTCGTTGTGGCATTGGCTGTTGTCGGCATCCGCCATCGTCGTGCGGTCGTCGTCCACAACAAAAACCTTGCGGAGGCCATTCGCGCACGCTTGGCCGAGCAGGCGAACGCCGCTGGCGCGGTTGAGATGCAGGAAGTGAACTGGAGCGATTTTGATCTCCCGCCACCCAACTCGACGGGTCCGATCATGCTTTCCGACCTTTCCCAGGCCCCGACGTCGACAGTCTCGGCGCCCCTGTCCACTATTCCTTCGGTGGTTACAACAACCGCAACGACCGACTTTTCGCAGTTGGGACTGGACAGCTTGCAGCTCGACCCTTCGTTGTTTGATGATTCCCTCAGCACTGCCAATCTGGATGAGATGCTCATGACGATGCTTGCTCCCGACACGCCCTCTGTGCTTGCCACTCAGCAGCAACAACAGCAGCAACAGCAGCAACAACAACAAACGAATCAGTTGAATCTCCTCTATGCTCAGCAACGACTGCAACAACAGCATCAACATCAGCAGCAGCATCAACAGCAGCAACAACAACAACAGCAACAGCAAGAACAACTCGCGCTTGAGCAACAATTATTGGAACAAGCATTGCAGATACCGATGGACGAGCAGTTGGAGGCCGCATTGAGTGGCGCATCATTGCAACCAGAAGTTTCAGCTCCATTGCAATCGGACGCAACGACGCTTCAAATGGAAATGCTGAATGCTCGCCGACAGCAATGCATTGAGCAGTTGATGGCCCTCAACCAAATGCGAGAACTTTTGCAACGTAACACCGCTGCTGCCAGCTTGCAGGCTAGCCGAGAACAACAGCAATTGCAACAACAGCAGCAATTACAACAACAATTGCAACAACAATTACAGCACCAACAACTACAGCAACAATTGCAGCAGCAGCAGCAACAACAATTGCAACATCAGCAATTGCAAAAGCATCAGCAAATCCAAACACAGCTCGAGCAACAACAGAACTTGCTACGCGCACAGCAGGTTGTCGAGCAGCATCTTTTTGCCCAGCAACAAGCCACCGTGGCCCCTGCACGTGCTCCATCCAACCTCTATGTGGTGGAGCATGCTGGCGCTGCTGCGCCGATTGTAGAACACACGGTTGTGACGTTGTCGGCACCCCACCACCACCACCACGGCCACCACGCCAAGCAATCGCCGCAGTCGCTTTCCTCTTGAGACTGTGCCATC